TCCCACCAGTGCCGAACAGCTGCAGAGTGGGGATGACATGGAGATGAGGGGAAGGTGATAGTGACCGCCGCGCTGTTTCGTGCCGCCTGAGAGAACTTGTCCCCTGTTTTTGGCTTGGCAATACCTTCCTGTATCATACCTTAGACGCACCCATTGCGTGTGGCGCCCTGCCTCTCTTGGGGTACAGTACTACAATGCTGCTGGGGTCACTCAAACCGCCAGAACCGAGCCTCTACTTTAGTCAATCCTCTTTGAGCTCAACAAACTAAATATATATTTACCGAGATATCGAATCCGAATGAAGAGATTATGAAACAACCAGAGAACTGAGAGAGAGAGATTGTGCGCGCACTGCCCTTGGGTGTCTTCATTTTCATCCCCAAACTCTCTGATTACTCAAAAAAAAAACAAAACGAAGAACAGATAAAATTTGTGAAGATGCAGGCGAACATTTGGAGCATGATGACAACAGTCAGGGTGAGTCGATCATTCAACGACTTGAATTCCCTCCTCCTTGGCTAGATAACCTACAACCGAGCTCTTCGCATGCCAGATGAAGGACAAATGCTGCAGAAAAGATGAAAAATATTCTCTGAAATATTATACCAATTACTATAAACTCGAGGCTAGATCACTGCCTCGATTCACTTGAAGATAATTATTTTCTTTAATTTGCAGCCTGCAGTTGTCAAACGTGTCGTCAACCCCACGATATCGATAATGCAGCAAAGAAGATATACCAGTTCTATCGATGCTGATGTTGTGGTGATTGGGGCTGGACCTGGAGGATATGTAGCTGCTATCAAAGCTGCTCAACTTGGAATGAATACAGTCTGCATCGAGAAAAATCCAACTCTTGGAGGAACTTGTCTCAATGTTGGATGCATCCCCTCCAAATCACTCCTCAATAACTCACATTATTATCACATGGCACACAGTGGAGACTTGCAAAATCGAGGGATCGTTGGTAACTTACATTTTAGATTTTCTTAAATGATCGCCACCAATATTCTGTTCTTTGTGTTCTAATGAAGAACCATTAAACAATCAAAAACGATTCTTCGCTTAAAATTCTAGCCGAAATAAGAGATTTTAAATCACCATCTTGCCTCGTGTCACAGATATAAAAAATATTTTACAGTTGAAAACGTGAAATTGAATCTTGACAAGCTCCTGGAGCAGAAGGACAACGTGGTGAAGGCACTGACCGGAGGAATCGCTGGGTTATTCAAGAAAAATAACGTCAAGTGGGTGAAGGGTCATGGGAAGATAACAGGGAAGAATCAAGTGAGTGCTCTTGGAGCTGATGGATCCGTGGATACCACCATCAACACCAAGAATATCATCATTGCCACTGGCAGCGAGGTAACTCCTTTCGCTGGGATTGAGGTGGATGAGAAGACAATTGTTTCCTCAACAGGTGCTCTTTCCTTGAATCCTGTCCCCAAGAGGCTCATCGTCATTGGGGCTGGGGTTATTGGACTGGAATTGGGATCAGTGTGGCAGAGGTATTCCCTAAAATATTCATTAAAAAATTACTTATTTTCAGTGTTAATTATCCATTTTTATCCTGTTAACGAGTAATGAAAATTTCACGAATTTGATTGAACTATTTGAAATTATTTCAATCGTGTATGTTATCATTTACCAAAGGCTGGGATCAGAGGTCACAGCTGTTGAGTTCATGCCATCGATAGGAGGTGCAGGAATCGATGGTGAAGTCAGCAAAACACTCCAGAAGGTCCTCGCAAAACAGGGACTTAGCTTCAAACTTGGGAATAAGGTGACAGCAGCTGAGAGAACCAGTGATGGAATTAATGTGACGATTGAGGACGCCAAGGATCCCAGCAAGAAGGAGACCCTGGGGTGTGATGTCCTGTTGGTCTGCGTGGGCAGGCGGCCATATACTCAGAACTTGGGACTCGAGGATTTGGGAATTGAGAGGGATGAAAAGGGCAGAGTTCCAGTCAACAACAGATTTCAGACAGTGGTACCCAATATTTATGCAATTGGTGATTGCATTCATGGGCCCATGTTGGCTCACAAGGCCGAGGACGAGGGAATTATCACAGTAGAAGGCATCGCCGGTGGTGCTGTTCACATCGACTACAACTGCGTTCCGAGTGTCGTTTACACCCACCCAGAAGTTGGTTGGGTAGGGAAGACAGAGGAAGACCTCAAGAAGGAGGGAATTGACTACAAAGTAGGTAAATTCCCCTTCATGGCCAACTCCAGAGCCAAAACAAACCTCGAGACCGATGGTTTCTGCAAAGTCCTGGCCTGCAGTAACACCGACAAAATCCTGGGTGTTCACATGATTGGACCAGCTGCTGGTGAGCTCATTAATGAGGCTGTACTTGCGATGGAGTATGGGGCAAGTGCCGAGGACGTCGCCAGAGTCTGTCATGCACATCCCACATGCTCTGAAGCCCTCAGAGAAGCTCATCTCGCTGCCTACTTCGGCAAACCCATCAACTTCTAATTGATGTCATCAAAAACCGAACGAAACGAAAGACAAACTTGTCTTTTACTTCGCTTTTAACCCCTAGTCTAAAGACGAGAGTGATGAGCAGAAATGGAAGAGTAAGTCAGGCACTATTTAAAAAATTCAATGAACACTGCACTTTCGCTCAAACCCGTGAGATTGGTGGGTTGTAAATAATTGAAATAATGAGAGAATCGTTATTGTACGATTGGTTAATTGTATTTATTAAAAATAAATTGGTTGAACCACACGATTATTTCTTATCTCTTCAATTCCTGGACATCAAATGTCAGCACAGCTTCCCCTTATATTTTTCTTTGATTTTTTTTTTAAGTTGGAATATTATAGATGAGATTAAGTAAATAAATGCTTATAATCTATTATTTTCTCGAGATTTTGAGTTGTGAAAAAAGGGAGTTTGCAAATCGGATCGAAGACTCAACCAATAGTTATTTCCTTCATCTTTTTTTTTTCAAATTTGCCGCCAAATGGATTGCCCGCCGGATGTTGGCGCGGGGGTTGACCATTGTTGCCGGCAGCTCTCATTGGAAACATCAACACGAAAAACGTGAGAAACGGCAACCCTGTGTTCTCACAAAACAGTACCGAGTGTGGCACTTGGCCGTGCCTACAGTGCCCACATGCCGTCGGCACACACCCAAATGTTTGTGTTATTTACCCTAAAATTGCCATGTGATAATTTCAAAAAGTGTCATCCAACAATTCCATCATCAACAATGTAATCAGCCACCAACGTGCCAATAACCACCGAAAATGTGGACAACAACTAAAACAACAAAATACGGAGTCGGTGAGTGAGATCTCATGTTTTTCAATTTCAATAGTACCCGCATTAATTTCAACCCCCAGAGCTGTCAAAAATCCCCCTGATCCCAGAGGTCCCAGGTGATCAGTCAATCCGGTAAAAGTCATTCGTTGAGAAAAAAATTATCGAAACTGAATGAATCAAACTTCGAGGAACCGAGAAAACAATTACGTCTCAAAATCATTGAATTATTTCTACGATATCGTGTCTGAATATTTGCGTATACGATATGAAAAAAGAACGTGCTCAATTTGAACCCGTACGCAACTTGACGCAAGCGCTCATGTATTAGTGTCTGTTAGTTTGCTCCATTCATCCATTGATCGTATTCGAGTAGAGTAAAAGGACCGAGGGGGTTTGATAAGGCGAACCGTCTATGGGTCCAACTGGTCCAACTTGCAATTGGACTTAAATAAACTCCACTCCCCCTTCACCCCCTGACCCCCTTTGACGCAATGATTCGGATGTGAGGGGATCATAAACCTTGGGATGAAAATAAAAATAGAGAAATGAAAGAATTGATGGGTTCAAACAGAAGAGCAAAACGCAAATTTTTATGAATAATATTCACTTCTTTCTTAACAAACACTCGATAATAACGAATTTTTTGCATTCGCAGTGACACCATTACATGACTCACACGAAAATAATAATTAGTTTTGTTAGGGTAATTTATTAATTTCGAGAGAATTTTCAATGCAAATGTTGAGTTTGAAATTTATTTAGGCTGAGTAAAGTCAGGAGAAGAGGAATTTGGCAGAAATATTTGTTAGTTTATTGAGATTGGTGGATTGCATGGCATTTTATGAATGGAATTATCGATTCACGTGCAAGCTCATTGAGGGGGGCTAATCCAACCGTGTGTGCATTATGAGAGAAAGTAAAGAGATAATTGAAAGGATCAGGTGGATCGAGTAGCACTTGAAACTGGATCCACTTAGGAAGTACATATTATGCGCTTCAATGGGTGAGAGAAAATACCCGACACGTCTCGTTGTTGTCTATTTTGTTTTGGTAGTCGTTTTGGCAATTCGATACAAATTAATTGAACTTGTGATGTGTCAGGACGATTTTAGTTCGGATAGTGTCGGTTGTTTCTCCTTTGGGTTGAAATTTCGTAATATATTCGAATCAAATGATTTGTTCTATTCTATCTAGGAAATAGTCTCACAATTGCTAAAATGTTTCTATAAATTGAAAAAATAATCAATTCATTAATTCTTATATCGATTTTTCTTTGAATAATTAGAATGATATTTTTTTTTGCAATGACCCGTGCGAAAATTTAATATTAATGAAGGATTTTTTAATATTGAATTTTACATTTTTCGTATTGATCACTCGAATTGAATTGAAAATTTGAATTAAGACTGAGTATTCGCCATTTGAATTTTAGATTGATTGAGGATTTAGAGTAATGATTGCCTGAGTAGTGACAATCTTTGATAATTTACTTTAACATATGTACTTGAAAATAAAAATGTCATTGAATATCCCTTTTTTCAAGAAATAGTCTCGATCATCCGATGCCACATGTGTGGAAATAATTATTTATTTATTTATTAGAAATTGGATTGAGTCCTCGTTTTTATATTTTGTGCGAGAATCGCTGGTGTATTGAGTAGGACGCTGATAACGACCACTTTGATAAGAGGTTGTTTTTATTTTGCGTTTTGTTGTGAAGGTAATAATAAAGATGGCAGGATGAGATTACCCACTTCTCATGTGCCATTTGTGCTCACGTTATTGCTCGTCGATTATTATGCACTGGAGGAAGGTTGAATGGGAAAAAATCCATTAGTGAGGATGTTTCGGTCTTTTATTCTCCTGGTGATGGTGGGGTTTTAGGATCTTTTCCTGTTGGTGATGTCCGGAGGGGAGATGTGGAACATGACAGCTTTGTTGATTACGAACTTGTGCAAAATGTGAGAGGATATTTTACATGCACCAGACACTTTTAAAATTCATCATTCCCGAAATAATTGCGTGATTCATATAATCGACGAAATATTAAATCTGACTGTTAACGAAAAATTCTTTGTTGAGCCAAATAATTTATTAACTTCCTGTTCTATTTCTTGAGACTATTCCTAGAAAACATTTTTCACTGGAGCTGTCGAACTTCTTGGGCAACAACAGCAAATTACCGGCTTTTATCCGATAATTGTTTTCTGAATTACTTTGTCTAGAAGTGCAATACTACATGAAAGTTGAAAAATTATTGTATTCCGATTTACTGCTTTAAATAATTATGAAAATATCTCATTAATTACCTCTTCGCTGCAGAATTGAATTGAGAAATAAAAAATTCCAATGATTTCCAAATCATTCCAACAAAAAAGAAGAAAAACAATGAGTTTTCATTTTTCAATTACACCATTTTCTTGGATTTTAATGCAATAAAAATTTTCGGGATTCAATTATGAAAATGTTTGTCGGTCATAAATCAAACGTGGCACCTCCACTAATTACGCTACAATTACTTGGTAAAAAAAAACCTTTAAACCCGTGCGTCTGCATTTTTATAGTCGAGGGAATTTTCCATAGTAAAAAATTCCACATCTTCTCGTTAAAAAAATCGTTAATTGCGGGAATAAATCCATCACAAACAGAGCTACCTCAACCCATTGCATCCCGACGCAGAATTTGGTATTCAATCCGTGGAAAGTGAAAAAAAAAAATTGTTTGGAATTGCTGAGAGTGCAAACCAAAAGCGAATTCGATGTCTGGAATTGACAATATTTTTTCACAACCACAACTTCAATATTGGTTCGATCGATTGCACTCATATCAAAGCGTGACTCAAACATTCAATGAATATTTCTGGCGCTCATGACTCGACTGTAGAATTTAATTGGATGCTATCATTTCATGCTTTATTTTTGCAGTGTCGATAGAAATTTGAGGTATTGCATTTAATCCAAGTATCGTATGTCTCATCAGGTTCTGCTAACAAGTACGGAGAAATGTGGATATTTTTTATTCCCCTTCATGCTGAACTCATTTTCCCCATCAGCAATTTCTTTCTCTCCTTTTTCATCTCTTAGATAAAATTGCAGAGGAATTTTTACAGTTACTTTTAACACTCATTGGTAAATACAGGTTTCACGTCCATCAAGTATTTTCGCTGGGAGCTGTGAGTTGTAGGAATTTTTTGAAAAGACGAGACTAAATGAAATTCTTTAATCCCCAATATCGCGTGACTGGATGATACGATTTGAATGAATTCAGTCTCATTTCAAGGCTCCGGAAAATATCTTGAGAATGCCACCTGCCACTTTAAATTTCTCTCTGCTGATCCGGAAATATTGATATTTCAAGAAGATCCATTACAACATTCTACTCCGGTCTATTTTATTCGATAAATTTTTTTACATCAGTATTTTCCTTTGCCGTGGAATTTCCAATGAATAGTGGAAATCTGCGAATGTCCAGTCGTGCAGAAAGCGTGACATTGTCGGTAGTATTTCACCCATAAAATATTGATTTTGCTACGAATTCACGTGACATTCTTTGTTACTTAAATTGTTACTGAAAATTCAATGGTCCTTGAGTGCTTTGAATTACGTAGGGAACGGTTGTTATTTTTTATTGTTAACAATTATTCAATATCGGGGGAGAACTTATCCAGAGTTGAGTTAATTTTCAGATCGGGTTGACGATTAAAACTTCAAACTGATCTGCTTCTCCTCGACACTTCATTGATGAAGTGAGATCTCAAGCATCTCGATGGCATTTCTAGAAATTGAAGTCATGAAGGGGATCATTGTTCTCCTTTCATTCCGGAATAATAGCTTTTCAGAAGATCCACTATCTTTAATTATCCATATGAAGTTTTCTCAGTATTAATTAATTACTTCGGGTTATTAAAACTGTTCGCCAGTAATTTTCATAAAAAAATTCTGATTTTCTGGGTAATTAGCAATTTCAATTTCTTGATTGATCATTCACTGAATTCCACAAATTATTTCTGCCATTCCACAAATTATTATCTCTTAAATTCATATGGTGCTACTAATTACGTAATATTTATCAGCTGACAAGCCTATACTCTTCAATAACACCCGAAACGACTCAACCGTTTCGGCTTTCAATTTCCTCTGATAAGATAAAATAAATGTCCCCGTTATCAGACATCACTAATAATTCTTGTCGAATCCCCCATAAACGCATTTCACATCACCATAAAATTAATCCACATTCTGACATCAAGCTCTGGATGCCGAAAAAAAAATTATATCCACCTCCAGACACATCCAGCCACAGTATTAGAATATTACATTTGAAATTTCAGGTAAAAAAACCTGAAATTAAAAAAACGGTTTTGACAAAAAGGGGGAAGAACGTACGTAAGGGGAATGAACTTGAAAATTTAGATGGTCATAGCTTTTATAATAAGTTATAATAAAATTTGACACTGTAGCATGTGGCAACAAAGCCAACGTCCTCAAGTTAGGATCGATATAAACCACCATGTAATACATTCTGCCGAGACCACAGTGATTTTCGTGGCGCATTGTTTACGTCTGGTCGAGTCATTTGTTGCAGGCTGCAGCCCCAGTTCACCCTCTCGTTTCATTCATCCCCATTCCCCGGATCTTCATCCCTCTGCCCTTCAAAATTTCCCCTGCCAATGTTTTACACTGAAGTAGGGAAGCTATTGATTCGATTCCCCGGGAAATTCCGGGAAACTTAGTGTGCGAGAAAGAGAGAATAAAAGAAAACCCTAGGGGTTGGTGTTAGGGGTTGCCTTAACGTGTCGGTGGAGATCCTTTGTTCAGGGATATATGGAATAATGGGAGGCCAACCCTCACTCGACATTCACTCGTGAACTCTAACGTGTGAACTTTACACTTTTATGTACCACCTATGTGCACACAGATGAATTTTACATATTAATTGTTCCTCGGAGATGGGGATGCGCTCCAACTATTGTCTTGTGGGTCTTTGTGGGGTTGACAAATTAATAGGATTGAGGAATAATTCAAGGGGGGGTAATTAATTTTCGGGGGGAAAGTCGAGTGTGGACATATGTTGGGGATGAACGTGAAGATAAAAAATTCACATTTGGGGATGATTTCCATTCAGAAATCCATCCCATGACAATTCAGCCCTTTTACATTATTATTAATAGTACGGAAAAATATGACTCAATCTGAGGATTGAATTGAGTTTTCAAATGTTTGGAGAATTTTCAATATTTCGATTTCTGGTAAACAATCAGCAATCTCAATAATCTTAATAATTAATTATTTCATTTTACATTTCCTGTAAATATATACCACCACGGTGATAAGTCTCTCTGGAAAATGAGTGAATTCTCATTCGACACGTCAATGCAGAATTGCATCTGGTTAATTAAAAATATAATTACTTCCTGTTTTGCCCGCTCATTCAATAAAAATGGTGGTTAACAGCCCCTGAATCCCGCGGGTACAATTTATGATTGACTAATCATCCCCTGTATTGAACGGTGAGCGTAAAAAATATGTGAAATCGATGAATTAATGGGGAGGATGTACAATGAAAGTACATGTTATTATTTCATGTGGGAGGGAAACACGTGTTTTAATGTACACCCGTCGTTCAAGTCACGCACTCAGACTTTTTGTGAACAGAGAGGAGCATTGAGAGAAAATATTACGACTCGGAAAGAAAAATTACGCGACACAAGAAAATCATTTGTGATTTCAAAATTTCGACACCTGATGAATAATTTCGTATGATTTATTCAATGAATAAATTACTATCAATCATTGATAATAATTTAATAATAATAATAATAATAATATTCAACGATCGATTTAAATTTTAGGTAAAATCCAAGAGAATTCATGAATTTTCAGTGAGATTGAGAGGAAAATAATTCCAGCAGACGAAAACGCTAAAAATCTTTAGAATTTATTTAAAAAAATCAACGAAACATTTTTTAACATGAGTATAAATAAAAGTAACAAAATCATCCATAAATAATGAATAATTATTTACTAATTATTAATCATTATTAATAGAAATAAATAATTTAACATAATTCTTTCACATTGATGGATAGTTTGAGGAAATAATTTTTAAGTAGGCGAGGATTTGTAGTTGAAAACAGGATGAAAGGCATGATACGTTGGAGAGAACTATCCAGCCACACACTGGTGTTGTTTCTCGTGTAAAATAGTCATTGAGATGCATCTCGCGTTGTCTCTCACTGCGGCTGTCAGACCGGAAGTCCCTGTCATACGCACATTGTCGCACGGGCATCCGGTGAATCCGCAGCCCACTGAGGATAAAATTCCTTCGAGAAATTTCATGATCACAGTCCATTTCAATCAACAGCTACTAATCATTATCTCCTTCCTAGGGTCATTGGATCCAATGAAGTACTCAGCATTTTTTTTTATTAACCAGAAAATTTGATTGAAAATATTGGAATTGCAGTTGTTGCATACCTTGATTAGTCTTGGAGATGAGTGTTTTGATAAATTTCAGTTAATTCACCAGTCGAGTGGAAATTGAAAAATTTTCATTAACCATTATTTGATTTTATTGCTCATTCTGGTACTTCCTTTCAGCCGTTTATAATTGGAGGGGCGATACGAGGTATGGGCTGCCCCTCGAGATTGGCGAGACAGTTCAGATATTGGAAGAGTGCGCAGGTAATGAAACAGAGGGAAAAATGTTTGTTTGACATTTTATTTTCATTTTTTTGCCATTCGTGTTGTTGACTGCCATCAGGTCTGATATGGGACATTCCAATCAATAATTAGGGATTTTAATTGAAGATTAACTGTCGAGTAAAAAAATGGCCACAATGACTAATTGAATTATTTTATAACAAAAAATTCATGGAATATATTTTTTCAATAAAGATAGATTTATAGAGATATATTTATAATATAGGACATTCAAATCGATAATTAAGGATTTTAATTAGATTGGTAATAAAGTAAAAAATTTTAAAAAATGATAGAAATTGAAAAAATTCGGATAAATAAATCCTGGGGTTTTTAATTAATTGATTTGATTGGAAATTCTTTGCATATTTATATTTTTTAAGTGAAAATAATATTGAGAAAATGGTTTTTTTCCCCTAAGATTGGTATCGAGGCTTTTCTACGAAGAATCGAACAGTGAAGGGCATATTTCCAAGCTCCTATATTCACCTAAAGCCATGCAAAATAGAGAACGAGGGCCTCTTCGAGTCCGTTATACCCGTCGAGGATCCTGTGGTGAGGGAAGTCACCCTTGTACTACGGGAATGGGGTTCTATCTGGAAACGACTATACGTAGTGAGTATAAAACGTCTGCCAACAATTTTTCTTCATTTTTTCCACCCCCAGCTTTTTTTCGTCCCTTTATCCAGGATTTTTCTTTGCCTCGTACTTTTTTTTTTCGCTTTTTCATGGACGTTTCACATCATTTTTTGTCTTCATCCCTGTGTGCTCTGTAGATTTAGCTTCATCCTTGCTTTTTAATTTCACACAAGTGTTTCACTTGAGACTGTAAGTTTCTGTTTATTTTCGTAAACATTTGTCTAAATTTTTCTTTGCAATTTCACACTTCCTGAAATTTTCTTGGTAATTAGATTGTCACATTTGAAAATGAAGATAGTAGGAATGAAAAAAATCTATTAAAAAATATCAGATGACACAAGACAATTCATTAAATCGATTTTGTCGTGATTATAGCCTGGGAAAATCGTAGGAAAATTTGAACTGATCCACTCATTTGTTAAAATTTTATCTCATTTTCACCTCGTATCGACCTGCATGTCTCAGTGTCAGGCGAGGAAAATTTTCCCAGAGAGAAAATCCAGTGAATCACCTCCACTGTTCCTTATCTCGATTCTCCATAAAAGCACATGCACAACAAAAAACCGATCTTGGAGACTTCATGCAACATGAAATAGCACATTGGACTTTATTCACCAGCTGTTGTAACTCATGGACAATGTCTTCTTTGTCAATAGGAACGAGAGATCTACAAATTCAACACACTGAGAAAAGTTATGAGAGAACTTTTGGAATGGCGAAGGCAATTGTTGGCCGGTACATTGACCACCGATCAAACACGAGAACTCAAACTTCGGATTATCAACAAGGTCGACTGGGGAAATCGGTGAGTGTGTCAAACAGCTAGTAGATATTGCATGTATTTCTTTTGCAGGTTCACAAAAAAAAACTCATATTTTTTACCAGTCATTTACAACTTTACGTTTCTTATGCTCAGCCCTTGAATTCATAATTATTATGATTTTTTAAAACAAGAGGTTTTGAAATACGAATTTATTTATTTTTATCTTGTTTTTAACAAATGAGGATATGGAAAATTGAAGAATAGTCATCTGGAATTAATTAGGAATTGAGGATTTAAAGAAACATAATTTAATCCTTGAATATTCCATTATTTTGATATATTTTCATCACTCAAAATTCTTACCACCTAGTTTAACATATTAGTATAACTCTAAGAAGGCAGTTCACCTAATAACTCGATTCGTAGTCATTCTTGTCCCTAAAAGATATCACTTAGCTTCATGTGTCGATTCCTAGCTAGACGACTATCTCGTCCTGATCGTTATACAACTAATAGACTATGAATTGCGTAATCGAGTTGAATAAAAACATAAATCATCAAACTGTATTAAATCTGTATCTTCCGATTCAACTCCATTACTGAATTCATACATTTTCCGTAGGCAATTCGAGTTTGAGAGGCTTTTCAAAATAATTTTACCATACATAGTAATGACATCAGCAGCGAAGTCCATAAATTATCAAAATCTCGGTATCAAGAGATTATAAGAAAACCTTTCTCGAGGAATAACTGAATTTTTCAGTGATGATGGATTTTATCCGAAAAATCGTTCGGTTTTCTTTTTCTCAATTGAATAATTTTTTTTATCGGTGGACTTGAAGTGCGGTAATATAATTACCGAGATAACTAGCCCTCGCTGTTGAAGTAAAAAAATAGTAAGCCTTAGTTTAGCGAAAAAATGGTGAAACAATAAAAATTCTAAGTATCTGAGAAATTCCGATCATTCTTTATGGATTAAATCATCAAGTTTGAATAGAGTACAGTGTCCAGGGGCAAATCATAAATTGCAAACACTCACCACTCTGAGACTCAATCTCAATAGTTACTCAGTGTTCACTGACATTTGAATAGAACCATGGGGAGAGTAATAAATGAATGAGGATAACAATTTACTCAAGGACGGCATTGAGATGTAGCGATAACTCTAAGGTTTTTTACTATTCTTTTTAAAACACACTTGGCACCTTTGTCTTGTTACTTTATTGAGCAACTAACTCCTAGTGTCTAACGATCGATGATTAGCGATTATGATTACAAAAAAAAATTGTCGTGGAAATTGATGATTGCAAGTTTGTAGAACATTTTGCATGACGCCCTGGACGGATTGTGCACTCATTTGAGTTTACAATTTGCAATAGAAAATTTACAATTTATCGTCTTAAAATAGTTGAGATTTATTTGCATGATTTATCATTACGGTAGATTCCCGTTGTAGCCGCGTACATGGGGCTGGAGGAGAAGCGAATTCCGAGAATCGGACTATATACTACCTCCACCACGCGTTCGCTGCTACCGTGAACTGAATTTTTTCATAGCGAATTCAAATACGAAAGGAATTCATTTTGTAACTTTATTTTTCACGGCGTTTAATTCCTCGCCGGACGAAACAATGGATTGTTTACATCTTGGAGCCCGGGGCTAGTAGAATGGGGAAATGGAAATGATAGGCGAAAAATGAAATTGAGGCGAGGTGTGACTTTAACGGGATTCTACTGTAATTGCTTTTCTCTCTTGAAACACTGGAGGGGTTAAAACATGGAAAATATTAAAATTGCAGAATCACTTTGTTTGAATACTTTCGTCGTTATAGCAAATACTTTGTTCATCAAAAAATTTTCACTGTTATGAGAGGGCGAAGAATAGTTTTTCAATTCGTTGCTGCATGGATTTCTCTTATTGCGAAGGAAATCTCCAAGTCAAAAAATTGAAGAGAAATTTTTTCCATTGCATATGAAAATGAAAAAAATTATTGAAAAATCCCAATTTCAACTGTTTTTCTTTCCGTTTAAACTCGATTTCAATTTTTTCTACCGGATTTATAAATTCGCTTTGCATGAGGAATCGATTGAGTCACAGCCCACAGATCCAAAGCGAATCGACCGTATCCCCTTTACAATAAATTTATTTTTATTTACGTAAAAAACCCTCACGCGTTTTTTTTCCTCGATTTCACGTATTTTATTGAACCCTTCGGACATTGCACCATTAGATGTAATGAGAAAAAAAAATGAAGAGTACAAAAAATCATAGAAAAAAAAATGAATGCAAAAACATTGCAGGGAAAATTTCTAGACATGACAAATGTCGTAATTAATAAAATGGGTTAAAAATAGATGCCACATACTCTCGGTTATGCGGAGAACTGAGCGTCTAATCTCATCAGGAGAAAAAATTGATTAATGATTGATTAAACTCACGTTGATAGTGCAACTTCATTGCATTTGAAGGGAATCCCAACGTGTTTATCACAATAAAGGGAGAATTGTTGTGGGGGAACTGATGAGAGATTATATTTCCGTGTCTTTCGAGTACTTTTCAATCTCGGGATAGATTGGTGACATCTCGAGGGTACTTGGGGCAGATGGAACTGACGCTGGGGATGCACCACTGCTTGAGCCGACGTGTAGACGACGACACAATTCGTCTAGTACCTCACTGAAGAGCATCATGTTCAGATTTTGGCCTAGAAGGTGGATCAGAAGGAAATCACCGACCTGAAATCCAAACAAAATGTCAGTAATTTCCTCAAGACTCGCTAATTTTTCGATGGATATATTCTCTTCTATCATAAACAGTTTTTTTTTTCAAGAAGATGCTAAAAGCTAATTTATTTATTTGCTATAACACCGGCGTAAAAATTCACGAGTGCTGAGCATCTGCATAAGGTCTGGATGCAATCTTTATGAACTCTAGATTATATCTTCTCAGCCCCTCGTGAGAGGCTCAAGAATTAATTAAATTCCTCTCAACCTCCGCAAATTCTCGTAGAATGAGAGTATGAATTAATTGTATGGGATTTACATAAAATTCTATGTATTTTCATTAAAAATGTATTCACCTGTGTCTCTCTGACGAGTGCACTGGCACCGGACGATGTACTGAACTTGAATCTCCTCTTGAGAATGGTTTCCCTTGTACTTGGCAGTAGAACAACAGCCATACTGTAGAGCAATGCCAAGCCCGACATTGCAGCTAGTATAATGAACCAGAACCAGAGGAATATAAAGATCTTCTCGTTGAGGATGTTCAAGGCGAGAACACACAAGGCATCGAGTTTTTGAATCGTTCCAGATGCACCAAATTTGTGAAATGTACACTTGGTAATGCGGGGAAAAATTTCCACCATGGGATCACTTCTCTGTTCTTGATTCATGTTGCTGAATTTAACGACTTCAGTTCCGTACGTCAAAAATGCACCGCCCAGGAATGTATCCACGAAGAAAATATTCCCTACCTTTAGATGAAGATAAATGACATGAAACAAAGAAAAAACTTCGGGTGAACTTCAGGCAAAAAAATTCACTTCGTTAAAATGAAAATAAAAATGAAGAAATCCCATTGAAGGATTTTAATGATGAAGAATAATTTCAGCGAAGATAATGATAACAATTTGCCATGCACTTATTTTTCTGGTGTCTGGAGTTATCCACCCAGGAAAAAATATCCTAAAATATCCCTAAAATTTTATCAATGTATTTTTATCTTTATTTTTGAGAGATTTTTGTTTGGGAGGATAACTCCTAGATTGGTTTTCCATTTTATCCAATTCTAATACTGAATATTCATCTGTAAATAAAATCTCTACAAAGAAAATGTTTTCAGCCTTCAGCGACAAAACATCTCATCAAAAAAACCTTCAGTTGTGCTCAAAACGGACAATTTATTTCGTGGAAATAAAAAGAAATGAATGCAGGATTTAATTACACAGAAAAATAGTAGAGGACGTAATTAAGAAAAGAATTGGGATGAAATTGTTCTGGGTTATAAAGAATTTTAAGAGAAGTGAATTACTCTTTACAACAAAGAAATGCATTTTAAAATAAAAAAAGTGATAATTAAGTTAAATACTCACAACATTGACAAAATTGAGAGCCTCGCAGAAGAAATAACCAGCTGCGTAGCTGTTATGAAGATGCAGAGTGTCCATGATGTATTGAACCAATCTAAAAGCCTTGGCCTGTCTCTCCTGCTTGTTCTCCACTATGGCACCTCGCAGCCCGTCTGAAATCATTCTGACTTTGCCCTCTTCCCACTGTTTCCACATCCAATGAGGAATGTAGAACAACAGCCCCTGGAAGAACAGCATGAATGGCACCCACTGGTAATACGAGTGATATCTCTTTTCTCCGGTGTCAGTGCCAAGTCCTGGATGAGCCACTTGAGTTCCCACTTGCTTCATCTGATTCGCAGGAAGAGTATAGGTGTACGTTATCCAACAGAAGGTGTTTATCACATGACTAGGAACTGCCGACTCGCCGATGCAATTTATTGGATCACCTGAAGGACAACATAATTTCTAACTGTTTAAAATTCCCTCAAATTTTTCAAACACTGAAGAAAAAAAATGATTGACAGCGAATCCTATCAATGAAATTTGTTTTATTTATAAACGAGATAAATAATCACGGAAGAGAAAGCAATAAAGCCGATTTAACAACTGAAATAAACCTCGCTAATCCTCGACACATGTAAAATAGCAAACAGGTGGTGAACAGCTTGGAAGACACCAGTGAACACATGCGGTGCTATTCATAAAATCAAAGTGCACGCTCATTCGTAATCTTTCTTGTGAAGAAAAAATATCCCATTACAATATTGTACTTACCAATCAAGTTGTTGGCAGTGACGATGATGCAACATGCGAAGAGAATAGCCGAGGTGATTCTGTAGTGCGCCCTGAAGACTATGTTATCGATAATGGCCCTGTCTATGAGATACCTTACTTTCACGAACCCGGCGACTGCCGAGACGAGACCGAACACCGCCATTCTGGATGTGTCTCAGCGACTGCAAAAAATATTTAACAATGATTACTTCTCGATTATCAGGACCCATACAGAAAACGAGGTTAAATCGACTGTTAGTTTGTAAAAAATATCTGAAAACAGATGATGATGATGATGAGATGGAAAAATTTTTGTCATGGCCTTTCCTATACAGCCGGATAAAAAAGAAACAAGTTATCCAGACGAGAAGTATCAATATAAGAAAATAAACGACACAAGTTCGTCTTTCCTTTCTCGTTTCTCTGCTTGAACTTAGTACCCACAAATATATACATATAAATTATTCAAACTCGAGGTTGAATCGATCTCACATCCATAAGAGACAGAATAATTTGTGATCAGAGTGATCTCCTGTGCTTTTTTGAATTTGATCTTCAGTTTCGGAGTTGTCCATGAAAAACTAATCTTCAAGTTTCCTGAGCTGCACAAGAAAGGAGTTCACACGGCGAGTGAAAAATAATTGTGTCGCAAGACTGTGCTACTCCCAGGGTTCTTCATTTAAACTTTTATTAGTCAATTAATCGAGCAAGTCTGTGTAACTGCGCGTGCCAGAGCGTCGAGGAGGTCAATCACCAACTCGAGAAGAAACGAGTCAACAGTTGATTCACCCCGGATTTTCTCAGCCACTGGATTTAACTCTGAGAAACTCGAATCACCGGTTCTCGAGCTACCGGAGAACAACGAATGCAACTTTTTTATTCCGATTTTCATTTCCCCCTTTATTCTCATCCTGTGGTTGAAGGATTTCCTCTGCTCCTCAGGTATTGGGTTACAAATGAACAAGACACTGTGAGCATTTGGCCTTCTGTCTATTTGAGGCAATTGAATCCGATAAGTAATCGGGATGGTGATTAGTTATTTTTAGATTACGGCTCTTACGAATTTGAATTTATACCCAGGAGAAACAATTCCACATTCTACAACGAAATTCCTTTTAAAATTCACGAGGAAACTTTAATTGGAGATTATTCCTAAAATTCCTATTAATCCTAAAAAAAAAATCTCCACCCCTTTTCAACTCAATTACAGAATTTATTCCGTAAAACCAATTACTTCCCAATTGCTCTATCATTCTCAATTAATCCATTGAAAAAAAGCAACCTTGGGACTAAAAGCGTGAATTTTCCAGCGCCATCAATATCCTCTCCAGACAGTCCACCCGGCGACAAATAGCCTCGAAAACAGGAAAAGACGAGAGGAAGGCGACCGATATCCGGGGAAGGACGAGCATATCAATTTGAAGTGGATACTCCTCCCCTGGATACACGATTCTGTGGAAATTTGAGGTCAGAGGCACGCGCTGCTCCAGCTTGAGTTGGAATTTATGCCGGATGAGTTGAATAATGGTCATTCACTGACTGAGGCCACTGAGGAGTGTAGTAATCGTTCGTAATGAGAAGTAGGGTTGTAGTCACGAGGTACCACATGTAGCTAACTCTTCAGAGTTAAACTGACTAAAGCAAATACATTGATTCCCTATTCAGCAAATCTTCCGAAAATATCTTTAAAACTACTAAAAATAATGATATTTCTCATATGACCTTTTTTGTAAACCTAATTGAAAGCCACGAAAAAGATTATTACAGAAAATCAGCTATTTCCTTTAGTTTCCGAAATATTTACGAAAAACTTGCACAAGGCGACTTATCACTTCTCACCACTCTCCCATTGAAATAATTTCCAAAGATATTGCGAAAGATTAAATTAAATTGAAAATTCGACATCCTGATGGTTGTAGTCCATGAGAGTTTTTTTTTTTTTAATTGTGTAATAAAAGTGGTCAATGGTAAAATCATTGATGCAACAAGATTGATACCTTCGTTTCCAGTAACCGCAACAAAACCGTAACACCCCGCAAACTCATTCGTGATCGGAAAGATAGATTTAATAGCCCATTGAACAATTCATGACAAAAAACAATTTAACATGCGTCATCGCGACCCTGACTCACGTCCTTTTGCAGCATGACGCGCAGAGGGAATGATAGATGCAGCACGTCGGTGTTTCAAATGACAATGCACCGTAGAATTCATAAACTTGGCGTGTATTTCCATTTCTCCATGGTGAAAGGACAACGATCCTTCGAGTAGAACGTGTTATGGCATTTACGATGTGTAATCAGTGTACAGTTAGTTTTCAGCATCGCCTCGAGTGTTTTTTATTTTTCCAGCTCCGAGAGCGTTTTTAAAAATTCGAAAAATCATTGGAGATTTTTATTTCGGTGAAGAGCACGTGAAACGATTTTTTTCGACGGCATTCCACTGCTTTGGAACAGCCAAACGAGAATGGTTTTGTGGGAATAGCCTTCTCGTGGGAATACTAATGCTTTCAATTAGAAAACCAGAGGTGCTGCGTAGGTGCCGATCCTTTCCTTTAGAATGGATTTTAATGGTTGTTTTTAATTGTCTGTGGTTTACATTACACAACTTCTATTGATTTGGGGATCTGAGAGACCTCTAAGACACCATCCAAGAATTTACATTAAATTCTCAAAAAAAATTCCAAAAAAATTCCACGAATTCTGGAGAATTGTATCCAAAACTTGAATTTTTATGATAATGTTTCCTCTACAATCGGTTTCTTGTCATTCATGCGAATTATTTACACACTTTTTATGGAATTTAAATAAAAGTAAAAAAAAATTGTGATTACATAGCTTCGAGTGGGAAGAGAGAAAAACTTTTCAATTTTCGGGAAAATCGCGCGCACCTTTTTAATCTTTACATTTGTTATCTCGTGTTTACTCATGCCTGGGGAACATGAGAGAAAACACGGAAGGGCTCATAAACCATAAAAGTTTATAGTTTTCCATCAATATAAACCGACGAACTAAATTCAACTAGCTTTCCCTGAAAATAGCAAAACCATTCCCAAAAACTCGTTTACCTTCGGAGTCGTATTTTTTCTCTCAACCATATTATCATTTCAATAATAAAAAAAAAGAACGTGACAAAACGATAATTCTGCCGTCTTTCAAAATTACATATTATTTTGACGTATTGAATTTTAGATCTCAATTAAAAAATTAAACATTGAACAACTCACTGAATGAAAAAAAAACGTCAGAGCTGTTTTTTTTTTTGAGAAACAAAGAAATTCCCCTCCTCAAAATTTTCCTCTTTCTTGGGATTGATCCCCCACGTTGAACTAACGGCTGCCGAAACTTTCTCCCGAAATCCCTGGAGTTCCCCCAGAAATCCCCAAAAAATGACCCCCAAAAATTCGAAGATTGTCCAACAACTTGACCAATAGTATCACCCCTGGGGAAAGGTGCAGCAACAATGGTTCGACGAAAAAGGTGCCCCAGAATGTGGGAAGGGAGCAGAAGTTTTAAGGCACCACAAACCGCCAGAGAAATACTGGCAACACCGTTTAACTTAAAACTCGAGGTGATATCCCTGTTCTCCCACTGTACACAAAAGCAAACCCTCAATTCCCTCTTCTACACTGTCCATGTTAAACATTCCGCCCGATAAAAGACACCGTAAACCGAGAATTAAAATCGAGATGAGACACGTCTTATCAACCGTCTTGCGCTCCATTTAATCACGATCTCCTTTTGTTCAAGAACGGTTGTCATTAAATGATAAAATGGTGGGACAAGGGGAAGGGGTACATGATGGAAGGAACGAGGTAGCCTGTTGCTGGCAGCATGCTTCATGCATCACATGTTTCCCACGACAAACTCCAAGAATTCTTCCTTTTATTCACATTATTTCGATCACCCACAAGTCACCAATAAGTGTTTGGCATTTAATGAGGGAGAGGAACGAATTGTTCCAGTCGGGTGGATTTTTCGTTGAAGAAATTCACACTCAGACGCTCACCTAATCCTTAAATCCTCAATGGAACTATTCTCCAAATATTCTCTTGATATATTCTGCAACTATTCTGCACTGGAGTTTTTTTTTTCTTCACTCGTTGGTTTTAAACTGTTTTTTTTTTTTTAAAGGATTAATCATTGGGTGGGGGCACACTTGGATTCCAAAGGGCTGGAATAATTTAGGGAAGTTATCGGTGGATAAATGAAACAATAAATGATGGGACGCGCGTCGCGCCGACTCGGGGGCCCGACAGTGCGACTCGCTGGCGACTGACTCCGGGGTTCACTCACAGCATTCACAGCTCGGGCTTATGCTGGGGCCCCACCACCCGCCATATTGTCATCCCAGCTCCCACAGAAATATTCGACATTAAGAAGTTATGCACGGTATCTTCCAATTTTTTATAATTTTTTTTTATCAATCTCGGTGAAAAAATATATCGTTTTTAAGTTTTATCTTTATTCAATGATAAATTCAATGATAAATTTCCACAGTGGTGAATCGTCTTCTGTCAATTTTTGGTAGAGATTTGGAGATTTTTTCAAAAATTTATTGCGACCAGGGGAATCAAAGATTAAATAATTATGAAAGTGAAAATCGGAATCTTTTCTCACGTCGATTTAATCAATGCAATAACTTTTTAAATATTACTCCCGAGCTAATGTTATTCCGCGATTTTTTTTTCTGATTATTTGAGAGGAATTTCCCCTAATAAATGACGGACCACCTTCAATTTTTATAAATTCAAAAATTTCAATTTTTATTATAGTATTTCTTCTAAATTCGGTTCGTTGTCATTCATGAGAATTACTGACACATTTTCATTCATTTGAAAAATATCTCGACGGTTCATTACTGTTCTACTGAATTACCAATGTATGTAAATGCATAATCTCCAAAGTCGATAATAGAAATCACGTGTCGTTTGCAGAATTGTTCAGTACATTCATCCAGTAATTTCTTCATTCAAGAAAAAATTATGAATATTAATAATAATGAATACTTCTAAAAGGGGAATTGTAAACAAAACCGTATCTGACTAATGCCACAGATAATCGTCTTTACATTATTCTAAAATCTCTCATTATCTTAAAATCGAGTAATTAACAAAGCTTGAAAAATACACAAGTAATGGCAGTGCACGGGGTGAAATAAAAAACTTACTGACAGAAAAGAATAGACTCTTACTCCCTCAGTAGATTAATTCCCACTATTAATTAAGTGGTTGAGTTCATCGAGTCATCAATGCCAATAAAAAAAATTCCATCCGCGGTGATAATTCTTTTTTATGCCATCGGTGCCCGTAATCACGCGATTCTAACCTCGCTTCGCTCGGTTAAATCGCGGATTCCGGGCGCAATGACATAAAATTTTGTATGAAACGCGTGCGTAATATATTTTTCGACTCGTGGGATTGTAAAACTCGCCTTCGGCTCGTGTTACAAACCTCCCACGAGTAAAAAAATATATTACGCACGTGTTGCATAATATACTATTCTCCCATTTTTTCTCCTCGATAACCGAACGCTAACGATTTCATAATTAAATCATCGAATGCTTGACATGGTTGGAGTAATCACCACAATTTTCACTTTATCTCGGATGATCATTAAACAGCCACTTCCAGAGATCGTCACGGGATCTCATCTCTCACGGAAATCTGCAAAAAAAAAAATCGAAACTCACAAATATTAAATATTCCACATGAATTTTTTATGAATGGTCAGGAGAATTCCAATTTTAAGGTCCTGGGGACACCGAAAATTAGTAAAAACAATGCAAATCAAATTATTTTTTGTAATTCTGGATCTATTGGAAATTTAATAATCTTCAACATGAGGAATTCTGGGATAATTGTTATTGAAAATTAAATAAATGTCGAACAGTGTAGAGATGATTTTTCATGAGTGGACGAACGATTTGCGGAATAATTCCGCAATAAATGGATTTCCATTGGAAATAGAAAGAAATGGAAAATTGGGTGTTCCTCCTGAAGGTGAGGGAGATGGATGCCACGAGGTGGACTAGCCGGGTTGTAAGGGAATAATAACATTAAAAAAAACCTGGTCCAGAGTGGATCGGAGCCAAGGTTTTCAGCATGGTGAATACACGGTAACCAACCAAGAACCTGTTCGCCCCATCCTCTGCACAAATCCCCAGCCTCGAGTATGCGTTTTCTGGGCTCTTTAAAGTTCCCTCCATTTTTTTCAAACTCTTTTTCAAGCCCCGATTGCTTCCACTGCTGTTTCAGAACTTTCCGAGACTTTTTACCTTTTTTTTTCGTTTTGTGTACCTCAAGTACTTGCGTAATCGTACTTCAGGCCATCTCCAGGAGGCACTGGCCATTATCTGTTTTTTTCATCTTCAACAATTAAATCCCTCAAACTGAAAATTAAAATAAAAAATAAATCTGAGTAGCAAATTAAACTTTAATTTACAATTAAAACAGCTAATGATAAATAATGATAAATTCTTCTATAAATTTTATAAATTCATAAATATTATAGATATTATTTTTTATAAATTTTCCCCATGGGTGATAGAATAATTCCCGTGATTTTCTCTTCGCACGTTAAATACCCGTAATTTTTCTAATTCTTTAACTACACTAAATACTTGGTCCACTCAATTCTCTCGTTTCTATTTTTCTTTCGAGTTAACTCTCTCCCAAGTTGCCTGGACGTTTTTTATCGGTTAATTTTATTTCTCGTTACTCGTTTGCCCCTCGCTTACGCAGTCCAGGAGAACGAGCCCGGGAGGGAAACCTCCGTCCACCTGAGCCCCAGCCTCAGTGTCTGTGTGCATTAGAGATCTCTTGATTTGTACGTACACGATTACTCGATTACTCGTCTGTGAGGTCGAGTACAGGGGAAGAGGTATACACGGAAATCCTTTGGCTACCGGCGGTACCTCGCAACACGCTATACACTTGGAGGGAGTTAAAAAGGAAACTTAATGAATGGAGGCAATCGACGCTCTCATTAAGGATCTTCTGCCCCTTTTCCGCTAAATTTCACCTTTTTTTTTTCATTTTTCTGGGAAACTTACGAGGGGATTAACACGAAACAATATAATTTTTTCTGTTTATCATTATTTAATGATTCAAGAAGTCTCATCAGACCTCAATAATTTTTCTGTGTTTTTTCTAATATTTTATAGATTTTTAAAAAGCTCAGAAAAATACCTGGGACATTATCGCACGATCATGACGTCTTGGGAGATATTCATTAATTATAAAATGCGAAAAAATATAATTAATATAATAACAGTATAAATATATAATCCGTCAACAATCAACAATTTCTCAGTACACGTAGAAAAAATATTAACAGCTTTATGTTATAAATAATAAATTTCAAGGAAAATGTTTGTCTCATCCGCAAAAAAATTTCTGCAATCACTCGGAGAAAATTCCAAAAATCATTGGATCTGATTTCACTCTGCTCTGCACGTCATAATTGCTTGGCCATGCAGATTTCCTTTATGAACGCCAAGAAGTTTCAGCTAGAACGTCCTGATAATATTTCTTTAGCTCATCAAAGTAGTGAATGGTATCGCGAGAACTGGAGTTGCGACTGATTAAGTGATTGTGGAGATATCTCAAACATCCTCATATGATAGGAAAGAAATGATAAATCAATTATAAATGTTGAGTGGACGAAAAATCAACGATGAGACGTATTTAATCATGCGGCATTTGCTCTAATTGAGAACATGCGGGGTCTCTCGCGAGATTTGACCCTGACATCCATTACTTTCAATCCTTTTACCGCACTCTGTATACTCACCTCAATTTATAACAGAGAACAAACTTGCAACAGTGTAATCCTCTCATCATTATCCTATCACATCACAAAAACATCATAAACTCATTATTTATCTTAAAAAATCAAAATTACCCGAACTACTCTAATTATAGAAAAAATGCAAAATTGCAAATTGTATAATTTTTATTAGAGAAGGGATCACTGATAAAATGGATAGTAGATAAAAATTTAATTCTGGATAATATGATGAGTCAAATGACACGTTTCACATTTTTAATGAGTGATAACAAAATGACTAGCTTCGGTTTTATTTGACTTTTCGGTTTTATTCTCATTCTTGGAAATGAAAAAGAGAGAAGTAAACCGAGAAAAAGGCGTATGTTGTTATATGTATACAACTGTGGGGTCTGGAAGAGGAGGTCGGTGCCTCCTGCGACGTGACGCCACTGCATACCATATCCAGGATCCAACCGGTTATCATGGGCTTGCCTTCTCCACTCCCCACTTTCATCTTTGTCTCTTCAAACCCATATACAGAAATGTACACGTTGCCACGGGGATCTGACATTTATCGAGAGGGTATATAAGAGAGTATGTATCTTCCGACACCCGGGATATGGCTGCGAGACCTCGAGATCAAATAAGATGAATGAACATTTTCAGTTATCAGCGAGAAATTGAGTTGCGGGTGAAAATTAAATATTGGGTTAATTACTCTCTTCTAATTTAGAGGGAACCATTTGAAATTCTGGATTTGTTCTTTAGAGAGTAGAATGAACCATTCTCACAAGTGGAAACCAAAGACTCCAGTGTCAACTCATCACATAATTCGACCTACGTGCTGACGGGCTCTTCTTGTCATTCGATACAATGGTGAACATCTACGCTTTCTTCAACGAAGCAACGAGAATAGATCTGAATAAAAAAACAATTAAGAAGACATGACAAAATAGCTGGGAGAAGGTCTCGCCAATTTATTTACTCCAACTCTTGTCGACTTGGTGATAGCAGGATCAATCCTGTGCAGACATGAATAATTCTATCTTGTCATTGTGAATAGAAAATCAAAGAGGGATATGTGAGGACAGGGATGTTGGCCTCCACCAACTCATGAGAAATAATGGTTTATCTGCTGAACAAATCCAGAGCCAATAATCGTGCTAGTCCAATGATTGAAGAAGGTAGCAAGAGAGTTGTATTAGAGTTTACTTGTTGGGGCCCTCCTGGGTGGACTGTAATTATAGCGGACAAGTCTGCTACTGAAACGGATCCGTCCAATCGACGAAATTGCGATACTCAGAACTAGCCATTCTTTATTCTTAGAATTCATTGGATATATCATTTTCCTCTTCAGCGAGAATAGAATCTTTACACAAGGAGATAATATCGAATATCAAAAGCAGTCGGAATTGAATTTTTTGTTTTACTAACAGATTTTAATTAACAAAATTTGATTTTGAAAAAAGAAAATTGGAAAAAATTCGGAGGATTTTTCTTATATTAATTTTTGACATTTTTTTATTCTATTTTTTTAACTCTCCGAATCTCCGGAAAATACTTTTTTGCCGGCGAGGAAATTGAAAAGAAATGTTTTCAAATATCACAAACACCATTCGGTGTCTAATGAGCGTCATTGAAAATGTATTCAATAATCTCTATAATTATGAAATTATATTCAAATGAATTATTTGCACGCGAGTCATGAGAATTTTTTAAATGATAAATGCACACAGAAAATTTTATTTAACTATTAATCCCATAATATTCTGTTGAATTTTTTCCAAAAAACAATTCTTAAACTTGTATTTAATTTTCTAATAATAATAATAATAACAGCCCATAAAAGCTTTTTAATCTCTTAATTTTTAATGAAATGAGTAGAAAATGAAAAGCATAAATAATTCGAAAAAAAAAAATGATAAACACTTTTTCAAAAAAGATAATTGGCAGTGATTTTTAACGCTGATACCAAGAGTTTAGGATGAGTTTAGAGACGAGTGGAATTTCTATCATCTCCTAATATAACGGATCGTACTAGCGTGTTTGCATTGAATATTCATGGCAGACAGAGCCATCCGATATCTTTGGAAAGGGGCATAGGTCCCAGGGCCTGTGGGTCTCCCAGAGCCTGTCTCCACGCATCGAAGTCTCTTCGCTCGCCTCCCCTGCATTCCATCAACGAGTTGGGCCTTTTGGCCATTCAGAGCTGCTCTAACTCCCAATGGGGCCCCAATTCAAGGTGCCCAATGAGATAAATCCACTTTCACCAACTTCGTGTCCCAAAATCATGCCAAAATTTTACATTTTTTGGGATTATTTGATGAGCTCTCTCTCTTTCTCACTGATTACATTTTGGGGGAGGGTAATTAAACTACGGTGATTTATTTTTGGGGCTCTGGAGTGCCTTCATGTGTTACGCCCATGTGAAGTAACATGGGAAGGGTGTGGGAGTCTTTCTGCACAACCGGAAGGCCTCTGCATGCTTTTACACTGGTCGAGACTCATTTTTAGGTATCCCCAGGTCGAATTCCCATGAGGTAAAAACCCTTGGACGGGTAATCGTGAAAGTGGTCTGGCCTCCACCATTTACTGCTGATTCCCCATGGGCAATTTCCGAATGGCAAATAACTTTCAGGCGTCTCCCAACCATGTCAGGCTAAATTACTAAGGCTTTTCTTCAAGTTTTTTCACATTTTTTTTTCACATCGTGCATTGGATAAAAAAAATTTTATTTTTTTATTTACAAGTATGTCTCCATTCTACCAAGGAAAATGATTCAATAAAAAAGTTTGTCAGATAATTTATTTTTTTTAATGAAGCTATTAATTATTTGATAATAGATAGTAATGATTAATAATAATTATCGATTTATTTTGGGATCAATATTATTTCATGCTTCAGTCAAAATTATCAATTTATTCGGGAATACTGATGAAGACAAAAAAGTTTTGTTAAAAATCATGAATTTTTTTTTAAAAACGAATTGATCCTTTCCCCGGAAAATCTCCATTAAAATTGATTTTTTCCACGAGTGTAATCACATCATTCGATCTCATTAAGCCGTCAAAACCCCAACTATTCTTAATTAAAAAGAATTTTAGTGACGCAAATGAATGAGCATAAATGACTATTAACTTTCTCATCCACCACCACTTCACTACAAATTTTTAATAACTCGTTTTAATTGGATCACGCAATTAAAATGCATCAAATGAGAAAATTGTGGCGATGGGAGAAGTTGGATTAATTAAAATGGCCATTAGGAAATGCGTGGGTGGGAATTTCGAGTGTTGAAAAATTGCTCAGCGCGCTTGGTCATCTCCTGGCATTCGACCAGGACTTCTCGTGGTTTATACCTGCATTCCATTTGCAGGAGGCACAGGTAAAGGCGTATTTGAATGCATCGGGTGTAAGGCACGGGCTCGGGGTCATGGGAACTCGAAAAACTTGATGCTCTTGCAGATTGAGACTCGATATTTATTCTTCAATCATCCTGTCATTCTATTAAAATAATCCAGAAATTACGATTTTTTAATAATTAATTCAATTGGTTTAATCCGACTCATTAATCATTCAATCAATACAAGGAAATTAATTAACTGTTCCCATTATCTAATTATTGAAGATTTTCATTACTTGGAGATTTGTTCCGTGTTTTATTCGGATTGATGAATATGATTAATAAATATTCTGGGAGACATTGTTCACCGAGAAAAAAACGTAATAAAAATTCTAGATCAGTACCGGAAATTTTCCATGAATTTTTCACGAAATTCCCAAAAATATTCCTGGAACGAATGCGAAATTTTATTCGAACGGAACTAGATTTTTTCGTTTTCGATAGGTTTTAATTATCTTATTTATTACTATAAAAATAACTGCAATAATTCATTATGTGTGTAATTTTTGTGTAAAAAAAAATATTTGAAAGCAAAAAAGGATGAGGAATCGTCTGGTTTGATTGCAGAAAATTGGGATTAGACCTGGTGCCTCGTCAAGGAGCGCACATGGTGGATCCCGACACGATGTCGGTGGTGGAGCTCTACCACGTGGTAATTATCCCACAGCTCCTCCCTCGTGAAAAAAAAAGCCGCACCAAACAATTAATAATCCCTGATTAATTCCCCAGCACGTGCAGAGCGCGGAGAATTCTCAGGGTGCATCGGCCCGAGGCACTTTGCGTCGTAAGGAGCACAAAAAAGTACTCACCCATCACCTGTACTTCTGCATGCGAGACTTTGGCCACTCGGTGGGTGAAGATGCTGAAATTTACTTCTCCCTGTTTGACTCACGACGTGGACAATATTTGAGCGAAAGATTTTTGGTGAGAATATCCAAGGAAGGATTCTCCAACTATATCGAGAAATTGCACAGCAATTGCACTATATTTACGGACCTGGGTAATGCCGATTTGAGTCGGGATTTGTACGTCGTCGCTCATGTCATGAGATGTGGCAGAATGCTTTATTCTGATTCCGGAAAAAATAAAGCTGGAAGTGCTGTTTACAGAAGGCCACATGGGGTGGGTGTGCTACCACTGGCTGAAGCTGCCCAAGATCACACTGAGGAGTTGGAAATGACTTTCAAGGTAATGATTAAGAATGTTCTGTCTTCTCTCCACAAAAATTCAGCTTTATAAGTTTTAGGAAAAATTTATGAACGATTTCACCCGAGAAACTAATACTCTTTTCACATTTTTTTCATTATTTCATGACTCACGAAGTTGTACGAGTGCCCGATAATTTTCCTGTATTTTTTCTAATGTTTCACAAAGTTTTTAAAAGTCCAGGAAAAATGCAGGGAAATTATTGCACGCGATTGCGGCATTTTAGGAGTCATTAAATAATTATCGAATACGCATCTATTATTTTTAATTCGATGCAATGACCTTGAATTACTCAAAGCTCGGAAACGAGAATTCTCTCGTATTTTGTAATACTATTCTCAATTGGAGCAATTAAGGAGATTAGAGTATTCTCCCAATGCATGCGAAATTACTCTGATGAAAGTTTCAAATGTGAATACCTATTTTCATTTCCAATTACAAAACTTGGAAACTATGCTGGAGTCACACGTGTCTTGTACGATTTCCAGAATCTTCCCGCGAACTTACCTCATTATCAAACGTTTAATGTTCTTCCAAAGTTCAATCTCTCGGGAACAATACGAAAAACTGTTCATACTCGACTGAACACTCGATTATTCATTTTATTTCTTAAATGCATAATTAATAAATTCGTGAACTAATATAATTGATATAAATGATTATCTCATAAATGAAGCGAGCTAGAGAAATTTATATAAATACCTTTTTTGTAGAGTGAAATGTGGCGAAAAAAAAAAGATTCTCACGAAATTTCGTGATTTCTCTTCGGTTGAAAGATATTCACCGATAATCGGGGTTATCCCAAACGCCCTCTCCTACTTCCTCAATTATCAACAGATTGTCTTCAATTTTTGTAATAAAAAAATAAAAAATGGTCTCGGCAGGTGTATCAAGGTGAAGAAAAAGAATTTCATCAACTTCACGAGCAAATAATCCGAAACAACAAGTGTTCGCCTCTGCCAGGCCAGCCGAATTACGGTATAGTGGTCTCCCTTCGTGTCCTCCACGGAGAGCTTTCCCAAGTGCGAGAGGAAAATCCTCTGCTCTTCAAAAACATCTGCCTAACACGAAAGCTCGGCTTCTCGGACGTGATAATGCCAGGTGACGTGCGAAATGACTTGTACCTGAGACTAGAGAGAGGTGAATTCGAACGAGGTGGTAAATCCACTGGTAAAAATATCGAAGTAACGATGCTGGTTCTCGATGCTGAGGGCCAGCCCTTGGAATGCTGCCTCTTTGGAGCAGCTGGTATGGAGGGTAGCTCTGAGTACCAGAGTCTCGTTATCTACCACCACAACAGCCCCTACTGGGGTGAGTCAGTGCGATTAGCAGTGCCAATAGATAAATTCTACGGTAGCCACATTAGATTTGAATTTCGTCACTGCTCGACTCGCGAGAAAAATGACAAGAAATTATTTGATTTTGCTTTTGTTCGCCTAATGGATCCCGACGGTGGAGCTACAATTCAGGATGGCCTCCACGAGCTCTACATATATAAATGCGAGGAACGTGCCAAACTCGATTCACTCAGTTATCTGTCACTGCCTAGTAGTGCCAGAGAGCCCAATTGTCCGGGGATTCCCCCATTTACCAGATCACCCAAAGAAGCTGTATTCATAACCACACTTCTTTGCAGCACAAAACTCACCCAAAACGTCGACATCCTGAGTCTTCTCCAGTGGAAGGCACATCCTGATAAGATATCAGAGGCCCTGGGTAGGGTTCTCAGGCTCGATGGGGAGGAACTCGTCAAGTTCCTCCAGGACATCCTTGACGCTCTCTTTGCTATGTTTCATACTGAGGATGGAAATTCCACTGAGCATTCTGGTCTTGTTTTCCAAGTGCTCGTGTCGATATTCAGTTTGTTGGAGGACTCCAAGTTTGAGCACTTCAAGCCCGTGATGGACGCTTACATATCTGGACATTTTGCTGCTGCACTCGTTTATAAAGGATTATTGAGTAGTGTGCAGCATTGTGCAGACTGGGTGACTGCTGCAGAAAAACAGGAGCCCATTATGAAGTGCTTCAGGTCGCTCGAGTATATTTTCAAGTTTGTTATTCAGAGCAGATTACTTTTTGCCAGGGCAACCGCTGGGCAGTACGAGGACAGTTTCAGGAGGGATCTTTTTTCAGTCTTTGTGGCGCTCAATAAAATGCTTACGATACCATATGAGATGGTGCATGACACACAACGGGCGCTACTCATGTCTGTATCCGCTGTATTCGAGGAACTTACCCAGGTGAGTCTTTATTTATTTGCATATAAAATGTCACAACAAAAAAGACACTGATTCAATGTTCATGGAATATTACAGCTTCTCCCCGCCCTGGAAGTTGCGAAATTGACGTGCACGATGCTGGACTCAATCCCCAGGGATCCACCGCCACCGTTGATCCAAGCAAAACTCCTGGCAATAAAAAATCTCGTAACTTCCTCCCTTTTTCAAGACGACGAGAGCCGTAATCTCCTTCTCTCCACAATGTGCAAACACTTGAAGATTCACTTAGCCCGGAGAGAAGAGCTGAGAATGTGCACTGAAATTCTCGGTGAGATCCTCAGTTTTCTCCACAAACGAGGAAGAGACACCAACAAAGTGAATAATTGCATCCATCACGATATAGAAACATTGTGCATCTCCCTGCTGGATATTCTCGTGCAGACGATTCTGATAATTATAAATGCTAATGGGCCTGTCTTGGGGTGTCTCGTTGCCTGTCTGATTGGTCTCCTTCAGCAGCTGGATGAGTACCATTATGCCAGACTGTGGGAGGAGTTGACGAGGGGAGGCGAGAGAAAACCCCTCAAGGATTTTCTTCTCAGGGCTTTTCTTGTGCTGAAGGACCTCGTCCGCCAGGAGATATTTCCACCTGATTGGCTGGTCATCAGGATGCAGGCGAATAATGTAATCCTGAGGAGTTTGGAGGAATTGGCTCAGCCACTGGCCTTCAAATTTCGACATGGAAACTTTGACTCACAGCTGTGGTCCATGTATTTTAATTTGGCTGTGGCTTATCTTACACAGCCGTCTCTCCAGCTGGAGCACTTCTCCGAGGTAAAGAGGGAGAAGATTGTGGAGAAGTACGGGGATATGAGAGTCCTCATGGGCTTCCAGATTCTCTCGATGTGGTCAAATCTGGGGGAGAAAAAGCTCGAGTTTATTCCGGGAATGGTAGGACCCTTTTTGGAGGTCACACTCGTCCCTGAGAGTGAACTCAGGAAGGCAACTCTACACATATTTTTCGATATGATGGAGTGCGAGCAGAGGGCCAGGGGAAGTTTCAAATCTGTTGAGTCCGAGCTCATTGATAAACTGGATATTCTTATCAGTGAGAATAAGGGCGATGATGAGTATCGACAATTATTTAATACTATGTGAGTATTTTTGCAGTTTAGACCGCCTCCTGCGGCTTTTTTTATTTTAATCGAATTTTTAACATTTTTTCATGCTGCAGGGAGCACCTCAGTGCTGTGTAAGTTTTTCGTTTTGAGATTTAACGAGATTTCACTAGGATTTGATATTTTATCCGCAGAATAATTTTTGATGGATTCTTTGTAATTATTTGTGTCTGTTAATCTATGACTGATTAATAGAATTAATATTTAGGTTATTAGATCGTGTACAATCAGAGGATCCCACCTGGAAAGACAGTGGAACGGCTTTCATTACTTCAGTGACTCGACTCCTTGAGAGATTACTGGATTACAGGAACGTCATTCAGGGGGACGAGAACCGTGACAAACGCATGTCATGCACGGTGAATCTACTGGTAATAAAAACAAATAGCTCTTGCACAACAACACCCCAATACCAATGCTCTCAATTAAACCCCTTGTAAATTTTTACCCTAAAACAATTCTCGTTCCGGCAAATACGTTGTTAACAGTCTGCAAATCACCGCGATAATTGACCGTGAAATCTACCAACGCCACGTGGCTCCTCAGGCTTTATATGCGTCATTCACTCATTAGCAAGTGACAGTTAAAAATCAGACACGTCTTCGCGTGATATAAATTTTATAGCTCCAAACCTGAAATTTATCCAGTGATAATTGACCTTAAACTAAAAAATATCTTTCTGCATGTTACGGTGAAATGATAAAAATATCGTCTGGTCACTAGAAAAATATTTTTAAAAATTCCATTTTTTTTTGAGAGAAGTTGCAATCAATCGGAAAGAGATAAAATAAAATGGAATAAAATGGGACCTGTTGCTGTCTTTCTCCAGAACTTCTACAAAAATGAATTCAACCGCAAGGAAATGTACCTCAGGTACATCTACAAGCTGCATGATCTTCATCTTGCGGCGGAGAATTATACAGAGGCTGGATTTACCATGAAACTCTATGCCGATCAGTTGAGCTGGGAATCGACGACACTTCCGGCTGATCATGCCCATCCACAGCAACCAGAATGGCAGAGAAAAGAGCTTCTCTATCATCAGATTATCCATTACTTCGACAGGGGCAAGTGCTGGGAAAAGGGGATCCCCCTATGCAAGGAGTTGGCTGTGCTCTACGAGAATCGTCTCTACGATTATGCTAAACTCAGTCATATTCTCAAGATGCAGGCCAAATTTCTAGATAATATTCTGACGCAGCTCAGACCGGAGCCTGAGTATTTTCGCGTCGGCTTCTATGGACTCAGTTTTCCACTTTTTGTCAGGGTAAATATTTATTTCTTTTTACCTTTTCCTGTTTTCGTTGTTGAATTCCATTCGTCTGATGATTGCGGCGTGTGGCAAAACCAAAGGATTTTTTTTTTCTGGGGCATACCACTTATTTCAATCGGATACGAATGACAGATAAATCACTTGTTTCCGATATTATTGCGCAATTCGATAACAAAAAGACGAAACCTTCCGATTGGCATTACGATAATCGAATAGTTCTTCAATTATCGAATTGAATAAAGCCTTCACAGGCTTCAAGTGAGAAATTTAAGCCATTTCGAAGGTATTGAAATAATAATAATCGGACATGTAATCCTGGAGGTGGAAAATGTTACGAACCCACAGACTTTCTATTTGATTTCATTGTTTCTCCGTTTCTGTTTAGAACAAGCTGTTTATTTATCGAGGCCTGGAGTACGAGAGGATAGGTGCCTTCACCCAAAGACTTCAGACTGAATTTCCAAGTGCACAAATATTGATGAAAAATTCACCACCGGATGAGAGTATTATTTCCTCCGAGGGGCAGTGTAAGTTAAATAAATTAGATAAAGAGATACAAGTGTTGCAGGGACTCAAGTTGAATGAATTTGAAGGGAGAGCCATTCTTGAGAGGAAGTGATGCATCTACATGAATCAATTGTTTCAAGCATTGGAGAAATTGAAAGTTTCATAATATTTTTTTTATAATTTTCCAGAATATTTCCATTTCGCACATGGCGATGCATTTTCGTTAGTTTTCGCGCGCTACTGAATTCTCCACTATTTATAGAAATATTGAAATTAAATAATATATTTCTTCATCATCTAATATGTCTTACTTCCCATGCAGTCATCCAGATCTGCAACGTAAAGCCAATCCCCGAGGAATCGAGTCTGGCTTGTAGTTTCTCAGAAATTCCAGACCGCATCGTAGTCTTTTACCTCGTAAATGACGTTCGCAAGTTCACATTTGATCGTCCCCTGCACCGAGGCCCAGTGGATCGAGAAAATGAGTTCAAATCCCTGTGGATTGAACGAACGTCGTTGCTGACAGAGGCTAAACTGCCAGGAATTTTGCGCTGGTTCGAGGTAATCGAGCGTCGAACGGAGCTGCTTGCACCAGTGCAATACGCCTGCGAGACAATGCAGAACGTGGAGTCAGAGTTGCGAAGGCTAGTCGCCCAGTACACAGCAGAGCCCCACAGGAACATAAATCCCTTCAGCATGCGCCTCCAGGGGATTATCGACGCTAATGTCATGGGGGGTATCACAAAGTACCAAGAGGCTTTTCTCACTCCAGAATTCTCGAGACTAAATCCAGAGATGGTGCCCCACGTTAATAAATTGAAGAACCTGATCTTGGACCAAGTCAGTGTCCTTGAGTCAGGACTGCTCCTTCACGGCCAGATTGCACCAGCAGGTGTTCAACCCCTGCACAAACGCCTGATCGAGAGGTTTAGCCAGTTGAAGCAGGGGCTGGGAGCCCTCACCAGGCAAAGGACAATCCACCAAGACAGTATTATTAATTCTCCATTACCTCCACTTCCCATCAATAGTGAAAAGCAGAGACCAGCCACCCTGGAGACGACAGGCTCCAGGATGTCTCACGCAGACAGCGATGGACTCCCTGAGGAAGAGGGATTTTACACAAGAGTCGATGGGGCACCGCCACCGATACCCCAGAGAGAAGTGAGACCGAGATCTGTAGGATACGGCACCACTCCCCCAAGACCCACCCATCACAGGACTCTCAGCAAACCTCTGAGTCCTAAATTACCTCTCAGGCATTCTCTACCCACTCCTACCGAGGTCAACGAGCAGGCCAATATGAGGAGCTCGTGGAGTGAGCCTGGACCTGAACAGGCACCCCCTCTCCCGCCCAGAGGATGTACACCTGATAAGAGAGAGGTGGCAGGTACAGCACCACCAGCTCCACCCAAGAGACTCGTACATAAGAGGAATAATGAGTGGAGCACCGAGGATGACACGGAGGAGGGCAACGATCTCAGGGACAGCGGCATCTCAACTACTAGTTTGCTGGATTTTCAGAGCCATTTGAGCCATTTGAATAATCTCAGTTACGAAGATTTTGAACCCAGATCCAGGAGCAATGACATGATGAATATTTCACCACCTTCTGTGATAAGTACCCTCAGTGCGTCTAGTGGGGGATTCACTGGGGTCAGCTTTCAGGGATCCACGACTATTTTCAGTCAGGAGGTAATTATTTTTGAGGGCTAATTGCTCAAATTCTATCGGGTTTTCTCTCTGTTGTCCGTGTAAAAGGTCAGCTTACGATTTGGCAACTATTTTCACAAATTTTTTTGCAGTCAAGTCCACCACCAATTCCACCGAAAGCCAGTCAAGATCTTCCCTCGGCGCCATCAACCCTGGAGCGTCCCTCCAATCGTCTCCATGCAGTTGCGAATGCTGAAAACTACTCGGTCCCCAAACTCCAGACCCTCTCAGTCGCATCCGACACCGAGAGCACCGTCTAGCATCGTCCTAGTCCTTAGCAGTTAGTCCCACCGTTGAAATCGGGAGCATAACTATTCAATAAGCTACTTTAATCATTAATTATTTGCGAGTAGTCTTATCAGCTGCATATTCCCTTCATTTAAGTGGTTTCCCTTAGAACAGGATCATTTAATTTTTATGAGATGATTTTTGTGGATTGTCTTGAGGCTCTAAATTACATGAGATTGCAGATTTTTTATGAAGTCAGTTCATTAAAAATTCTCCTATTCACTGAATTTCCAGATCAGCGAAACGAAATGATAATTTGACTTATCCTGTTCTACTTCACAATTAATTTAATACGAAAACCCTAGATTATATTTTTTTTTTTTTATTGCAATCATTGTATCCCAGTCATCCCTTAAATCTATTTTTTGTAATTTATTTATAGTTTCCAAGCGATGAAAAAATAGAAATGAAAAGTCTCTTGCTGGTAGTCGATGATAATTTTAAAAACAAACTTCTAAGGTCAATGTATTGAACGATAGTCTTGAGATTAGGATATATAAATTATGTATTTTGTCATGTTTCTTCGTATAAATATATACAAAAATCTTGAGTATTATGGAGCTCTAGGATTTGTCACCCTGGGCTTTACAAAATTACACTTTAAAAATGGATAAAAAAAAAAATCATAAAAACATTTGTAAAAAAACTTAAGAAATACATAAAATCTGAGTAAAAGAATGATAAAAAAAAAGTGTGTGGAATGTTTACATTGCACGATACTGAATTCACTGATTAGGGAATAGACAATTATAGATTAAGTACGAGTATTTTGAAATGAGCAAAGAGAGATCATTTACTGGGCTACTCCAGTCATTGCAATTGTCGCAGTAGTCACTTATTATTAATACTTATTTATAAAATCATTAGACGACAATTTAATTAACGACAATTGCTCTGTCACCCAGTCAGTAATTAATTAAATTCGCAAGAAAGCTAGATACACCGATTTAGGATTTAGGAAATAAAGCATCTTTTAGGCTTACGTACAGGCACTCACACATACAGACTAATGAATTACATATGGCTTAAATTAAGTTTGTCTCCATTTCTTCAAGTACAGTAATGGCCACTTAAAATATTCAATTATCTCTCTTCAGCCTCTATTCATAACTTTCTAAGGTTTTTGTTTATTTGTTTGTTTGTTTTTTGTTTTTTGCTTTTTTTTTTGTAAAATTGCATGTAAAAAAGGCTAAGCCTTAAGGTATTTCAGTTTGTACGGTAATTTCCTTGTAGACGGAGTCTCTCAAACCGGTGTCTCGGCGTTAGTATCCTTCCTGAAAAATGGTAATACTGATTTGAAAAAGTGTGGAGAGTCCGGGATATTACTTGCATCTTGTGGGGGGGACTTGGGGGATCCAGATAATGCATAAGGATTATCTCACCTCTTCACTGTTGTTGATAGCCATCACCATATCCAGGTAAGCAGATTATTAGAGAAAAGATACTGTTAGCTCAGAATGTTCCAACCCCACCTTAGAAGCATTTTTCATTAAAATACAAAAAGAGGAAAACGAAAAGAAAAACCAGGAAAAAAGTTCATTATTTTTGCAAATGAAAGGAAAAATATGAATTTTAATAGAACCAGTGAATTCAATTTTTTTCCGTAAAATTATAGAAGAAAATTGGAAAATTCCAGTTCTCTCATCGGTTTCGAAGTTATTTATAAAGGAATAATATTAGAATTGAGATTAAAATTTAATTCTAATAATGAATTTCAAGTCAATCCTCAATTATTATGCAATTAAGGATAACCAGTTAGTTTAACGCAATTTTTTTCAAAAATGAAATAAAACTCACTCGGTCTCAGTGATTGTTTGCTCATAATGCTGCTGCTGCTGGTGCTGCTGCTGGTGCTGCTGTTGATGCTGTGCTCTGAGAGCAGCGAGTTCTCCAGTATGATGTAGATCATGACTGAGAGAAGTCCCCAGAATTCTTCCACCCATCGGTAGAATATACTCCGGAGTATCGAGAATGCTGGACGTTATTTTGCCCCTTTTAAGACTTCCATACCTCTCAGATCCACTGAGATTATCATGATGAGAGCCATGGAGGCTGGTGCCCCTCTTCAAACTGCCATATCTCTCAGACCCACTGTGATTGTCATGATGGGATCCCTGCGAGTGATGACTCAGGCTGGACCCAAGGATCCTTGAGCTCATGGAGAGCATGTAAGGAGTAGGAGAGACGGTGTGATCTTCCTCAGCAGTATAAGGGAACAGGTACTTTTCGCCAATGTGGTGAGTCTTCTCCTCCCCCTCAGAGCAATTCTCTTCCAGCTTCTGAGGGGAGTTCATGTCGGGATAGGGAAGAGGATTGGGGCTCGAAGTCTTATTGGAGGCAATTTCGTTGTCGGAGATGGTGCCCCCAGACCACTGACTACCCCTGATATCCACGTTCGTTGGTAAATATGCCTCGGGTAGTTGAGAGCTCCAGCGAGGGGCGTAGATCGGTTTTATATTGGGGAAGAGTTCAGAGTTTGAACAGAGGATATTCAAGTGATCACCGGATGTTGGATGGATGTTGGGGAGGTAGCTGTGAGACACTGGCTGTTGATTGGAGACTCCCATGTTCTTGTGGGACCTCGAGGTCACCTCATCATCGTCTGAACTGTGGGAGCTCGCCAGGTCCAGACTTCGACCTCCACCTCCCTGGGATCCATCCGAGTCTGACTCTGAGTCTCTTCGAATTCCTCGGGGCTCGTTGTTCTCTTGACGGACATGGAGATTAGCATGATGTGCTCTGGTGACATAGGGATCCCGATCACTATTATAATTACTAGTACTCGTGCTAGTGTGCCTGAGATGTGCGTCACTCCTGTAGGGGCTGGAGCCAGTTTTATTGGTGCTCCTCGAGGTAGTGCTACTAGTGGAGACACCAACGTGAACCCTTCTGCACGCATCAGTGCCAGAATATGAGGCATATGCCAGTGCCGATCTGGACTGGCCATTAACATTTTGACTGCTGCTCCCATTGGCGACACTCGCCTCGAGTAAAGGAGCTTTCTTTCCCACACAGCTCAATAAACTCAGATACAAATTCCTCCTTACCCTTCCATTGATGAAGCAGTATCCAATGAGACTGAATGCCGCATGCACGAGAACAGCAATACTCAGGAGGTACGACAACATTGGAGAGTTTTCAGATGCATTGAGCACAGCGAGAGTCCAGGTGGTGCCCAACAGTGGTAGAGAGGCCACTGATAGCCAGAGCAAGGTCCTCAGATTACCAAATCCCATGATGTGCTCCTTGAGCGTGAAAGCTGCCTTCACCGACATAATGAGAATGCAGAAATTTATCAGTACCGCTGCGCAAATAGGTCCGATCAACGACCAAACGACAGTTTCGTAGATCGATAACCAGCAAAAATAAAAATTCCCATATTGATCAGCTCTCACTCCGATCGTTAAACCTACGATTATCGCGGGCATTGCATACCCCACGGTGTAATAAAACCTCATCTGTCCATGATTGACGTCCCTCATCTCCGTCAGCATTCGATAAAGATGAATAGAGTCGACTAGAGTCCAGGCGAAAGCGCAGAGCCAAGTGTAGTGTAATCCAATTGCTATTAATTTACAAGGGAACTCGTTGGAAACGAGAGGACCTCGGGCTTTTAATGCCACCAGGTACAAAATTTCCGCTGAGAAAACACAGAACACGAGATTCTTGTGAATTGTGTTGGAGTTGGTCTCTCCCCCGCGGATTAGTCCTAAAATTAACAGAGCTGAGAGGAGGAGGGGGAGAGCGAGGAGGAAGGAGCTGTAGCTGGTTACGTCCTCGAGGAGTGACGGTTCTGGTACGTACTCGAGATCCAGGACATCCGTGAGAACCGCGAAGGTCGCCAGCTGGAGGTTCTTCACTTGGAGGATCACTCCCTGACAGGAGCAGTTTACCATCTGACGCCCTGATGAGTCGACTTCCTCTGTTTCAGTGGTGCAGCCTATTCTAGACCATTCACCAATCCCCCGGGCTGTACTCCAGTGGACACACTGCGGATTCGCCCGGAGCTTCATGCCATCGTCCTCGATGATCCAGAGTTGAATTTGAACGGGAGAATTCAAGGAAGAGCCTGATAACGCCTTGGAGCCATTCTCTGAGGGTACAAGAACGGACACAGTGACCACAGGGGATCCAACAGCAACCTCCACGCCCCATCTCACACTAACAGAGTCATCGAATCGTTTTGGTAGAATAGCTCCCAGCTCCTTGTACTGAACATAACTCAAGACAGCCTTGTGAGTGTCATCAGGCTCGATATCATTGATATCCCCCTGGGGAAGAGGCTTAATCCCCAGGAGCCTCAGGGGAACTCTGATCTTTGAGTAAGGATCGAACCTATTGGGATCTGCCATGTAATTATTATACTTGGGGAAACTGATATAGGGTCCCAAATGGGCTGGGCTCGATAAAAAGGCAGATGTGTCAGGAAGGACAACTCGTCTGTCAGCCTCGGAGGGCCTTGCCGTCGACAGAGATTTATCCTCCTCGTCCTCTATAGCCTCGTATCCAAAGAGACTTTCTGATGTGACAGTGTCTAGCCCCATGACAACATTGGAATCGACGACTTCGAAGGGATCGGTAAAAGTATTGTGCTGAGATCCAGTGACGATCTTCAAATACCTCGCCAAAGCGTCTAAAATTTTATCAGGTGCATCGCCATTCAGGGAATAAATCCTCTCCCAATTGCTAGAGTGTTTTTTCCTCAGGATTGCTCCAGCAATAGCCACCAGGTGTGGCACGTAATCCTTGTCTTGGTTGTGCGTGAGATGGAGATCAGCTAGACTCTCTTCGTATCGTAATAAATTTATGAATAATGATTCAGTGACTAGAACATCAGCACCGTACATTGACTTGGTAATGTTGACAGCTTTGTGAAGGTCTTTAGCCATTTTAACTGCCACATCTCGACTGAGAGCTAGATCTCCATTTTCCAGAGCACCGAGTTGATAGCGAATTTCGATGAAGGCCTCTGAGGTGCAGTTGAAGAGATCTGGGGGCTGCCAGCCACCGAGTTTATCGTCACAGGAACGTGACGATTTGCCTTCGGCAGGCCCAGGGCAGTCCTCAATGGCATTCATACCGAATTTTGTGCGTGGCCACCACAACCCTTGGGAGTATGACCTGGGGCACCCATCGTACACTACTTCACAGCCGCGAAGCGTCACCTCGGCGTAGGGATTTGGGCAGTCTGTGCAGGCTCTCCCTATCACACCAGTTCGACATCTACACTGACCTGTTTCAGTATGACACCTGGGTCCATAGCTGCCAGTGGCATAACACTCACAGGGAATGCACTCAACCTGCCCAGGGGGTTGATAATGATTCTCCTTGCAGTAGCACTCACCGGTCGTCTTATTGCAAGAAGGATTGTACCCTTTAGTCTCATCACAATGACAGGGTCCACAGACCGGTGCACCCCACCACGTGGCAGGACACGGCTGATCCACCTTGACTTCGCAGTACTCTCCAGAATATTCCTCGCTATTACATTCGCACTTGTATCCCTTTTTTAAACCAGAATCCTCGATACATCGTCCTGACTCACTGTGGCAGGGATTCACCTCACAAATTCCCTTGCACTGATCTCCAATCCTGCCTGAATTACAGACACACTCGGAGGACTGCCACCTGGTGAGACACATGGACTCCTGAGGGCATGTAACACTGCACTCGTCATCAGCAAGACAACCTGTGCCCACATTCTCCTGAGCTGTGGGTCTCTGGAGAATGCTCTGATTGGTGCCAATCCTCAGATCCTGCAGGCATCCATCGAAGAAGGGAGTATCAGCACTCACAGAGGGATCCCCACCCCCCAAGAGTATCCTCCCCACGTACAGCCCCTGAAGTTTCGCAGGCAAAGGAGAAATCAGAGGTCTATTCCTATAATTGATGTCCAGAGAGACATGACCAGACTGCCAGATAATCTCTAACCTATGCCATTCGCCATTATTAATAGGTGTAGGTGTTTTAATAATATCGACACCATCCAGAGAAGTCTCCAATCGGCCCTCTCTCAAGGAGAATAATGCCGAGCTATTCTGTCCAATTTGAATGCTCATAACGAATGCATTAGTAGCCCGCGTTCTGAGACTGAGAGCAGTCATCCATGGCAGTTGAATCGGTCTCAAAAGAGGATTAAAACTCAAAACCCCATCCCCGTGAAACCTCCAGGGCTTCCCCACCTCGTCGCTACACTGAGGCCCAGCGAAGCCCTCCTCACACTCGCACACAAATCCAGACCAGATCTCCCTGCAGGTCCCTCCATTGTGACAGGGCATCGAATCACAGAATGCCCTCTTCTCAGGGCACCCCACAGTCGTTCCATTATCAGCGACAAAAGAATTAAGATCCACAAATTTGTGATCGATGTAGACATCCTTGATGCACCCTACAAAGTCCTTATTATGAACCTGAAAGTCTGAAGGAATAGCTGGTAGACCTCCCAGCTGCATGGGTCCAGTGAGATCGAGAAATCTGTGACAAGTCTCGGTGAAGGAATTGCATCGGGGCTCGAGGATCTGCTCTGCAGACCCAGCACACGCCCACTTTTTTCCCAATCTGTCTCCATACCTCAAGGCTAAAGAAATATCGCATTCATCGAGAGCAATCGTAACGGTTCTGTTGATGTAGACCACCTCAACCTTGTGCCACTGGCCATCGGCAACTCCCCCTGGTATCTCAGCCCTAGCTCTGGTAATCTCATCCCCCAGAGAGAAGCTGAATTGCACCTTCGAGTTGACAATCTCCAAAGCGATGAAGTCATGCTTCTCATTGTACCGTCCATTGTAAAGTAGCAATCCCTCGGGTGCCTCAGTGGCGAATTTCAGGCTGATGTGAAGCCGGTGCCTCTGCTTCAACGATCCAAAAGTGAGGAATGTTGTGGGGCCAAAGGACCTCGCCCTGAGCTCGCAGAAATTAGTGGCACTGTCCTGACTTATCGAGCAACTTTCACATCTAAACCCACCACCCAATCTGTCAGCGCACTGTCCACCCCCCTGACATATCCCCGACGTGCAGCTGTCAGTATTTATAGAAACCTCACAGTTGGTTCCAGTGTAATTCGCTCCACACGTGCAGGTGTACCCACTTTCCTTCCTCTGGCAGGTGCCACCGTTGGTGCAGGGGTTTGAATAACAAAGATTGACCTCCATGTCACAGAGATAAGCCTCCTTACTCCCAGTAAATCCTCTCGGGCATTCGCAGGAAAACGTCGTCACTGGATAAATCGGTCTAAACAATACAGTATTGCTACTGGCAAAACCCGAGGCATTGCCAAACTTCAGGACTGTCACGCATTCCTCATAATTGAGACAGGGCTCTCTAACGCAGAGATTATCATCAAATGGAAGAACAATGAGCGTTGACAATCTCGCTAGGATTCCCCGATTGAGGTAAACCCTCTCCTGTAGGTACTGGGGACTGTAGAACTCGTCGTTATTTCCAGGCTCGACTTTTCTCGCTGAAAAACTGACATTGAGAATTTTCGATTGCACGTCTGTGTCCTCCTGTACACTGAATATAAATATATTCTCTCGTGGACAGGGTATTATTGCAGCTAGACCATCCATAAAATAATTGAGGAGAGGACTGAGGAATGCCTCCACCGTCATGTCGTCTAATCTCACTGTTATCGAATTATGCAGCATTTTATCTGTTATCAATCGTATGGACATGGTCATCGTGGCTTTGGCCTCGTTAACTCCATCCGATACTGAGACTTCCATGGTAGCGACTCGGGCTACATTAGTGTTTAATTGAGGTGACAGGCTTATCTCGCCGGATGTTCTGTTTAATGTTATCAAATTGGCGGTATTACCAGCTAGAATGCTGTAAGTTAGCTTGTCGGTCACATCGGCATCGAATGCCGGCACTCGTCCGATTGAAGTTGTAGGGAAAAAGTCCTTGAAGTTGTTGAAGATAATGTGGAAGTCCTTGAGGACTGGGGCATTGTCATTCACGTCTGTTATCATTACCTGGACAAGAACGTCAGAACGCAGTGGTGGGGAGGAGGCACGAACGAAGAGTTCGAATTTCTTTTTGGTGGACTCGTAATCGAGTTCTTCAAGGGTGACGAGCTCGGCACGATCTGCCCCCTGGGCTGTATTTAGGGCGAAACTGTTGGCGTCTTCTCCGCCAATTATTGAATACTGGACGACGGCGTTGAGTCCCTCGTCTGGATCGTGAGCGTAAATCTCACCGACTGTTGAGCCGACTGGGGAGTTCTCGGGAATGTACAGGATGAGTTTGTCACTCTCGAAGGCGGGGGGTGAATCGTTGACGTCCTGGATCTTGATTATTATCGGGACTGTTGAGGACAGCGCTGGGATACCTCTGTCCACGGCGACGGCCTTCAAGGTATATCTGGGAAGATTCGAGACAATAATATTTATTAAAATTGCACAGAGAGAAATGTTTATGAAAAAGAGAGAACGGAATAATAATCGATGAAATTTATAATTAAATACAAATAATCTGTTACAGATACGATGATATCATTACCTGGCAACCGATTCTCGATCGAGTTGTTTAGCAGTCCTGACAATGCCAGTGGTGGAGTCAATAGCGAAGGCCCCGTCACCATCATCCTCGAGGGTATATCTCACCCTACCATTCAACCCCATATCAGCATCAGTGGCAGAGACCTTGACAACACTCGTGCCGACGACGACATCCTCAAGAATAGTGCCGGTGTACTGTCCAGCATCGAAAACGGGTGCGTTGTCATTGACATCGGTAACAGAAATTTCAACGTCAGTAGTATCAGATAAGGATGGAACACCTCCATCCTTTGCCGTGACCGTCAGAAGATACCCAGAGGAGCGCTCCCTGTCCAATGGTCTAGTGGTGGTGATGGCCCCGGTTTGGGGATTGATGGTAAACTCAGCGGCTTCAAGTCCATCGCCATCGGAGCCGAGACTATAGGTCACCTGTGCATTCTGCCCCACGTCAGAGTCCGTTGCACTGACTACCAAGACTGTAGTGCCGATCGGCGCATCTTCAAACACCGAGACGGAATACGGTGCATTTTCAAAAATTGGCGCGAAATTATTGGCATCCGAGACATTAACGTACACCAACGCAGTATCAGCACGCCCCCCCGAGTCCGAGGCCGTCACCGTCAACACAAATCTCTTCTCCTGCTTGTAATCAAGGGGTTGAGCAACCGTAATGAGACCCCCACCATTCTGCGAAGTAATGGAGAACCGTCCCCTGGTGTTTCCCGCTGTTATATCATAATGAATCTTTGCATCTTCATCGGGATCAGTGGCAGTGACGAGTGCCACTGACGTGCCAGGTGGATCATCCTCAGAGACAACGGTCTCGTAATTTCTAGGTTCAAAGGTTGGATCATTGTCATTGATATCGGTAACAGTGAGAACGACAGTGGCGCTGCCGGATCTCGGGGGTTCCCCAGAATCCGTGGCAACTACCGTAAACTGATATCTGGAGTTCTGCTCCCTATCCAACTGCTTTGTGGTATGAATCCATCCGCTTTCAGGATTAACAGCGATGGGAAAATTCTCAGTGGATGCCCCGGAGAAGTCCCTAGCCCCAATGGAGTACTTTATGAGGGCATTGAGCCCCTTATCGCCGTCATAGGCTTGCACCTTAACGACGGAATGCCCAATGGGCACTCCCTCAGAGACTGTCTCCTGGAGAAGACTCGTGAAGAACCTCGGTGCATTGTCGTTGACGTCTTGAACATGAACGAGCAGTTGAGTGGTGTTTGATCGAGCCGGGGAACCCCCGTCCTGCGCCCTCACTACTATTCTGTACAGATCTGTTGTCTCGTAGTCCAGTGGTTTCACCAGAGTCACGTCTCCACTCAACGAGTCAATAGAGAATGTGTTCTGAGTGTTTCCACCTATTATGGCGTACCTTATCGCTGCATTGGCACCTGTGTCAGCGTCTGTTGCTCGAATTCGCGCTATCACGGGATTGACGGTGTAGTCCATGTCTTCAGAGGCTGTTATTGAGTAAGACCTTTCAGAGAATTGAGGATAATTATCATTGTCATCAAGGATTCTAACGATGAGAGTAGTGGTTGCTGTTTTTCGCGTGGCTGGAGAGGGCGCCTGATCCACAGCATTTATTATCACTGTGTAGACGTCAGTTTTTTCTCTATCGAGGGACATCCTGGTGGTAACGACACCTGATTTTGGATCAATTCGGAAGGTCGCTGAGTCCTCAGTCAACGATGTCATTCCCCCGCCAGTTGTTGAAACTATGGAGTACTCGACCTCTGCGTTGCGACCGAAATCCTTGTCTGTTGCTTTAACCGCGATTACAGTAGAGCCTAATGGCACACTCTCTCTAATAGGCGCCTCGTACTCCGGCCACTCGAAGCTCGGTGCATGATCATTAGCGTCTAGGACATTGACCTGAAGTGTAGTTGTGCCGGTTCTCGGTGGGAACGAGTCGTCGACAGCCAGTACTTTGAAATAATGTACGTCGACACTTTCCCGATCGAGTTTAGCGCGTGTTGTTACTTTTCCAGATGTTGAATCGAGTAGAAAGAGGGCACCGGATCTAGCATCGAGAAGAGACATCATAGAGTAATGAACAGTACCACCCTCTGGATCTCTTGCGCGAACAACAGTGACAAGTTCACCGGGCTCTTTTTCCTCCTCAACAGCAACTGTGTAGAGACCCTGCTCGAAGAAGGGCGAACGATTTCGGAGTTCTCGTCTTACACGTCTTCCCAAATCATCATCATCCAGTTGCTGATGATGGAATATGATCTTGAGGCGGTGCTCGGCATCTGCCAAGTGATTTGTACTGCATCGCAGAGTCATGGAGACAGCGATCTTCCACATGGGATCGATCAGACACTGCTCTGACGAGGACACCAGATCACCCCCTGAGCCCTCTATTAAAAATCGTGAGTCGGCAACTCCTCCCCATCTCATATCGCACTCTTTCACAACCGTTTCTGGGAGAAAGTCGTGGAGGGAGGCGACAAGTTGCGAAGTACGCAAACAGATTTCTGTGAATTTGTCAGGTGTTGGCATTGCGAAAGAGGCCAGTGTCTCTGCCATCCAGCCCTTGGTCGCTGCAAGATCCTGATTCTCACCGCCACATCCTGTTATCAGGATTCGAAGGGGTAGACTGTAGAAGTCAATATTTGGACGGCCAAGGCGCTGGCTGGTTGAATCTATGTGAAAGGTGAAGAGCCGGGGGTATTGGAGTCCGTCGCAGTTCAGGGGTCTTGCTAAAGTCACTCGGCCATTGTGCGGGTGAACCTTCAGGAGTTTTCGGGCAAAACGCGCCGTGTGGGCGGATGCCTCGTATTTTCGACGGCCTCCCAGCCTTGGGACACCTGCCTCGAAAATCAGGGCTCCTGGGCCCAGGGTCGAGGACAATACTGCCAGGTAGCACTCCGCAACGTGCGCTAGACCCGCTAGCAGACACGCCACGGAGAGCATCCATATTGTCCTCACCATATCACAGGCTTAACATTTTTTTCGAGGGTGTCGTGGTGGGCTAACGTGATGGCGGCATTGTGAGCGATCTGGAGCATGAGAAAATTGTTGGATTAGTCGATGGGTTATTTCCTCGCCTAGTTTAGAAAATTCTTTTGACAATGGGACAGGGAATTACTCTAGAATTACTCTGCCCTACATTATGACCCAGATTGACTTAAACCAGCTATTCATCAAAATTGGTTTGATGAACTTTTCGCTGGTTCAAGTAATTTATTAATTTGGGAAATTGCATAATTCCCCGAGATAATTCACTCGCTTCTATTAATCCCCATGCCAAAGACTACAAGAGTAATTTTTTTCCAAAGTATAACTTAATTTAAAAAATGATATGGGGTCTAACTTTTTTTTGGTATTGAATTCTTTGTCAGAAACTTCTTCAGCTTAAAAAAGAAATTTCCCCCCTGCGAGCATCTGTCCCCGAGATTTACGCATATGGGGAATAGAGAAATCAAAGAAGTCAAGTTTTACGGTTGACTACACCTCCAGACCCATAAAACACCTCAAATATCTTCCAACATTTTCCTGTAAATCCCAACCGGAATTCTCCATCGGTGTGAATGGGGATTATACTCTAGTGGTTGATGTAATGTGACAACTCGAGTCGTAAGATATTTTGAAGTGATAATATTTAAAAAAAAAATGTGTAGAATTTCCGTGAAGATGAAAATTTCCGATTCCAGGTATTCTATGGATTAAACCCGGTAATTTGTCATCACGTAATTGATGATTCTCAATCTCTTGATGCCCGGTGTTTGATAGTTTATCAACGTTGCCTTTATGCGATATATTTCACGGTTGAATCCGGCAAAAAGTAAACAGCGGAGGAAATGGATGTGAGGGGAAAAACGCCTAGTCCAATAAGTATCTCCTCGTGGTTCTCCCCATGGTCGTTTTGTTATTCCACCGGTCTCGTGATACCTGGGGATCGTGAGAGTAGTTGACCGGAGGAAACTCATGTTGAGTAGCGAGAGAAGAGAGGAGAAAAGAAAAGGGGAAAGAGATAAAAAATGTATAAACGACTGCAGAAAGCCAGAGCCATCGACCAGTCTTGCTGGCACGCGAGCTACTACCGATCTCTGCTATCCCATTGGTCACGTATAAGACCCCTCTTTCAAGGGACACAAGAATGAAAAATTCACTTTACTCCTGAGACAAACCTTATCCCCACAATCTTCTGCCAATTACACCCAGTAATTAATTCTTCAAAGTTTTCATGGCTGTTGAGCTATACACCCAACGGCTTTTTCATCTTCACCTCATTTTTCATAATTTTCTCATTTCTTGCTGGTGACAATAAACAAGAAAAAAATATTCAATAATTTGGGTCAATTATTCTGAAAGCGGAATAAACGATTTTAATTAATCAAACTTATGATTTTTTTTCAATTAAATAATTTCAATGATTTACACCCAACGGATTGTTCATCTTCACCTAATTTTTCATAATTTTCTCATTTCTTGCTGTTGACAATAAATAAATAAAAAAATATCATCATTCAAAGCATTAAAAAATGATAATAAAAAAACATTCAATAATTTGGTTCAATTATTCTGAAAACAGAATATACGATTTTGATTATTCACAATTATGATTTTTTTTCAATTAAAAAATTTCAATGATTTTCACGAAATTCGCAGAAAATTATCATAATTTATTATATCCCCCTGAAATACAATAAATAAATTATTCCGCTCCTATGTTGACCATTTTTCAACAATTTTTATAATTGGAGAATAGAAGAATGATTTGGATGGAGGAAAAATAGAAATGTCGAGTGTGAAGAATAGGAATTTAAATGGACCGAAAAACGAATAAAAGTTGAAGATGTAATAAAAACAGGAGTGAGAAAGGAATTTTTTCTAAACACAATGTCCCAGAGTGATTTAATCGAGTAGATCGGAGCATTTAGTTGGTGTGGGTCTTCAGGTATCATTTTCGTGCAACTTGGCCCGCCAATCTACCCAAGAGCTATTAATTACAATGCAACGAAGAGAGAGGAGAAGATCCTCAAGACTTGTACGGAATCCGGTTCTACCAATTATCGAAGCCAGTCGGAGTCCCTTGGGACGTACGAGACCCTTTTCAAATGCTACCCGACACGCTCGGGGCCCTTCTCCAGATCCTCTTTGTTACACTTTTTCTTCCAAGGTAGATTGAAACGATAGAGTATCTATCCTCGAGATGCACCGAGACACCCGGTATAACTATTCACGTGAAAACGAGTCCTCTGTTTCATACCAAGGCCGAGGGTATGAAAAGAGTGCGTGAGGTATTCAATCGCCTTCAATTCACCTGTTATTACCTGAGGAAGCAAAAAAAAAATCAGTATATTTTTCGGATGAAGCATGAGCCGACGATTAAGATTTTTTTTTTCATTGCGAAATGTATAAATTTCCGGAATTTTAAATGTCTCTTCGTCTCTTCCTCTCTTCGTCTCTTGGTAAACCTGAAAATCCTCCATCCACCTCAATTAAAACTCCGAATTTCCAAGCGAAAAAGTATAAAAATTCTGATGATGCAATTGATGTTCCTAATTGGTGGCCAATTTCGGTAATTACTTGGGTTTAGGAGTCATTATTTTATTAGGTCTGACATTTTTCGCAGAGGAATTTATTCTCCGACAAATTCTCCCGACATCGACGAGAATTTCGGTTGACGAACATGAGTCTTTTGATAATTATGTGATGACTTTATTTAGAAATTGTCGACTTGCGTTGAAAATTGAAAAAAAAATCTTGGATTGGTAATTGATTAATTAAAATTTTTAGTGGCGTTTTTTTCAGGTCCAGTGGACATTTCCTGCTATTTTCGTAATGACAGAATTGAAAGTCCTCTTCAGGATCGAGCGACGCGTAAGAATTTTCAATCTAGACCCTTTTTTCGCTAGTAAAAAACTTCAACTAAAAGACCGTCGACATTATCCCCCCATCGTGTTTATGCCCATTACCCCCTGAACATTCAATTACCCCAGGAATAACTCCGCACTGCGTCACCTCCAAGAGAAGCGAAAAACGCAAAGGGTTACCGTGATTTTAACACAAAGATTTTCTTGATTACTGATTTCCTTGATTCCCGACATCATCTCCAATTACTTCCAATCATTTCATGAACTGGAAATCAATGATTGCCATTAATTGGTCCTGTAAAAAAATTCTGGCCCATTTTTTAACAATCCAAATTTTCCATTACTCCAATAATTCCACCGCAACCATTAATTCATTATCAGAAAAAAAATTATTGAAGTAATGATTTCCGAGTATAAAATTAATGATTTATTTTTTCATGAACTATTTCAGCATCAGTTTGAGTTGTTCATAAATTCCGAGAGGGTTTATAAATTGTGATGTTCACTCGATTGTAAAAGGATATTTTAGAAGGTTTTATTAATGTCGTAGAAAACGTAAGTACTGAATTATGAAAATGAATCCAATGAATAACCTTGGTATGAAAGTATAAAAATTCTCATAATTGCCAGTGCCATCGGTTAATGTTTGCGAGGGAGTGATTAATTTCCATAGAGTCCGTTTGGAGTATAACAATCGTACTTCCCCTCGGGTCCCACCGGGGAATAAGAAGGCACATACTCCATACTCCCAACGAGAATAAAAATAAAAAATTAAATACACACACTTGTCTTCCTCCACCCAATGCAACTCGCAGTATTATACATGGTGGACTCATGCGATGTTCACCACAGATAAAGGTTTCACGGAAGAACGCTCGATTTTATGGAACCCGTTCCCACACATTCACCTCAACTTTTGAGATACAAGTAAACGGGTTTTCGGTGTATATGTGTACACGATTTTTCACGCTCCAACGGTGTCTTTAAAGATCGTAAATTAGCCAATGGCCGACGCTGTTTATTGGCTGGTGCGTCTGCAGGGAAATTTTCAAAATACTTGAAACATCTTAATTAGGGAGAAGACCGTTGGGTTCATCGGTAATACACGCACCGATGAACACATTCGCTCCAATGAACCTTTAACACTTCAAAATTTATACGACATTTATTTCAAATAATATGTTTACCACATGGTTCTCTAAGTTCATAAAATATATGCAGATTTTATTTAACATGCGCTACGGTGAAACCATTTGACTCGACTGATACCGTAGAACTTCATTCCATTTGCAATTATTGTCACTTGATATTGTACTTCAATGCCTTTGTGAGAGATATAAAATATGCAAACAATTCCTTCTTTTTTCTATTTGCTTATATCTATTGATGTGGATTAGAAGAAGGGAACAGTCACTCAAAAAAAGAAAGTAACAGTAAGATTGCATCGATACTGTTAGTTTCTGTTATTTTTTGAAGTGATTTTTTCCGATGCAAGTACCTACTGATTAATTTGGGTCAATCAAATCCAATTTGTTCCGCGATTTTTTCAACTAAAATAGGAAAAACGGAATGAAATGTCAGCGATAACAATTAAAGTAATGATTATTAATAATATCAATTAATTTTATTGAATCATTAAAGTTGCTATCCATTTTTCTTTTTACAAATCGTTCATTCGATCGTTAATCTCACTTGTACTTCAGTATTGGAAATAGGAGTAATAAAAAAAAATAAAATCAAACGTGAAGTAGAAATATAAAAGGAGAAATATTTTTCTTATCAAGATCCCGGCGATGTTATATTTATTTATTTAATAGAGATGACATTGACACTCAGATGAGGAAGAACTTTACTATTTTCACACGTATTAGATGCGAACCCATTGATCATCACATTTCCAGGGATTTCCATTGATCCCAGCACGAATTCCTTCTTTATTTTCCAACCGAGTGGTTCACTGATTACCGCAATGACTAGTCCCTCGATAAACAGGATACACCGAGAATAAATCGGTTGCGGAATGTTTGATTTAGGAGCAGTAAAACTTGATTATTAATTGGAGGATTATTATTTCGAGAGTACAAATTTTTCTGGCGAATTTAATTGGCTATAAATTCGTTCCGTGATACGGAATATTAAAACCGTGGATAATGGAATAAGTAATAATTTTTTAAATTTATATTAGAATATCTAAAATTTTCAAAAAAAAAGATTCTTTTATTTGGAATTTAAATGTTTTATCAATACCGTCCCCTAGATTGGAGATCCCATTAGGAATAAAGAGCCTCTGAAAAAACTTTAGGTCCATAAACCCCAGAAGTGATTTCTCCCCCGATTTCCTAGCCCTTGAATACACTCTCAGGAAATTCATCTCCCCTGAAGAACTCATCACGGAATCAGCGAGGTCTGGAGCTATTTCAGTGGTCTCTCATTAATTTAAGAAAAACCGTTTGAAAAGAAAGAATAGCACACCCTCTGGTGGAGGGTTGAAGTTGGAGCTCATCTTAGGGCGCGGATAGAGTACAAGGGTGAGTGACTCATGTATCGCAGATTGAGGCGAGTGAGCGGGGGTTGTTTTTCCCCTCTGGAATATCGATTTACCACGGTAGCACGACGAAAAACACGAGTCCCTATTCGCTGGCACGTGTACATCTGAATTTTTTTTTTTTCTCTCCCCTTCACCCCCTCTTGGAGATACGTACCCCCGTGACCGGTCCACCCCTCACCCTATTTATACATAGACACGTTGATGCCATCGACTCAGTATATACCAGGTTTATCGATCCCGAAGACTAACAATGGGTTGTCGAACTCAACTCCATGTGTCGTGAACTCACCTAGTGAGTTCATTAAAAACTTTCGTCTTAATTATTCAAAATTTATAGAATTTTTATCGTTTCAATTTTCACTCGAAACTCAAGTAAAATTTCCCTGCCATTCTTCTCCGTTAGGAATTCAATTTATAAAGTTTTATTAAATTGAAAAAAATATTAAACTGTTTAATAGATGGAAATGAATTTATCATACTTGGATGATTTGGAAAAAATAGATAATGTATGTAATTTTATTTATTTAGTCAGCAGAACCTGCATTTTTGTAACTATTTTTTTGATTTCTATTTGGATTTTATTGCGTGACTGAAAATCGTAGTTGCATACCCCTCGGTTTGATAAAGTTCGATTAATCGTTTGTAACATCGATGAAATAAAAGGAGAGACGGCCGAAGTCAAGACCACTTGTGAAATTGAATTGCCGATGGATTAGAAGGATAAGTTTCATCCGGGGGTGATCAAAGCGAAAAATAGCGATAAAAAAGGCGGTAAAGAATTTATCCTTCATGTTCGGATCATCTCCACCTGCGGTAATGATTTAATAACGATCGTAAGTCGATATTTACGCAGTCGGTAAACCAATAAACACGCAACTAATGTTGTAAATCCATCTGAACTCTCACAGCACTAGCAACAGATGAATGATTATTTATGGGATAGCCTGTGGGCTGGGTTTGCACATAAACTCGACAAATTCTCATTATTCATAGATTTCTGCGCTTCAAAAGGAGTGAAAAAAGTCGGAGTGAAGGAATAGAAAATGCCTGTTGAACAGACGAATTATTATACGAATGTATTATTTCAAAAGGTAGTACTTTCTTGAAAGAAATCATGCCATTTTTTATCCATTTGTTATCTTGAAAACGGTAAATACATTGACAATACCATTGTTGATCCCAAAGGAATTATTTAAGCACTGAGTTACGAAAACAAAAATACAAAAATTACAGAATCTTCAAACTTAAAGAAGACACTGCAATTTTGATTATAATCGTTTTTATATCGAGATATTGTCGACAACATTTGAGTCCAAAGAACAACTAAATAAATAATGCAGTGCCTTCGGCCACTTCACGACTGATTTAATTGTTTGGTTTGCAAAGTGCTTGCTTTTTCTCGCTTCATGAACATCAATGGTTTCAATGCTAGACTGATCACCCTTGGAATAAACAAGCATTGTACATTAATATTCTTGATTAAACGGTGAAAGATCGCGATATCGCATTCTTCAGGGAAGAAAAAAGGCACTTCAGTCCAGAATTTCCGCATTCTGAATTGGAGTTCCTATTGCATCTCGATTCTAACTCACGGTATTCCTCCTTCATACCGTATAAACCTCTTTCTCTCAGCAGTGACGATATTATTCCCGTATCGAAACGATAATCATTCCTGCGTAAATAATTCCATCGTCTCACCTGGAAATTCATGGTTCCTTCATTATTCACTTAGAGTGAGACAAGATGGAGACCAATTTTAAATAATCCGCTGAAAGGATGGAGTCTACTGCTCTGACTTTTTGAACACAAAGATAAAACCTGAAGTAAAAGGAGGAATAAATTGTATGAAATGGTTTTGTACTGAATTTGTTGTTTCAGTAATATAACAGTAATATGTGAATTTGAAAAGAACAATTTTTAAAAATTAGATTACGAAATGTAATAATAGTCTCTTCGTAATCCGAGAGACCTCAATCGTCGACTAAAAAATGAAAATGCTATTGAACTGCTATCGAAAATAACAGATGTTGCATTTTGCCTGAAGAATATCTATTTCTACGGAATGGTCTTGAATAGTGGTATACTAGAATAAGAGAAACTGTTTTCACAGTGTAATGTACGCAATTTCATGTTTTGTAGTCCAGGGAGAATGCAGATTCCGCAAAATTCTGTATTAAAAGTAGATAACACTTTGAGAACTTGATAATCAGGGCAATTCAACAATAAATTCCTGCATTCTCAGTTTAAAATAATGATTCCACGTGAAACCAAGAAAACTGTACGACCTGGGAATCCGGTGAAATTTCCTGTCTCTCTATCCCGACATTGTCCTAATAAAACCATCGGAGAATAGTCTAATTGTTTATTCCCCGTGTGTGAATCGACGGTGGAAAGTGCGTGAAGTACCAAAGAGGACTGAAATGTTCAAGTACTTGTGAAGATAAGATGCTATTGAAAAGGGTCACTCACCGTACGCCCAAGGTCGTCGTGGACCTGTCACATCCTCCGAATAATCCTTAATTAATCCTTGAATTTTCACCACAGTGAGGGTTAAACGTTTCGGTGAAATCACTGAATTTGGCACTCCGGGGGAAATTAGGGAGTTGGTGTTAAAAAAAAAAAGGAGTCACTTGGAACCGCGGTTTCACGAGACACTGAGTTGTGAACAGTTGTGACTTGAACGGCGTCCAACACTATACTATAGTTATAGATCGTGGGATGGTTCACACACATGGGGACGTCCTGTTGGGGAGACCCACACGCTCCAATGAACCTCGTGTATATCGATGGAGCAGTTGGTAGAATGTCTACTATTTCCTGAGGTTTGAATCCAAGAGGGCGTCCTCATCATTCCTTCATCGGTAATAATTACAAAGTCAAAGAGGATTGACTGAAGTAGAGTGTACCTCTAGAGTTCTAGAGGTTTGAGTGACCCCATAGTGGAGCATGAAAATTCAAAATTTTATAATAAAAAGCAAAATCAATTTCGTAACGCAGAAAATTACATTCACCCCATCAACTGATCTCTCTGACAGTGGGACTGCTACTGAGGCAGGTACCGAGTCGGCTGACGGACAGACACCCCAGGATTGCGTGTGGCGCCTCCCTTTCTTGGGGTGCAGTACTACAATGCCACTCCTGGGTCACCCAAACACCCAGAACTGAGCCTCTACTTTAGTCAATCCTCTCCGGGAGGAGTTGTCAGTTATATATCAGGGGGATCAGGAATTTCAGTCACTGCTTCGTGATGAATATAAACAACATTACAATCTCGGCTGTTCGGCCTCGCACTAGCATCCTGGATAAATCATTGAGTAAAGGAAAAGGCGAAGTCAGTCTCAGTTGTTATGCACTGTTGTTTTCCGAGCTGGTACAATACTGTCAAAACCGAGTCTACACCGTACCTGAACTCCAGACCAAGTGAGAACCCATCAACTCATAATCTTTGAGAATCGTCTTGAAATGTGAACTCATTTGTTTGGAACAAGCGGAAATAATTTGAATATTTTCCCTGGACAGAATAATCCTCAAGCGACTCATTAGAAAGAAAAAACAGCTAGCTTTTGCCTTTATGTTATAAATTTATTAATTTGTTTACCTAAAGATTAACTGAAATGGGAGCTGAAGTTGGACACAGGATGACAGATCTTCTGATAATGCGAGAGAAGGGTGGGAAACGAGAGATAAAGCTGTTAAACGTCCTCCTGTTCATAAAAAGCACTCTATGGAAATCATTGTTCGGTCGTGAAGCTGATAAGCTGGAACATGCCAATGACGACGAACGAACATATTACATTATCGAGAAAGAGTCTCTGGTGAACAAATTCGTCTCTGTTCCCAAGGACAAAGGTAGTCTCAATTGTGCCTCTTTCGTGGCCGGAATCGTCGAGGCTGTTCTCTGTGACTCTGGATTCGTAAGAAATTTTTTCTGATTTTCTAGGACATCTATTATTATTTCAAGAATGAGAGATGAGACTATTCTTCTTTTTTATGATATTCCAGCCAGCGAAGGTCACTGCACATTGGCATAAAGGCACGACGTACATGGTGAAGCTGGATGACTCGGTTATAGCTAGAGACAAGCAGCTCGATGATCGATGATTCTAATTATTCAAATTAATTTAAGTCTACGGCTAATAAAATTCATGAAATTATCATCTGTTGTTCAATATCTTTAATTTTTCATTTTTTTTATCTAAGTGGATGATACATTTTTGATAGTGCCAAGAAAGCGGTTTATGATACTTTCGGAATTTATCTCGAAGAGAAATCAATATTATACAGATTACCTAGATACATTGAATGTTTATTCTCCAATATTTTATATTCATATTACATCTACAAATGATTGATTAGAGATGTTTAAAGAAATTTATCCTCTCTATCGTGATAGCTGACTTGGCCAGTACGGCGTTTATGCTCCGTCCTGTCCTGAAAGAATTAAAAATGAAGGATATTAAAAATGAAAATATTAAATAATAAATATGAGAGATATATAACTTTTATGGGAGTAAGGGGCCTGTTCTCTTCGTTGATTCGCCGAAAGGAAATTGACGATGTAGAGAAATAAGTTAAATTCACGCTGCCATTTATGCAAAACAAATCCGGAGAATTAACTCACTTTATCACCGCCTACGATGATGTATCCAATGATCATGGGAAGAATTGTCACGCTGAAGGAAAAAGCAGCATTGCCCCACGTCGGTTTAAATCTTTCGTACATGGTGGCACGATGGGCTTGAAAACGAAGGATGGCAGGGTCTTCCTATCGGCAGAAAAAAAAACAACCATGCGAATAAAAACAGCAAATTTTCAATAAAAAGCCAAGACAAAAAGAGTCAGCAGTTACTTTTTAATAATTTATCATTTTTTTCATACTTATTTTACATCGCTTCGAGTCAAGAGGAACTCTCATTGCGATTAATCCTCTTTAAATGGAAGACATTGGTCTGATCGATTCTACAATCAGTTAAATCATCGAATTGTTTTTTTAAATATTTTTTTGAAACAATCACATTTACTTACAATAGACAATTATTGATAAAACACAAACAAGCAAAGTTCTTTCATAGTTACGTAACTTCTAGGAAGAGTTATTGTTTACAGGCAGTTCGATTAAAATAAATTAACAGGCTAATATGAAAGCGATGATGTCCACATATACCACTCGAGAGAGAATGGAATGTGAAGTCTTGAGGATGAATAGAAATTGTGGATTTTTTTAGGATACATAAAGCAGTGAAATTGGGGTTAGTTTGATGAGTGGTGCTTACAACTGTGCCTCCAATTCCGAGGGCATGTCTGAAGGGATTTAATCTTTGCTGGAGGTAATCGTGACGAAGTGCAGTAGCTCTTTTCTGCCTTTCCTCGAGGATTTTCCTCTGCACCGGAGATATATCGAAAGTTTCACGACCCGACATGTTTAATTCTCCACCGAGTCCCAACACAATCAGCTGATTTTTTACCCAATGGAATGGAGGTTCAAAGATGATTCGGGTAGAGGCCCGAACGGGCCGAATCGTGGAGTTAGTGTGACCCCAGGTGTTTTAGTACTGGTCCCACATCAGGGAGGGCGCGATCGCCGATTTTTACTTTAGTTCATCTTCTTCGAGTTGCGCAGAAACATGAGGAGATAAATATCCATCGAGTGTACAATTCTCATGACGTGCAATACTTCGCGATTGTCTAGTGTTCAGCTGACTCGGCTGACTCCCAACAGTCTCAACAACTTCCAACTTCTGGAGCAGTAGTTTTTCCAAAGGATTGGCCGGGACAATCTCAAATTACTCCTGTTTTCCTGATAAATGGCTAATTAGAAAAATGGGTTTAGCTGTGGGCAAGATCGGATTGATCCTTCAAGTGTACTGAGAGCTTCTCTAGTTCCAATGCGGACTGGATTTATTGACCTCAAGAACGACGTTCGTCGATTGCCATGTCAGAGAGCAGCGATTCCGAGGAGTTCTTCGATGCTGAGGATGACAGTTTTCACAGGAGCACCAGGTAATATCCCCCCTTTGATTTATTTGATGATAATCAAATGCATAGAGCATGGACTCGTGATGTAATGACTGTCAGATCACTGGTAATTTGTGACGATGACATCAGTATTTCCTCTTTCAGATTCTATTTGATTTCATGGAAATGTTTATTTTCAGACGGGGTAAAGTGAAGGAATCGCCTGCACTGGAACCCCAGGGAGAGACTCCTTCAACTCCTATGACTCCACCTGATACTGTGTTTGTTAAGCCTGCCGATCCCAAACCACAATTGGAAGCTCAGAATCATGTCAACGTTAATTCCACGACAGGGGTGAGTTCAGAAATCAATTAGTTCAGTATTTATCGTAAATTAATCCTTTCCATTCCCTTGGGATTCCTTTTCTTCTTAAAACGTCAAACGTCAAGGTAGAAACGCTAGAGTATTTTCTTGTCGCTGATTAAATTTTCGATAGAAAAAGTCTATTCATTTTTGATAATAAAATATGAAATAATACCAGGATGGCGATGACAAGCCGACTCGCCTTGAGAAAATCGTAAGCCGTCGAAAATTTCGCGAGCTGCGTCAGCGGATGGAGACAGAGGACGACGACATCCCCATCAACAACTCACCACCAGACAGCCAAACGTCATCGATCGAGGGTGTCTATCCAACCCCATCAAAAACCTCCCATCCCTTCAGGATAATCGAACACGATACCCTCAGTTTACAAAGTATGACGTCTCTTGGTAGAGTTGGGAGAATCTTAGCAGGTGGTACTGATGGTGCATCTACTGTTGTACCCTGTGGTGTTCCAGTTTCGATGTCGAGGGAGGCACAGATGGCATCGCTGGCCAATGCCCTCTCCAAAGACGAGGACTCAGCCTCAGGAAAGATCTCCCAATCCTCGAGTGTCCTCACACTCTCCGGTGACCTTGTCCAGGATGTATCTGTCAATGGCAGATCAGAATACTCAAAGTGTGATTCTAAAGTCGTTCTACAGGAGCCCGATGTCATAGCTAGCACAAAAAATAATGGAAAGAGTATTGAAAGTCAGGAGGTGGTACCTGTTGCTCCACCGAGGAGAAAAAAAAAGTCCAAGCCACAAACACCAACGGATCTCGCTGTACGTTGAACGATTTATCTATTTATTTGTTTGTCCGTTCTCCATTTGGATAGAGACGAAAGATCAAATGGGAAGGCTTAATAGAATTTGAGTTGTAAGACTTGGGGTGGATTTGTTGGCAGATTTTCATTGAGTTTTTGTTATCTCTCGTTTCAGCCCACCTCTGCAGAGGGATCGATGCCGGCCTCGTCCTTACCGAGTCCAGCAAGTACAATTGAATCGATAACACGTGAATTTGAACATTCATTGGATATAAGATCAGCAACTAAAGGCCAATACGTCGTTAAGCCACAGGCAAGTTTCACCACAAGTAATTACGTTCTTTACTTCAAGGACGAAAAAATTCCAGTTCATTGTGACACGATATCGCCCTCCAAAGGATTTTTAATGACACACCGACATGACCGGGTCAGTGTCAAATATCTCCACAATGCCTGCTTAAATTGTCAGTTTATTATCTTTCTTTATGATTTATGATTTATTAATTATTCATTATTCTGATTTCTCGATTATTATTTTTTCAGTCACGTAGGTTTATTGTTAGCTTCAGTAGAGGTTTGGGACGATGTTGTAGAATTTTTGTCAAGCTTGAACATCACGCATGAAAAAAAACATTTTTGTTTATTTCGTCAAGTTTTTTCATACGTGATTTGTTGAAGTTGAAACTGGATTTTGTAATTGCTCATCTGATCATGATATTATTTTTTCTTATGATATTCTGAATGAAGGACGAGGATAAGTCCAAAGCAGAGGGTCCTTCGTCAGTTGAATTAGATAGACTGGAGAAAATAAAGGCAGAACTGCTGAGTCTACGATCGAGCGATAAATCAAACAGTCCCATTGGCTCCATATCGAGCAATAGCATCGGCAGATATTCTCTGGGACCCCAGAGATTTCCTGGCATCAGTGCTCACAATTCACGAGAGAGACGCAAGTCCGCTGGGGATCAGGATATGGTTAAACAGCTCAATATGTTCGTCAGGACGAGAACAGATTCCGGAAAACGTTTAACCGATATGGTGAGAATTCCATTCATTCGCAATCAAAAAAATTTTTCGATGGTCTCATTCACTCAAAAACTTATTAAAATGTCTACTGGATTAAATTTTATCAATTTATTTTTCATTGTTCAGGAAATTTTGGAGCAAGTAACAGTATTGAATCTGGACACGGGTGAGCGAGTGCCATTGAGTATAGCCGAAGATAAGCTTCCCCAGTGCATGAATCCACTTTCGCTACATATCATGCGTCTGACCTCAGAATACGTGAGTAACTCTAGTCTGGAAAAGGAGAAAGAGAGTGACGAGGAGAGTGTTGACAGTAAAATGTCATCAATTCCTCCGGACGAGGATGTGGCAGTGGGTCGTGTACGCAAGAAAACTCAAAAATTCAAGAGATTCCTGGGTTCGACAGTGAAGAAAACCATGGACAAAGCTAAATCAATAGCCCAGGAGGTGTCCCACGCACGCCATAAGGAGGACGTCATGGATATTGTAGACGATGTCTATCCAGGTGAGCCCCAGGTGATAAAACTCAAGGCCTCGAACAGTCACAAGGGGCCGTACGAGTTCTCGTGTCTGCAGCACGTGCAGGATCTAAGTGGCGAGCACGTGGGCCCAGTCTGGTGTATGAAGTTTTCAGCATGTGGAAGACTTCTGGCTACAGCAGGACAGGATCGTGTCCTGAGGATTTGGGTGCTTCGAGATGCCTTCACTTACTTCCAGGACATGCGAACAAAGTACAACGCTGAGAAAGTAAGTCCCACACCTTCCCAGGAGTCCTTGGTGTCCCAGCAATCGATGGAGGATCCTAATGTGGCTGCCAGTGCTCTCAGTGAGATCGAGGGGACGAAGAGCCCTTTTATGCCCAAACCCTTTTGCACGTACCTGGGGCACACGTCGGACCTCCTCGACGTTTCCTGGTCGAAGAATTATTTTATTCTGTCGTCCTCGATGGACAAGACAGTGAGACTATGGCATATCTCGAGGAAGGAGTGCTTGTGCTGCTTTCAGCACATTGATTTCGTCACTGCTATCGTTTTCCATCCGAGGGATGATCGTTACTTCCTGTCTGGATCTCTCGATGGTAAACTCAGATTGTGGAATATACCGGATAAGAAGGTCGCTGTTTGGAATGAGGTCGATGGGCAGACAAAACTCATAACAGCTGCCAATTTCTGTCAGAATGGAAAGTTCGCGGTCGTTGGGTCTTACGATGGCCGATGTATATTTTATAATACTGATCAACTCAAGTATCACACGCAGATCGATGTGAGATCTACCAGGGGGAAAAACTCTAGGGGAAGAAAAATCAGTGGAATCGAGCCAATGCCTGGGGAGGACAAGATCCTGGTCACATCTAATGACAGTAGAATTCGTCTTTATGATCTGAGAGATCTCAATGTGTCGTGCAAATACAAGGGATATGAGAATGTCAGCAGTCAGATTAAGGCTAGCTTCAGTCCTGATGGACAGTATATTGTGGCTGGGTCTGAGAATCAGTGTATTTACATCTGGAAGACTCATCATGATTATTCAAAATTCTCGAGTGTCAGGAGGGATCGCAATGACTTTTGGGAGGGCATAAAGGCACACAATGCTGTTGTAACTTGTGCTGTTTTTGCACCAAATCCTGATTCTATTATCAGGCAGATTGAGGCCAGGGAACAGTGGGAGGGAAGAGACGATTCGAAAAATGGGACTGCCACTGGGGCTATTGCCAATCCAGTTGATCCTGTTGTTGAGCAGAGGACGAAGGGCTGTGGGGGGCATGTTTTAGTCAGCGCCGATTTCAATGGGTGCATCAAAGTATTTTTGAATAAAACCAAACCAAAACACAGTTCACTACCTGCTTCGGCACTTGCCTAATTGGTGAGCGAAGGGGAGTTCAGAGATCATCAGTTATGGTGACTTTTATTTTTTATATTTTATTGTGGAACGTTTTTTTCTGGGTCTTTTATCCTGTGTGAGAAAATTGTGAGGCTTTCGCTGAAGAATTCTATTGGAATCCGTTGGGTTTTCGCTGATTTCTGGTGGAAACTCTCTAGTACGTGCACTGAATAATCCCAACATCTAATCCCTTTCCGCTACCCAATGATAATAAAAGATCATTTAAAATTCCTTGTTATGTTACATTGATCCAAAGCAGTGCTTTCGCATCAACTTGCAAACTTCTATCCCCACTTAGTGGATTAAGCTATCCTGCACACCGCGAAACCCGGGAGAATTGCCCGAAAAAAAAAGATGTTCAAGTGCAGAAAGAAACATCAGATGTGAGCAAATGTTGTGTGATATATAAGTAAAAAATCGTAAAAAATCGTGGTTTGATAATTGACAATAAGGATCTCTCATCAATCGGAAAATAGATGTTCTTTCTTTTGTAATTAATGTCAAGCCAGAAGTCATTCGAGTGCCTATTATTTTCCTGTGTGGAATTCCCACTCCCTCGAGCGATGAAATACCGGCGAAAGAAATCAATCGTGAAGAGAAAATTTTGGAAAGAATTTGTGTATAATGTTACACGCGCTATATTGTCAATTAAATTAATTGCATTGGATAATTATCCGTTTGCATACTGAAATTGTGAATCAATAACGTTGACGACTAGGGAATGATCATTTTGGTGATAAATGATCCCTCCAAATCATTCAGAAGGAAAAACAAGGCAAAACGAATAAATTATTGATATGAAATTGTGTAAATGAATACTGTACATATATTTTCAATGGCATTAGTGAGATACGCTTAGCTATTGTTAAAGACTACTATTCACCATTCCACAAGTGGGAATGCACAAATTGTTTTTGATCGTCAAGGAATCTGATGGGATTTTAAGAATTTTACGTGCTCAGTCAACTTACCATGGATGGACCTGTACAATATAAGGATTGTAATAATGTCTGCAATACGTTGAATTAACACGAGTTTTTTTGTTTTGTATAGGTTAAAATATACTGACCAATAAAACGGGAATTGTTTTTTTCTTTGATGGACCCTTGTGCTCTCCAAATATAATCTTTTAATATTTAATGCTAAGTCAGTAGAGATACATATCATTTTCTGCTATAATGACGGCTTTTTATAGATATCATAATAAAATAGGATGCAAAATTGTTATTGTCCATTTGGCTCTGAGGTATGTGGGGAGAGTGACCTTTGGTGCTGGTATTGCCGGAAAATCAACCTCAAATCCGTCTCGACGACCTCGAGTCTTTCATGTCACTCAAATGCGTTCACTTGACATGGTTACTCTTACACTCGACATCTGTGTCTCCGTGACTTAGAGTTTCAACGCCTTTTAACTGGCTGTAGGTCATTTGCTCATGGCCTACGAATGTGTTTAATGATATACGACTCAACACTGTCGACGGTAGGTCGCTCGGTCAGTCGCCCGTCACAACTTCAATCTCATCCGTCCTTTTTCCATCGGTCCCTCCAGAAATCAAAATAAATACATTAAAAATAGAAACACGTAACTGAAATTTTTTAATTAAGAACACATCTTTCTGTACAATTTTTCCCTGAGAATTTTAAACACGTTTTTTTTTTAATTACACATTTTCTATGCTGTCTAATGTATTCAGGGATACTTCATTATGATTCCGTGCCGGTTCCCCGTTTTGGGACACATTCTCGGAAACTAGGGGGAACGTGTCCTGATTTTGTGGAATTTTAACGGTTCAGAAAGAAATTATCCGAGAGTGAGAGTAATTTAAGAATTTTCTTGGAGTCTTCAGGCGTTCATTGGAAATTCGTTTGAAAAATTCATACTGATAATGACATGCGGTTAAAGGAAATTATATCAATTACATTAATTCTATTGATATATTCCCCAGTGGCTGGATGATTCCGAGGCGAGTTGAAGGCTGTGAAATTGAAAGCCATTTGAGAAATCCAGAAGCAGCATCTCCATTGGACAATGCTAGCTGTCCAATGATGGATTTAGTCAATGAAAGGAGTAAAAATTGTGGAGTCAGGGGCTAGGGAGGGATTGAGGTGCGTATGGGGTGGTGGAATGCCGCCGAAAGAATTAACAGAGATATTGTCTCGTGCGTGTTGCCCATTGCCATCACATTGAGGGAAGACCTATATAACTGTACCATCATGTCTGGGTCAGGGGGAGGGACATTGCGACGTTATAGCATACACTTGGTATATCGGACAGGTGTATACCATTCCCACTCGACCACTTACCGCGTGCACGCATCATCATCGGGGGTTCCACCTGATTCACCATCAATCCATCTCAACACTTAGTGCTAGCTAATCCCCGAATTCTGTGCTCCTGTGCTCATCACCCATTCGAGTCCTTCAAGTTGTTTTCTCCGGGAATTTTTCGTCGGTGATACAGTGCCACGTGAAAATCAATCAATCAGTGAAGTGACCGGCAATTAAATCCTGGAGATCAACCCGCACAGGTATTTTTCCATTTTTCCATTTTTTCAATTAAAAATATATTTTTTTTATTTATAACTAAATTTTATGGAATCCGCCCTACGTCTACGTCTTGGATAAAATTTAATGAAGATTAAAAAAGGCAGGATTGTAGTGCATATTGTTAATTTGATTATGGTACCGTCAGAATCTGGAATGGAGTAATCGGTTAATCGTCAGGATCGGTATGAGGGGTATCCGGTATCAGGTGTGACTCAGGATTATCAGGATATCGTTAAACCCCGTAATTTATGTACACCATTATCCGCGCTTAACGATCCATGTCACTTATCTATTACTGAAGCTCTCCATCTCGGTGCTCTTCCATTCTTACCGGGAAATAGCGAGGAGATCGCGGGGATTTCAGGAAGATGAGGATTCCCCTGGTTAGGCCGTTCGCAACATATTTAGGCCAATGACAACCGTTATGTGTATTTGGCAGAGAGCCCATTCCCCAAGCGTGTGCCCGATGCCGGTTTAATGTACGTATCGATCGGTTTGACATCGATCATCGGTTGATGCCTGGGTGGTCGATATCATCCCGCTGTTCCCCCCAATACACTCTGTGCATTCAAACTTGAACCTCATTTTCCCAGAGCACCAAAAAGGTCTTATCGATTCCTCAAACCGATAGTTCCCTAGATTAATCGATAATAAAATTGTTCAATCCGATTTATGGCTCTACTACTTCGATAAACAATTATATTATAAATATCGAGGCATCCTGGTTCTCCGGAGGATTGTGAAAAGGTTATCGGCGAATAAACTTTCCAAGGACGGCAATTTATCCATGAATTTATCCATGAATCCATGAATGAATCCTATTGATGTGACAATCGATTGGAAAATCTCTAATCGACATGTGCATGCAGTGAATCGTGAATTTAAGGCATATTCTATTGAGCTCAGGGAATATAGGAATTCCCGGGGAAGAGGATGCAGAAGAATTCGTTAGTGGGGCACGTGGTGGTTCTGCGCGTGGGGATTCGTCGAGACCTACTTAAGTAAATTTCGCATTGTCTATTAGTCCTATTTCTACCCATCAACACGTTTTTTTTTCCCCCCCTTACGAACTGCAGAATCTCATCTCCATTCCCGGTGTATTTCTTTCGTCTTCGCGACGAAAAATAACGGCGTACCGTGGAATTTGGGACGGGTATGGCTTATGGAGAAGGGGGCGACCGCGCCCTACCTCTTCAGCAAGCTTCTCCAATTGTCGATTCCAGTAAAAGCTGCGGTACGATAAATGACGATCAAACACACGGTATGTCGCCAACTTGCTAATGGTTATTGCAGAACGGCTACGAGGTCTTGCAGTTGCCTTGCAACTCAATTCGGTTGGAATCGGTAGGCAAGTGGTTAAGAGATCATTTTTTTATTCCTTTTTTATTATTTACATGTATCGACCTAATGGATTATTTAAACAAATATTCAGCAGCTGATATTATACGAGTGCTGAGGATCTCTTGGATAAAACTCTTTTCATTGTTAATTTACAAATTTTAATAAATTGGTTTATTATTTTTAGAGGTTGAATTTCCTCTCCCACCGAGAAGTGGTGGCTATGGTGAACGATCTGGGGTACTTCTTCAATTAATTATACATTTCTTTAATTTAATCTCTGAGTACTGCGAACAGTTCCACAGGAGCTAATTGAGACTAGTCCAATTCTACGATTTTCTCGCACATCTATTCCCTCTCACACTATTGATTTCAAGTAAAAATATGAAAAGACATTTTCTCTGGGAAATTTGAGTAGCTACAAAAAATGTTTCTTCAGGTTTTGGCGATAAATGAATAGTTTTGGAAATAATTGATGAAGAAGCTCAATAAATAAAGATTCGGGAAAATATTAAATTCGCGAATGCGATCGGAGGTCGAAATTGCGGAGACAATTACATGGGGTATTGCAGAATAATTGAAAGTAGGAGATACATTATTTCACGTGGTAGAAAGTGAATCAAGCGGCAAGCGTCGTTGAGGTTGATTGAAAACTTTTACTATATTACAGTTACTATTAAGTGATGAGTAATTGAAAATTAGCAGTTGGTGAGCAGATAACTCGGGCTTTTAGGAAATTGAGACATTGCGGGTATTAATTCCTCGATAATTAGAGGGAACACATGATTACGGAGTCTCAGAGTGACTCGCAGACGACCTTGAACCTCAGAACGCGTTAAACGAGATGTTAATTAAAATCTATAATTTAACGCGCGTGTTTCAGGACTTGGAGATTAACAGTTGATGGTGAACGTTGGAATGCGGTTGTACAGCCTGATTTTGGTCCATCTCCTGCTTGGAGGGGTGAGTATTAATTTTTTTTTTCCACTAAATACCCGCGTTTTTAGACGTTCATGAATGAATCTCTCGTTAAAAAAAGCCGATGATTCGAGGAGAAACAGATACGGTCACGAGACGTAATTACTGCATTATAACCCACATATCGCGAGACAGACGGATGGGTAGGGAGATACACCGGCCAATGCCGTTATACCCCGGTGCTAAGTTAACCCAGAGCTAAGGGCGACGCAAGAATACAGACCAATACCACATGCCAGCTGCTTCTTTTTTTTTTCCCCATCATTTCCTTTTTACAGTGTAGCCCCTAGTAGGGCATCTCGCGATCTACCGGTGGTTCACCCAGAGGGAGAGGTGTCTGAGAGATTTTGCAAAAATTGGAGAACAGGGGAGTAACAGGAAAAAAAGAGGGAAATGCCTTTCATTCGTTATTTTACTTGAGAGTAGCAAGAGCTCGTGCGTACAGATCATTCATACGCGGTGAACGCCAGAGGATGAATGAACCGATGGAAAGTCTCGGTGTTGGATGAATATCGATGGAATCGATGGAAGTGATCATCGATGGTTTAAATGAGAATTAATGTAGATTTGTTGATGAATTAGAATTGTTATCAACGCTTTAATTCGGTTGATGATTCGATAATTGTGGCGGGTAAGAATGACACATTTTTTCGGTTGACCTCGAGAGAGTATTGGAAGTTGTCCGAATGACCTGCGGGCAAAGACATACGGGGCCCGTTATGCCCGAGGGTCACGTGTGACGCAATCATCCAGGAGACTGTGCTCCTATTGCGGTGTGTAAACTTCTCCCCCTTTTCCCCGCGTCTTGGTACTCTCTGTCTCATCGTCTTCGCCGAACGAGACAACGGGTTCTATCGTTCTATCGTACCAAAGTGTTTCACGAAGAGATCACCCTAACAGTTTATCCTTAATTTGCAGGTAATTCGAGCTGAGGAGGTGGAGGTGATAGAGGCAATATCGGGGGATGAGAATCGAAATGAGAATTCTGCCTTGAGCCGCCCGGAGAGTGACTCCAGTGCCTCCGATCAGCTGGCACTGGAGTCAATGGGTGACAAGGATAATCCTCCAGGTGGTTCCGGGCAGTATGGAAAAAATGGCTTGCGGGGGCATCAATTGGCGCTGCCACCGCGGTTGAATCTTGGTCCGTCGCACCAGAGTGTTGCCTACCACGGACCACCACCGCCGCTGCCCGGGAAAGGATCTGGACAGACGGAGGCGATGGACAAGATCTTCACAACTGGCAGTGGCTCAGACCTGTGGCCAGCCACTGCTCCCGACATGCCAAAAATTATATCTCTGGATGTGAAATGTGAGAAAAATCTCATGAAGGTCTATCTCGAGTTCGACAAGCCCTTCTACGGGATCGTCTTCAGCAAGGGCCACTTCAGCAACATCAATTGCATGTATCTGCCGGCGGGCCTGGGGAGGACCTCCGTGAACTTTGAGATTGGAATTCACGCGTGCGGCACATCCGGCAATACCGAGAACGGATTGTACGGTTATGGGGCTGAGTCGGGATCGGGAACCTACTTCGAGAACATCATAGTCATTCAGTACGATCCCCAGGTCCAGGAGGTGTGGGATCAGGCGCGGAAGTTGCGCTGCACCTGGCACGACCTCTACGAGAAATCGGTGACGTTCAGGCCCTTCCCCGTGGATATGTTGGACGTTGTCCGGGCGGATTTTGCTGGGGACAACGTCGGCTGCTGGATGCAGATCCAGGTGGGAAAGGGACCCTGGGCCTCCGAAGTCTCTGGCCTCGTCAAAATTGGACAGACCATGACCATGGTCCTCGCGATAAAGGACGATGAGTCCAAATTCGATATGCTCGTTAGAAATTGCATGGCTCACGACGGCAAACGCGCACCCATTCAATTAGTCGACCAGAAGGGCTGCATCACCAGACCCAAACTCATGTCCAGGTTCACGAAGATCAAGAATTTTGGGGCTAGTGCATCGGTTCTGTCGTACGCACACTTCCAGGCATTTAAATTCCCGGATTCGATGGAAGTGCACTTCCAGTGCACAATCCAGATATGCAGGTATCACTGCCCGGATCAGTGCTCTGAGGGTGGGGGAATTGAGGGTCCAGGATTCCTGGAGGGTCATCCTGACGTAGGCTATGGGCTGCCACCGCCCCTGCCTCTTGATGCGTATTTACAGGCGATCGGACCTGGCGGGCCTCGGGACGAGCGCAGGAGGAAGTCCAGAGACCTGGGGAAACCATCTCTTCAAAATATCGGAGTTAATAGGGTCATCCGAGTCGTATCCACTGGAGATTTGACATTCGCTATTGACGAGAGCAAGGAGGAACCCAGTCCGGACACCACTTTGGTCTTTCCAGTCCGGGAATCCGCTCCAGGGTCTACCATGATCTGCATGACCACTCCAGGATTCGCTTTCACTCTCATTGTCCTTCTCGCTGTTCTGCTAATCTCTTGTGTACTCTCTGCCTACCTCTGGATTCGGCTAAGGCCGTTCGCCAGGAACAAGGGATTGTCCGCTAGGTTCACGGCCCAACCCAAACAGCAGCAGACTAAAATGTGCTTTTACTCATAGCTTTGAGGGCTTCCCAACGGATTTTTCTTGTTACCGGGGACACTGGGGATGTGCGTATGAAATATTTTGTTCTTGGTTCTTGAATACGTGGATACAACGGTCTCTTTATTGTTGGAGTATTGACAAAACGCGGCGAAAATTGTTCTAATTCTTATGATAAATCTAGAAGATTCTAGATAATTCGTGAAAATTCCAGGAAAATTTGTGACATTTATTGATTTTTTTTAAAATACACAAAGAAGTTTGTGATTTCGTGGGAAAAATATTTGATCGGGGTTTTCTTCAAAAATATGAGAAATCCGACGATAAAAAAAAATAATAATAAGGGCATAGTATCCACGTAAAATAACGGATGTTTCACAGATGCGGCAACCTGTTTTTTTTTTTTTTTTTGGTAGATATTCAGTGTCTACCGTTTCTGGGTTTCGATGGATGGGTTTTCTAATCACTAGTCTGACGGTGCGCTCGGCGCACCTCTATGACATGGGAATAGCAAATGAGCGGGAAAAACTTTCGAGATATTTCGAGATGATGAGAAAAAAGAATGTTTTTATGATAATAAAAAATTGTTCTGCAGGTAAAGGTCGACGAAACAGGCATTGAATATTAAAAATAGTTGTATGATTAAAATATGAATACCATTGACACAGGACATTTTCGTAGGAACAATGGTTTATGTCGATGAGAAGATTCATTCTACCTCTTTTCGGTGGGAAAGCCTCCTCGATCGTGACGTACGTACCGGAGGCTAAACAATTTGTAAGTTGATGTGTGTCTCTAGATTATCAATGACATTGTACCATTGATATTCTCCAGACATGTGTGCACATAGGGGCATTGTGCAGATAACTGTCATATGATGGGGTCAGTGAGCCGATTCACATGATGACTACAATAAATAAGTCAATTCGATGTTGACAGTCGCGCGATGCATTTAGGATCAGTCCTAGCGATGTACTTGAATTTTAACAAATTATTTAAACAATGCCTACACCTCCTTCCTCTAAAATTTTCATTTTTTTTTATTGAAAATTATTAACGGAATTGACGAGGAAAAAATAGAACGTTTGAATTAAATAAAATAATGATAAAATGTACAAACGTTATAGCTGTTCACGTTAATCCCATCGATAATTAGACATAAATAATTTGAAAATGTAATTTTTGGTGAAGAGGGTGTAGGTCGTCTTGAAATCAGCGATTTAAGTGAAAAATGACGAAATAGATAATTTCTTGGGATGTTGTTTTCTCGACCGGAGCATCAGATAAATCCTCATCGAGGTGTATCGATGCGTGCCACTTTTCGGCAAGCACTTTTGAAATTATCCAGTTTCTCAGGCGGTCCTGGCCATAATGAAACCGTGCACTCAAAAAGATGGACCGCCTATAAAGAATCCGATCAATAAACCACATGTACACGTTTTTGTACCATGTAATTCCGGCAATACCCTCTTAGACGCTGAAAAATTGTGTACACGCGCGCGTGCGTGCACATAACACATTGCCAAGTTAAAATTCATGTACATTTATACACAACACAAGTACGCCTAATTTGCGTTATTAGCATACAAATTGCGGGATGAGCAGATAAATCGCTCCAAGCCTGACGGTGTGGCACCGTTATTCGGACATAAAAAAAAAAAAGAAACAGGCGGAAAGGTCTTCTCTGGGAACGGAGGCAACTCATTTGAATCATTCTTTAATGGCCACATTTTTCAGACGAAATCTGTGGGAAATCGGCAAATGATCCTCACCCCATTGACATTGTTTATTATTAAGATTCGCTCAATTGTAGAGGTATCCGTAATCTGCAGTTTTATCCATTAAGTTTCATGTTTTATATTGTTTATTTTATAGCAACTGTAATAAAGGAAAATTATTTATTGGCGATCTACTTGAAGCCAATCAAATCAAGTACAACGAGTCAAGTGATTCCCTATTTATTTTATTACTTGTTAAAAAAATTATGTTATCCGTTAATTGCTGAGATTTATTATAGAAAATTATGGAAAATTCGAGAGTTGCTCGATGGATTTGTACAACTCATAAATAATTATAATAAGATGGTATTATTATTACAATTAATATTGTTACTATCCTTGAATTTTTTTTGTTCGTTTAGGATATTGAAGAGGAATAAAACGAAATAAAATGAAATAAAACACAACTGATCAGAGGCTTGGTTTTTATTATATAATGTTGTCTATATACGATTGAATGATCATTACAGTAATCAATAATTCACAAGGAAGGGATTGATCCCACGTGAAGAAATAACAAAAGTACGGTATAATGGTTTCATTGGAATAAATGAATTCAAAGCACCGCAGTTGAGACTCGACTCCAAGTCCCGAACAATTGTAAAAATAATATATAAATATATAATGCACAGGATGAGGGAAGGGAGAAAATGTTCGAGCAGATGAGAATCTTTCTCCTGTAGTAGCACTTCCCAAAGCCATTAATTCTTAACTAGAATTAAAAATGAGAGAATCTCGAGGTGCAGATGATCTTATGGAAACATTCAGCCTCTAAAAACCTCCGATGAAAAACTCATTAGAAAACACTTAGAATACTTTGTACACCGTATTGCACATTGTCTCTGTGGATAAACTTTTTAATCCTAGGACAGTTCATCCTCTTTATTCTCCTCATTGAAAATCATTCAGGTATTTTGCTCGGTCATGGAACTAGTGATTCAGCACACGAGAATTTTTTCTCACCACTCACTTGGCACTTGCCTTCACATCCAACTTATACTTCGATAAACCGCCGAAGAGCTGTAATTTTACGATATTACCAAATATATTGAGTAGATTTTTAAAATGGCAATGGGTTTTCAGGGCGTATAAGAAAAATAAATAGATAAATAACTGAATAATTGAAGGAGAAAGAGAACAGAAGGGAATAGTTTCCACATAGAACCACACCATTAAATGTCCCATCAACATTTTTCACGTCATTTCACTGCTGTGAGGATCAACTGTCCTAGTGCATGGGCTAGTCTTCAACCGCGTTCGATGGAATTCCCCGGGCTGACTTGTGTCTTCTGGATCCTCTGCTCGCGCTGCGTACATCTGACTCGCAGCAAACCGTATGGCAACCAGCCCCGATTAGCAACCACCACCTGATTCTTCTGATTATCAGCTGCTTCACGTTGCACCTGGAGTCTATGCAGCATAGCGCCAGCAACTAGGGCAGATATCACCGCCGACAGAGCGACTATGATGAATAAAGCACTGAAACCTGGCATTGGCAGGCAAATTCCGTACACGACCTCCTCTCGTATTCTACCCTGAAACACGGTGACCGCTTCGGCATGGCTGTCTGGGCTGAATGCCAAGTCTGCCTCGGATATGACCTCGTAGATACCACTCACGCCAACGTCTGCTGAACGTGCCTTGCGATCTGATATTTTCAGGGAACGACGCTTTCGAGATGTACTCGACTTCAACGGATTTATTGTTGTATCACCGCCTTCCAGATTTCGCGGTCCGTGGGGAAACTCCTCCTCATCTCGGTAGGATGTCACTCGTGGGGGGTCCTATTGAAATTCATTAAATTATTATAAGTGAGAGAAATTATTATAGGGAGAGAAATTAAAATTGCAATTAACTACCAGATATTTACCAAAAATGGATGAGTAATTTTGAGTTCCTCTAGAACATTCTCCTTCTGAATATCAACAGTTGCACTGTCGGAATTGCGATTAGCCATTTGCGCTTGTGCTTTGGGTGCGGATTTCTCAACCCCGAGGAATTGACCGCCGATGGATGCCATCTCATCGCCATTCTGTATAATGTCGTCGTAAAGTGATGCGTCTTCCTCGTGAACAGTTGTTGTTTGAGTTGTCTGTGTGTAGAGCGGTCTAGCCGGATGATCCTTGCGGTCTTGAATATAATGACCGGGAGCTCCGCTGAGTTGACAGTGATCCGAGCAACCGTGTCGGCATATTTCAACCTGATAAACATATTCGTAATGTTAATCAGGTAATGACGTGACACAATATTTATCGGTTGGTATACCTCTGTTAGATTTTTTACACACCTTACACTTGATATGCACGCTAAGTGCGTCCGGGAACTTGAAGGCGTGGAAGAAAGCGTAAGTGATGACAGTCGCCCGATCGTCTGAGCCACGTGCTTTCAAGAATCGACTAATCATCTTTGGCCTCAGCACGCAACCGAGCTCATCGCTGAGCTGAATCGTGTGTCCACCTCCGTCCGATGCCACGCATGATTTCACACGCATATCGAACTCCCCTTAAAATCAACCAATCAACCATCAATTTCTTCTTCAATCCAAAACCATTAAAATCCACAAGAGCTTTTACACAAATCTTCAATAAAATTCTCCAATTAACTTCAACTTAATCTCACTCTTCTCACCTCTGTAATCATTAATTGCAACAACCAGAGTAAGAGTTGACCCAAGAGGTACGATCCCGGAAACTGGTGGTGCCCATGGGCCCTTGCCATGCTGAATTTCCATCCAGCAATCCACATTGTCACCTACCAAAAATAAAAATCTGAATTAACTACTGAAATTTACTAAATACAAAATCACTCCGAAGAGACTATTTTCTCCGCAGCATTGAGTTCCCCCATGAACAGTTGCTAACTGTATAAGTATCATTCATTACAAATTGTGCGGTTGACCGGTGTCATATTAAGAGACCATTGAAGAGATAGCCATCTTAATCCGCTCCTCAAATAAACGCGGATGAATTACCTCGGAAGTCAAGTTGAATAACGTCGAGATCGGCAATGACCATCGGAGGTTTCGATGCGGTTTTCTCGTAGTCATTGAACCACTCGCATCGCAATCTCTTGGCTTCATCCCAGACCTCCAGGAGGTCCTTGTCGTACTGCACGACCACTGTGTTCTCGTAGAATTGTCCATGCATATCAGGCTTTGTCCCGCACCTGTTAGACATCAATGATCCAGAAAAAAAAATGGGGAGAAGGGAAATGAGTGAAGACTTCAATTAAATAAATGGCAATATAATAATATATAGATTAATAATATATTATTAAGTAATATAATATAATAATATAATCTTGCGTAATAATAATACCTTGCGTAGGCAATTCGAAATGAGAAGAAGGCTTGCCCTGTTGATGGGGGGACGTAGACGCATCTCGGGTCGGCGTGTTGTCCCTTCGAGGATACGATGCCCTCGAACGGTTGGGAGAATGACAAATGTACGTCCATATGGTCCTTGCCGCACATCACTTCCAGTGATTGAATGGCAGGCATGCCCTCTGGCCTCTCCAACGGCCAGATGTCACCGCTACCAATGACGTACTCCATTCCAACCACCTGTTACAGGGAAAAAATCATTTCACGGATTTATTCGCATTACCTCCCTGGGATTTCCCTGTTCCAATAATTTTTTTATGATTTTCCGACATTTCCATAAGAAGTTTAATCACTGAGTAATTAAATACAGTAATTAAAGATGCTCCACCCTCTTTTAGCCCCAATTATCGATTTTTTGAGTTTTCTGAGAAATTGTTGATTTGGAATTTTATTATTGTTCAATTATTTTTGAAAAAGTTGCTGAATGATAAAATTATGATGATGAGGGAATAATTCCTCAACGCTTTAATGATCGGTTGACGAATTTGGGTGTTTAATTATCAGTGAAATATTTTTTAAGTCACAAATTGTGGTGATAGCACGACGAATTAAGTGGCCAAATGACCGCAGGCAGTTTTTCCACTTCACTTGTGAATTACAGCCCAATTAACAAAGTGCAGGCATATGAAACTATTAATCCAGGAATTAAGAGGTCGCGGCTGACATGAGTTGATGCCGACGAGGCGGAACGAGCCGTCTGATGAGCATACGATTGCACAGATTGCAATCGGCGACTACTCAAGTTGTCCGATTAATAGCATGGCGCCTGTAATTTGCCGGATCTCAGGCAGGCGACGAGATGACAAGGTAAAAAAGAAAATACTGTAGAAAAAAATTACGTAACCTGGAGGTGAATTTTTTTATTCACATCATCCGTACGTTAATTCTCCTGAATATCAACTGGTACTTCAGCTCAAGTCAATTCCCAGAAGGATCTCGGTGGAGCCGTGAAACTGACGTTTTTGTATCACCACTTCCTTATGAAGCGGTACGAGTTTTAGCGATATTGACCAATCCAAAACAAATGGATTGCACTTGCAACGATCCAGAATCTGTATTGGCTCTGAATTTCGAAAATTCAGGAAATTCCCCATTACACCAAAATCGAGCAAGCCTATTTATTCCCACCAAAAAATTCTTGTTTACAACGATAATATAAAATCGAAAGAGAAAAATGAATTATTTAACTCTATTATCTCAATTTTGGATATGAAAATACGTTTCAAAATTGAATACATCGTCAAGGATATTTTAACAAATACCAATTGGAAATTTGAATTTTTGACAATTAAAGTTGGAATTAATTACATCCTAAAATTGCAGAAGCAGCCCAGCACATGCCAGCCGTCCAAAAATAAACAATTTCTCGTTGGATAGGGCGATACGTTGGAATCGTCGAGGATGAGGGTTGAAGCTGGTGGATGAGATGGTGATGGAAAAATAGCGGTGTAAATTTGCACTGGGGGAATGTGGATTTGACTGGTCTGGATGTCAACCTGGTTACATCCTGTCACTATTCGAAAATGAGAGGGTCAAAAAGGTGCTGACGCGGGTGCTTCTCATTCCACGGACAAATCCGCGCAACCCTGTAACGGGAGAGGCGTCTTTACCGCTGCATTAACGGTCGGCGTTTTTCACACAAGTGAAAACAAGTTTTAGCAAGGCAAAAGACAACCCATGATGAGGAAGACTGATGAGGGGTAGAGGGGTACAATCCCACTGTTACATGACAACGTTTTCATTAGAAACGATTACAGGGTACCCTAAGCGCATGACCAAGACGCCAATCTCCAGTCTCGTCGGTCCAAATCTTTTTATCACTACACTTAATGTACATTAGCGGTCATTCAGGTCCAGTATTTTCACTCCTTTATTACCAATGCCATTACTCATAAGTAATTAGATTTGTATAAAGATAATATTATATGATAATTGAATGAAAACTTTTATTGGAAACGACACAAGTGGAATTCTACTAATTTTTATTCTAAAAATTCATGGAGGAATGTGATCATCAGGGAGGGTACTCTTTTTTTCATCCTCACATGTCAATTGAGCGGTTATTTTGACATGATTTAACTCTGGCATAATTACAGGTGCTGACAAGTGTCACGGAATTGATAACTACATTGATAACGTCCGTACGCGCATTATTTAGTGCGATTGCCCCTTTCTACTGAGTATACATCATGCAATCAACGGTACCTAGTGTAAGGAATAATAATCACTTGCAAGATGTTGTCTACAGCCCCATAATTTTCACTGAATGAGTATCGGATGATTCGATTTTAAAAATATATTATTTTGTCAGTAATTCGGATAATGAATTCTACGAATTCTTTTATGAAATTATTGGTCATTTCTTTGATTGTTTATTGAATATTCTGGGGATATTTGGTAGGAGGGGAAAATGAGAATTCCGTTTTTTCACTTGTCAACTGATTTATCTCCTGTCATTGGATATTTACCATGTAGATGATGACGATGCGTAGCAGCTTCCACACCCCTGGCATTCTAGTGGTCTCAGCCTCTCACGCTGAAACGCGTTAACCTGTCAACACGAAATTAAAATAATTTATTAAAATAATTTATTTACTAAAATAAGTCGATTAAGAATGTTCCCTCTTTTATCCGAAATAAGAACAATTTTAAAATTCCAAATTATCGACAAGATTGACGTGAAAAAATATGATGTTTATTTAATTAATCGATAAATTAAATTATAAATAATAAGTGAATTAAATAAATGATAAATAATCATTAATTAAATGTCATCTATATTATTTAATGACTCAGCAAGTGGTGCGGTAATTTTCCTGAGTTTTTTCTACTGTTTTCTGATTTTTTGTTAAAGAAAAAAAAAAGATGGAAAATTTTTATTTTCATTTTTATCGCTGACCCGAAAAGTCTCCAGACCAGTGCCTATACTGATCCGAATATGTATTGCACAGCTCATACATACCGGATACACATAAAAAATCATCGGTGCACGATAATGCACTCGCGGTAAAATTAATTGAGCGTTGAGTACGTACTCTGTCCCGCTCCACGTGCCAAAGGGGTATGTAGAATAAGAGAATTCATCTGCACTCCATTGTAATTATTTCCTCCCAATAGTAACACGAGACTCCAAGACGAACATTCAATTACAAATTATCCATCAATATTTGTGTACATAATTGTCAATTTCTCGAAAATTAAAAATTCAAAAAATATGGAGATATTGTATACGGAGAGAAATATTCAGTAAAAATTACGGAATTTTCAGTAAACTTACCGATTACGGAGTTGATTCGAAAAATTAAAGTGACGGTATCGTAATTTTTCACTGATGATTCAAATAAAAATTATGGAAAACCACAGAAAAATTCCATGACTTTAAATAAAAATTACGGAACAATTCCGTAAAATTTCCGACAACCACATTTCGCTCGAGAATTACGGAAAATACGCGTAATTTTTATTGAATATTTCTCTCTGTGTTTTCCCCGGGAATTACATCTTCAATATATCCCATTAATATTCCAAATATATCTTCAATGAAAGCCGTAACATATACCAGCTATCTATCCAGATATTATCAATAAATCTAGAGTTTCAACGTGGGAAAAAATTGAAATTACAAAAATTCGTGAGATTTTTTCCAGCACTCATTCGCATAAAATCAAGTTAAATAGGTGGAAGTGGTGGAAGGAAAGAATAAACCCGTAAAAAGTGCGTGGTCAATTAAAAACATTCATTGCTGCGTTAAGTTTTAATCTCCCTGGGATTCTCCCCAGGAATTTACGGAGAAAAGAGGATAAAATAAAAAAAAAAACACACAAGTGGAGGTGCGTAACTCGCACAATAGCGTCTACAGCTGAGAAATGCATTGATGTTCTCTCATGTTGCTTCCTGTCCTCTAGGTGCTCTTACTCATTGCACCGAGTCTCGTGGTCCGACCAGTGAATCGAGGTAGAAAGGCTTGGCCTTTAACGGCTGTCCACAACTTGTAATTAGGTGCCTCAGCCATTCGTAGACCGTGACTAGTTAGTCGTATTTTGCCGTAAGTCCTTCATTCATGATACGCTCCGCACTCTTTCATCAAACTTTTTTTCCATTATATCATATTGTGTCCACATTTTGAATGTGGAAAAATAACCGCCGAGAATTTCCCGCGAACTCATTGCAAAAAGTCATTATTATCAGGAAAAGTGTATTGATCTGTCTATAGATTGGATTTTATTCATGAAACCTAGCGCGTGAGATGCTGATTGATTTTTTTGGGGGATCCTTTGTTTTTATTTTTGTGTGATTGGCGGTATGTGGAGATATTTTAGGAAATATTTTAGGAAATATTTTAGGAAATATTATAGGAAATATTATAGGAAATATTTTAGGAGATATTTTAAGAGAGGTGTGCCGTTCGAAAAAGTGGGGATTTCCCGGATTTTCCACTTGTCCCCGATCGAGAGCGGAAAAGTATGAGAAAAGTATGAGATCTGGAGAGAGTCTTCTGCATTCACATCAGACAGACGACGATGTCCTTGTTAATAACGTTCGTCAATATAAAAATAATTTCTAAATATTTCAAATGACAAAATAAAATTATAACCGATCCCTCGAAGATGCTCCACACCACAGACCGAACAGCGACTTAAATTCGTCGAGATCCTGAGGCAGTACTTATTATGGTATTTCTTAACGATCCGAGAAAAAAAATAATCTAATTAAACTTGGCCAATCAAATATCAACAATCGACAACAGATAGGGGTATTGTTTAAAAAATAATTGAGGACGAGAATATTTTGATAGTATAACACTTCTGCGTAGTAAAGTATTTATATCGTAATCCTTTCGTTTTTAATATTTTTTAGAATATTTTGACCGGTAATATTATTATTGAATGCTATTTAAAGCGGTTGCCTCTAATAACATGGCAATTAAAGTATATACATACTACAGGACGAGCGAAAGTGACCGGGAAGTGGATGAGAATGAAAAAAAGCGTTGCCGATCTCGCGGATTAAAGTATCTTCCACTTTTCCAAAAGGAGAGGATAAAAATTCAAAAAGTCTTACAACACCCTCACCTTCAATTAAACTCATCATCAAATATTCTTCAATCACCCTTCATCCCTGAAAAATTATAATTCTTAAATTCCCCGTAAATCTCTCCCCCCACGAGCGTTCATTAGTCCTCATTAACACAGAATCTCAGAATCGGCAGATTTTTCCTGGAAACGATCAATGGCTTTTTTCTTTAAAAAAAAAAAACGAAGAAGCAAGAACTGTTATTCAAACAGAGGAATATTGAGTGATTACCAAGAAAAGTGGAGGAACTGGTGATGAAGCTGGAGGTTGAACACATGAAATCGGTAGTCGCTCTTTCGCATGTGTCACTGGTTGTCTCGTAAATAATCCACGAAGCGAAATGTTTACTCAAGAAATTCCAGATAGAGACGTTGATCATTGGGCCCATAATTCCGTTAATACTCTCCAGAGAGTATCCAAAAATTAAAACGTGGGGATCAGCGGTTAGTGGCCACTGGTGGAATAGAGGAAGAGGGTTTGAGATTGAAGGAGAACGGAATAAACGAGACGAGGCGACCCCAGACGAGGAGAGTGACCGTTATCGTGGTACTTATGAACAATTCAGACGTCTCACGACCGTCCTACATTCTTCAATTTCCACGGAATGCGACGGTAAAAATACAGGGAGAAAAAAAAATTGTGGGGAATGAGCATGAGAGAAGGCTTTGGGAAATTGTTTTGTGCGAAATGTATAATTGACGAGACTGTTAAAAAGCTTCCGGTTTAAAATTGTTCCAATTATCATTAACTCCCACCAGAGAAAAGAAAGTTTTTATTTTCAGGGGCTTACCACCAATTTCAGTACAAATCCATGAATTTGATAAAAGTGCAGAAATCGACACTAATATCACTTTCCTCGATGAATTTTCTTGTTGCAATTTTTTATTTCACTAGGTACTGAGTATTACCTAGTATTTATCAATTGACAATGATCAATTGACGAATAAATTTTTATTTCTGTTGAATTTATTTTTTATTGGAAATTCGTTACGCATTTTTGTGTGTTTTATTTTGTTTTCATTATCATTTTAATTTTAATTCTTCCATTTCTTATTTTCAGATGATTATATTAGTATAATAATAATAAAAATAATTGTTGAGTCATCTCTGGTAGCTAGACATGAAAAATGACGAATAATTAAGAATAATTAAGAGATGATATCGATGAAGATGTGGAATTGAATTGCCCGCGTTGTAAACTAGTACGCAACATTGCAGTATCGAGAGGCCGAATAAAAATGTAGGTTGAAGTCTTTATCCCCGATGATGCATTCAAACTACCTCCGGCGAAAGCACATCTGGAGAGCGTAATATTGACCCAAATCATGAACCATGAAATTCCACCTATTCCAATCAGCCTCGAACATTATCACCCTCGTATACTCGGTATCCCAAACTCTTTTCCAACTTTACGTCTTTCTCAGCATCATTCGTCGACCGCAACGATCTTCTTGACTGACCACATTCTCTCCCTACCCTCTTATAACACCGCCAGCCCAAAAGTAAGAGACGAATTTTTCATCCTTAGCTGTCGCGAAATCACGGAACACTCGCAACCAATAACACCAATACTCAGATCAAAAAACCGATTTTTTCATTAGAAAAAAAAAAAAATACTCGACATTAATACTCCGGAAATGAATTAACCCACATCATCCCCTAGTGGGCATAAGGGTTGTGATTAAAAAAATGATATCGCTTATCAGTGTACAGAAAGTGTAAACCCTAAGACCAGTGTCAACCCTATTTTTTCTACAGCTCTTATTTTTCTGGGTGACATATTCTGGTTTTGTGGACTGGAGGGAATATTTTCGGACAGTTAATAGATTGGATACGAAGGTGATTGACTCACCTGATGAGATTGGAGTGTGTGGAATGGCCACGTGTTATCTGGAGCTGAGAAGCTCCGCGTGCCGCATCCCGGCCACTGACGTTAGCTCTCTCTCTTTCCCCGGCTTGTTTTTACCGCACGAGTACGATAAGTACAATGAGTACAATGAGTACTTTATTATCACGTTATTCTGTCCAGATAATGAAGTCTTGTGGTAGCAATGGGGGATTGAAAAATTGATTGATTAAAAAAAAAAAATGATCACTTCACACTTGAGGGTGAACGGGGGGGTGATTGTCCTTTATATCATTGTAGCACTGGCACTTGACCACATGTGATAATCCACGAAGCCGGTGATAATCTGCCTACTTCGGGTTCTCCCGGTGCCTCTAACACGTCCTCCTCCACTTCCTACCTCGTACTCGTGTGCCACGGTGAAGCGACAGGTGCGCGATTCAGGGGGGCGAAGGGGGAGAGAACATGAGGACTCCAAGTGAAGTTGGGAAAATTGAGTGGGGGGCAATGGGGGAGGGGGCAGAGAGACCTGAAGAGATGGGGTATAGAGGCAGGATCTACACTAAGAGGGCAACGACACGACTATGTACTCACCCAGACGATTCGTCTCACTTGACATATATTTCTCCCGATTCTTCAATTTATGCTCACGGGGATTTCGCCGGAATTACCAATGCCTTGGGCCTTTTTTTCGGGTGGGGGGCGGCTCCCCCCGTTTCTCGGAATTTTGGCAATTGCCGAATGGATTGAATGAATTGAATGAATTGAATGGATCTATTTTGAAGATCAATCGATTATAATTGGAGTTTGAGAATTGTTGTCACGTGGGTTTACGAAATTTTTGAACATTCTTGATGGATCGATGTGTACGTTTTCTTTTCAGGTATCCAGTCAGGTGTGTAGGGTCGTGGGTATAAAGAACATGTTATTAGACATTATTTGGACGACTCATTCTGACTTAACGGTTGGATCACACCGCGTGCGCCCGACCGGTCAAAAACTCCAGGAGAAGAGTTCCTGTTGAGAATTATGATGCAAGTCACTGACAGCGGGGTGCCATTGTCTAGGGGATTCACGACTTCAAGGGAGATATTTTCTGATTGTTTATTCAACTCAAGATTCACCCGCGAGAATTCCTGACGGCTGCGTTAAAAATGGCAATTTCCCTAGAATCTCCAATAAAGCCAAGATATTGAAAATTCCAAGAAATATAATCCCAAGAAAACAAATCTAAACCGGGAAAATTGCAGCAACATCTGGAATTCCGTAGAATTTCCGAGTGCATTTCTCTGACGGAAAATGGCAAACATTTCTGCAAAATTTCCATTTATTTCCAACGCCATAAACATTCAGATCAAGGCGATATGATCAAGTGGGAGACTTGAGTTCATGGAATACGAATTCGAAGATATCTAACGAGGCATCAAGATAACAGTAAGAAAAGAAGAGATGGCAATGTCGTGACAACACGAGGAATGGCATAAGAAGTTGAAATGGAGAGAGCACAGCTCCAAGTGGAATGAAGAAAAGGGTGATGAGTAAAACTTGAAGGTGGGGAGTGGACAGACGGATTCATAGCGACACATAGGGCAGAGTTTAATCAGGTTCGACTAGTTAGTTTGCAGGTGCGACGTTGTGAGATGAAGAGAGAGGTAGTGCTTGCGCCTCCAGGAAATCTCCAGCCACAAGAAACAGCATCTCTAGGGCCAGTGACTGGAGATCGCACAATACTCCCCAGTCCCTACTCCTCAAACATTTTCTCCGGCTCTTTTTTTTTTCTTTTATTTATTCATCTTTTTTAGTTTTTTTTATTTTTCTCCAATCGTTTATTTACTCCTTCTCAAATCCCTCTTGTTACTCTGTCTTACGTTCTGGTGCGTGTCGTGCGGGATTTCTTTTTAGCTCATCCAATGCCTGTGTCCTTAAGACTTCTCATCCCAACGACATTCTATTACTGAGGCGTTCTCACAGTCGTTAAACGTTTTTAATTTCCAGGTTCTTGCTTCCAGCAACTCAAGTTGCTACGGTGCGTGTGAAAAATCCAGGGATTTCCGTATACTAACACTTTCCTGGAGATCTTCCAGCCAGCGATTGTCCACTGGAAGGAAAATTCTACCGAAGATGGAGAAAAAAATTTACCTCAAAGAAATTTATGGTATTCAGAGGAATTTTTTCATTCCTACCGGATTAAATTCCCCATTATTCACTATTCCCCGATCCGTAGAAATTTATTCTCAAATTCGTAGGCGTTACAATTTTTTTGACGAATTAAATATAATATATGTACTCTACGATTTAATGAGATGTGTGATACCAGCGTTTTTTGTCTGGAATTCTAAAATAAGCGAAAAATCCGAATTCATTGCATATAATAAAAATCCAAGAATTCCATGGAATTATTTTATGATTCTCAGCGTCGGAATTCTTTTTTCTTTATTTACTGATAACCGAATGGATTTCTCCAGGTATATCTCAACAGTTTATTATTGAGTCATCAAATATTCAATTGAAAATTGAAAATATGAAATTTTCCTGCGCGCGCAAACAGCTGCAGAGGCTATCACTGATAACACAGAAAAAATTAATCGAGGACCTGCTGATGGAAAATAATCCACTCTCTTCCTTATTGACGGAGCACATAATTGATCCCTCAATTAACGCCCAATGGATTACCACCAAATAAAATATTCACAAGTGCAATTCCCTCCTAACGACGAACAATCAATGCACTCCACGTAATGTAGTAATTACTGGGTCACTCCAGCTGACACCTGGTAGCCATTTGTTGTGTTTTGGTTGGGCTGTCAGTGTGGCAGGTAGACATTGACAGGAGGTTTCCAGAACAAGTTGGCATGTGTGAGGCATTCCAAAATTCCGTCCTTCAGATGTGCGTTGATAAAAACAATATGGCAATAAAAAGTGCGCGCACCGTGCAAAAAGTTTGAAAAATTTCCCAACGCACGCCATTGATACGCGATATAATTATCTCGATTATTTCTCCATCAATTAATTAAATATCATGACTAATTCCCTGTTTAATTCAACTATATAAATTTCCAAAGGTAAAAAATCAATTATCAAAAATAATTAAATTATGATTACTGTTATTATTATTATTATTATGAATATTATTATTATATTATTGGAATAGAAATTTGTTTAATCGCATGTATTTTTGTTTTTATTGTTATTTCTTGCTGTAATTATGAAATAAAAAATCATGGCAATTTCAGTGAGATTTTCTCGGTGCTGATAACGGTCCGAGGATAATCAGACTTGAATGAGTGGATGAATGTCCGACTGGCCGCGATCAATGGACTTTCTACTGTAAAGTTGGGCAATATCTCCAGTATAACATGCGCAGACCTGATCTCGGGTTCATTCGGATCACCCGGTGGACGATTCTCGTGCCTCTAATCATCTACGTGTGCTTTCTCTTCATAAAATACAACAACACGATGAGACTGAAGAGTCCGGTGAGGGAAAAAATTCAGGATCTCGTGGCAGAGGTGGATTCAGCGGTGAAATCAAGGAGTGAGGATTCGTCACGCAGAAATGGTGACGCCAATGCCCAGATCATCCGGGAGATCGAGGAGAGGGAGAACAGGGAAAATCCCCGGCTCCTCCTCGAGGATGTTTTCAGAAGAGCCGACACCGATGAGAATCTTGAATTGAGTATTCAGGAGTTGTCCAAGTGGATTCATGCCAAGATCATTGACCACATAAATCGGGCAATGCGGGATAATGTTGGATTGTTCACTGCCATCGACAGTCAGCCCAGAAATGGTGAGGAAAATACAGGGATAAATGTTGAATTGAACTGAATTATTTATTTGATTGCAGGTGAAGTCTCGTGGGAGGAATATCACGCCTACTTCCTTCGATCCCACGGATTTTCCGAAAAGTATATCGTATCCCATGACAAGAAACATTCGCAACTACCTAGATCTATGAAAGAAAGTATTATGAGGGACAGAGCAAGGTGGATTGAAGCAGCGAGAAATGATCCTGAAAAATTAGCACTCGACGAATTTCTCGCATTCACTCACCCTGAGAGCAGTCATCGTGCTCTACTGCAGATGGTTGAGGATTTGTTTGAGAAGTTTGGTGAGTTAATTAGACTCTCTCTTGTCATCAGCCCCTTAATAGTGTCCAGTAATGGGGTGCGGTTAATTAGATCGGGATGGTGACGAGCAACTGACGGAGAACGAATTCGCTGATTTACCGTCGGACGGAATGGGATTAGACTTTCATGAGGAGCAAAATCCCAAGCCTGTGGGTGGAAGTGAGGACAGGAGACAGGAATTTCGGCATCTCATTGATAAAAACAGAGATGGAAAGGCTGACAGGACTGAGCTATTGGTAATAAATTCATTTGAATTTCGTAATTATCCCTGTTTTTGTTGTTCTTTCATTTTCCGCCCTGCAAAGAAGAACTTCTTGTTATTTTCCCAGCACCCTCCATCCTGGAATAGACTTGAAAACCAATTGATTAATATTCTATTCCTCTCTCATCTCTCAACAACTGAATTAAATTCCTTTTTCATGGATAAGTGATCAATTAGCTCTTCGGATGGTACACAATCCTCTCGGGGCATTGAAACGCCATTTTCCTCCATTAACGAACTATGCATTACATTAATTCCGATATCGTGCATCAAGTCTCATGAATATCCATCGTATCGATGGGCATAATGTTCTGATAATCCCCAGAGCGAGTGAATATACTCATCTCTCCACCTGACGTTCTCTCATTTTTTTTCCAGATGTACATCGATCCGAGGAATCCAAGACACGCCATTCAAGAGGCGCAACATTTAATCGAGGTATCGGATATAAATCACGACAAGACCCTGAGTTTGTCTGAGGTGCTGAGTAAAATGGATCTGTTCCTCGACAGTAAAATGATTGACACTGAAAAGAGTTTTCACGATGAATTCCGATGAGACGTCATCAAATAGAACAAGTAACACTGCAATCTCAATTTTTTTTTGTGGATTTTCCGTGAAATAGGAAAATGTCTGTGATAGTTTCTACTCGACTCAACTAGATGATTGATTTGCCTTTGAAACGAATGTATTAATGTTAATCGATGGTAAAAACTGTATCTACATCTGCCCATTGATGAATGCTCCTACTCAACAGTAGACCATCGAAAGGGATTGATTGACAACGCAATAAATGTTTACATACTTTATTTACAGTCCGAGGAAATCATTGACGCCTATAAAATTAAGAAACCTGAGGTTTATGAAAAATCCCACTGCAATTTCACGTGTACCGTGTGTATTTCCCCACAGAATAACCTCATCGGGAAATCGTCATTTTTATTTCGCCATACGACTAATTTAGGACCGTTCTACGACTGTCAGGTGACGTCATATTTTTATTATTATTCTTTGAACATCTCTATTTATTTGACACTTGACAGTGAGGACAGTTCGCACATAGGAAAATGCATTTTTTTTTACCAAGATTTTTCATGCGTACAATTATATCCTAAAATGGCATCGATCGACGATGGTCATTTTAATTTCCACCTGAAAAAATACACTGAATACGATCAATATCTAGGCATTTAATCACATGAATTTATCAATAATCTCCCACGATATTTTCACAATTATGTTAAAATCTTTAAGTAATCACATGAAAATATGCCTCGTACAATTAGAATAAATAGGCGTACAAATTTCCAGCGTCTTGTAGAAGAAATCACAACGAAAGCTCGAACTACTCGTTTCAAAACACAAGGATAAATTTATCCTTCGGGGTTTATTTATTCTCCGTCATTGTACTTCACTTCACCCAGAGGTGCCTCATTACCTCGTCAGTCGGTACGGGTCTAGGAGGCATTACCCAACCGATCAAATTCCCTCTTCTCGTTACAAATGAATCACACTGTGACAAAAGGTTCCATGGTTTCTTTCCGCGGGATATTCTCGGCTTTCGAATAACGTAAAAAGTATCGCTCAGGGATTTTTGTTCTGTGGAATAAAAAATTTGAGGGATAAACGCATTTTCGTGGGAATGAGGAAGAAAATTCCATTGAACTTCCGCTTCTGCTGCTCCGGGATAATACAAATTTGAAGTAAAATCCACTTACCATTTTTATTTCAACAGTTTCTTCGGTGAATTTTATAGGATGATTTTGCCATTATGTTTAGAGAAATGGCTTTTCGATTGCCCTCGTTCTCTTTTCCAGTTGGCTGGCGCCAATGAGTCATTATAAAAATTACTTTACTTATTCGATGAATGCTATGAATGCACAAGACGATGCTTTCCAGGGTGTTCTTGAATGATGGCTCTATTCTTATCTGCGATGGTACGGTTTAATGCTCGAAATATTCTATCAGTCCTTTCTGGGCACCTCATGTTTCCTTCGAATTGATGAGCCTGTCTCCATGAATGATGATTTTTTTATTCTCAGTTATTCTTGTTCGTATGCATTGAGGTAATTGGTCAGTAAACTGGTCTCTCTTTGGCGATGTGATCACGCCAAAACCACCGAGGTCAAACCGTTGTTCTGAAAAATTGTCAATTTATTGTACCGAGATCATTACCATTGCTGCGATCTATATCGCTTCTGCATTACTGAATTCATTCAATTAATTTAATGATGAGATCATTTATTCCTGGAAAACATGTACCTTTATGTGATGTTTCATTATTCGTTACTGATGTGGGAATTTGTTTTGCGGAATTTTCTGGGAATTTCATTGAATCTGTTGATTAAGTGCTTTCATGCGTTTATTACAGGGAATATTATTCAATGAGATGCATAATATTCGACGAAGAAACGTCAGTGGCAGATATTTTAATTCTACATAATTCTTTCGCATCCATTAAAAACGTAGAAGACATCCTCTCGGACTATTGCACTCACTCAGCGGGTTGATCGGGGGGTGGGGTGTCTCTACCACGACAGCAAAATCGTAACCATCCGCTGGGTCTCAATTCCCTGGGTTCCATTTCAACCACTGCACAAGGAATAAAATTGTTTCAATGACTATCGTGTCGTATTTCTCGTACTTCTCCGATTTTTATTCATTTAAATATCATTTGAGGCACACGCAACAGAATTGAGAAGAAAAAGTTTCAATTTTCAGGAAAAATCGGAAACTCAATCTCTTCAGGGGGCTATATCCCCTTTTGGACAGCATTTTTGGTATTATTTTTTTTTTTCGGTATGAGTTTTCGGACTGATGAATTATTGAGAAGTTATTAAATATTGAGAGTTATTAAACAATTATAAAATACGGATACGATATATTTTTTCGCGTTAATCCGTTTAATAATTCGTCGTAAAACAAACCTCATCAATTTAAGAATAATAAATTCATTAATTCTCGAGAATTTTCCACTCAATGATTTCTAGAACTGTGAATCCCTCAGAGTAAAGACTTTTTTCCTCTTTTCTCTGATCTGAAATTTGCAGACTCTCCTTCTACTCGAAGGAATCGAAGCCTGAGCAAAGAGTGCTTGTTCTACTAGAATGAATTTCAGTAGAAATTTTTCGAACATGTCGTACTTTATATTGATTTTGCCAATTGAACTTCGCTGCTCGAGAGGAATTCGTCTTCGATTGCGAGCAAAGTTTTCAATTTGAGAGAGACTTCTATTCATCACTGTTTCAGATATAAATGGTCTCGATACCTGATGCGATCCGTTGCGGCTGACAGGCGCTGAATGTCGACTGTCGACGTGAATGTCGTTCAGCAGCTCTCAAAGACACGTACAGGGACATCGTTTTATTGAGTGCGAGTCTCACCTGAAGTCAGATAATGAAAATCAATCATGATAAATATCAAATAGATTAGTTCCACGCAGCAATTATATCAATTGCATTTCTATCACTGAACTGAAATCACATAAAATCAATTCTGAAATCGTGTTAAATCAGGAATCATTATTCCACGATATCTGACAACGAATTTTCTAACTCAAACGACAATTATTCCCTGTAAATGTCAGTAAATCGATTCTCTAATTAACAGATATAAAAAAAAATGGGATAAATGAGGGACTTGCGAAAAATTGGGGCGCAACGTTGACCGCGATCCAATAGTCAATGCCCGCATGACTCCTAGAGGTTCTCTTCAAGTTTGTGAATATTCTCGTGAATATTCTCATGGCACAATTATCAGAGGAATAACAATGGAGTCCATTGTTTGCTCGCTGGATTATTCTCGTTGATTTTTCTTCCCCCAATTATAATTCATGTACCGGAGGAAAAACATACCTCGCCGTTGAGAAAGCAGTACAGGATGGCGATGAAAACCCCCTGGAATGATGTCAGGAAATGCGTGGTGTACGACCAGAGGGCGAACCACATGGTCTGCTCCAGTGGTACCCCAGCCATTGATATCAAATTTGTGATACCGAGGAGTGGTAGCAGTACCACAGCAGCTCTCACTGCTTTCCTGAGGGCATAATTGATTTTTTCTCTCATTTACCCGCATTCCTAGGACATCTAATGACTCAGAGGAGTCTCTAACATTCATTAATATTTTCTTTTCAACATTGAAAACTTCAAGAACACAACACTCGATTTTTTTATTTCACTACGACTACCGGAATCTCGTAATTTTTTCAAATTATTTCAACAAGATAATGAAAATTAATTACCGCACTTGCTCAGTCTCGCTGGTGTGACTCTGTCGTAACTTGACGACCAGCACTCGAACGATATTCATCAGGAACAAGAAATTAAGCTAGAAATCAAAGAATTAATCGCTTGAAAAATATCACCCGCGACAAATCAATAGATTTTAATTTTTCAGCGCACATCATTTGACTCGGATATTTCCTATAGAGATTCCTCCACGTTTTCTCCTCGAGGTTTTCAATGGGCGTAGTGAAAATGTCGTGAGAAAACTTGAAAAATTTATGTCGGAGAATTTCTATGTAAAATACATAGCCCACAGAAGTTAAATAGAATGCGCGTCGTTTCTAGATGATTTCTCGAGAAAATATAGTGCAGGTTTGAATAAATTTACCAAAATAACTGCCATCCTTGGTCCCTCGAGTATCCAAAAGTACACAGAGAGATTGTACCCCCACCAGCACCTGAAAATCTCCAACAATTAGCGACTCAATTAAAACCCCACAATTTTTCATTGCACTTACTTGAACGAATGGTAATAGAATGCGGTCACAATAGCCCATGCGAATGTCATCACAGCTGGAAAACCCCATCCAACTAATCGATACATACGATAGTACGAAGTTTCGTGGAATACAGTCACTAGAAGATGTCCCAGGAGATGTCCATTGTGTAAGCAGTAGTTTGAGGATAAAATTCGAGAGGCATTCAATGTACTCGAATAGAATGAGATCTCCCCTCCACAAGTAAATCGTCAAATTATTCCCCGCTCTACAATTAATCTCAACAAATTAGAAAAAAACTGAAAAAAAAACTGAAAATATCCACAACTTGAATTTATCAAAAGCTCAGTCACCAATTCGAACTGCATTTAAATATATTTTTATAACGATAGATTCCGGTGAGAGAATTGTAATTTGAATAGAAAATTCATCAGTTTATCGAATGGAGTGAAAATTTTAGGGAGAGGAGCATCATCTTATCCGAGATACAAGTGGAATTCATCATCGGAATATGAAACTAGACCGAGAGAGAGAAATTCTTTTGATCCTCACCACTTGGTAAAATTCATAAAGTCGGTGAGATATTTTCCGGGAGATTAATCGCGACGCAAAGGCGGCGAAATAGAGGGAAATACTCACCAGTTACCATGTTATGGAGAAAAAATCCTTCTATGAACATCCACATGAACATAGCAGTCCTGGCGTACTCAAGGAGCACATAGCTCGCTTCACATAGAACAGGCTGGAAAGAGCATTATGAAATTTAATGGTACGAGTGTGTACCTGCTTGACATTTCCATTCCCCAGAAAACTCACCGTATTATTTATACCCTGTTCAGACCCAAACACATCAGCTTTTACAAATGCCTGATCGATGTACAGAGTCAGGCGTATTACTACCTGGATAACCATCGCCACGAACAGATTCTTGTGGATACGAGTCCGAGTGTTTCTCAACGATCTGTGTAAATTAGTGATCCAACAATAAATCCATCGAATACCACCGGCATTCCGTGGAAACTCACCGAAATCGGCAAAAAATCGCTAATGAAATGAGAAGTGCTGCCAACGAGATGCTCAGTCCAACGAATTCCAGAGTGCGCGTCTTCTCGGCGATCGCTAGTTTCACCTGTAACCAATTTTCAGAATTTATTTTAATACTGGTTGACAGTCGTGATAATGCAGTGGAAAAAATTACGAGGCAAAAATGAACTTGACAGAAGTGAAAAATCAGAAGGATTGGACTGTTGCGGTGGAATGCTGGACCAAAAGTTTTAACGACACAAAACAATCACGACACTCTAGGTATCGGACTTGCTTATGGATTCCTTGAATTGGGTCGCTTGCTGTTGACGGGCGATTTCACTGTTTTCAGCTGCAGTGTCTATAGACATTGTCGAGCTCAATGAAAGGGGAGGATGGAGAATTCTTTTGAGTGGGCTTCAGTTTTTACCGCAGTTTATCCGCTAGGTTCCGCCATAAAATTTAACGAATTTTTCAAAATATTGACGAGTGTCCTCTAGACATTAGAGGGCAGGAGAGACATTATTTACAGCAATTTTAGGAAAATGTCTGAACAGTCGAAAGTTTGTTGATGAAAAAATGAAAAATGAAAAATGAAATTTTCATGAAATTTATCGGTAGTTGAATTTCGTAGGGGAATTACTCTCTGTTAATTTCATTAATGTCTTTTTGTGTTCTTTTTTTTTGAAAGGATGTGATACAATCCTAGCTTTCCGGACCTGGGCAGCTGCCTTGTCTCCAGTATGAAGTTTTCGAAGAAGCAAACGCATTTCCGGTGAGTAACAGAGGGTGTAGTTAGTCCAGCCATTAGGAAAATCTGGCTCTTCCGGAGCTCCACTGCGTCCTCCCCATTTTCCTTCTTCACTGCATCGTCTTTCCGCAAATTCTATAATTAAAAAGAAAACCCGAGTTGGTGTGGCCGGAAATATTGCAGACATATTCCCAGCGGAACAAAAACAAAGTAGTATATTTTTTGACGCAACAATCGCTTAATTAACCCGAAAAAAATACTGCCGCCGGGGTAATTGTCTTTATTGTTAGCAGTAAATATCTCCGTGATCAACCGATTCCACTCGAAATTCCCCCGGAACCTGTCCCTGGAATTTACATCTATAATCGCTCTTCTGCGTGCACTGCATAAATAGTTTCCCCAGCGAATTCAGCACTGAAACTTCTGGGAATGTGGGTTCTATAAAATAGTGCAGTCGTTCCGCTGCGATCACGACAGACTTCAACTGCATCTTGACACAATGGAAGTGTTCCATTCTTATCTCAACGCCGATATTACCATCGCGTCATTAGAAATTCATGATCCTCAACTCCTGAATCATTGAATTCCCTGAGCTTTTCCACAGCGCAAAATCTTTTTGGCCTAGTTGGAGTCCTCGGAGTTCATTTATTTATTTTGCAAAAATTACAGAGTTAATGGACAATTATAAACTCCCTGAACATAACGTGGTATTAAGGATGTTATATCCCCTTTCGGCCGAAATTCACGATTTTTTTTATTTATCGAATTGTTGATTAGATCGACAAAATTTACCGTTTTTGTATTTTGTTCGTTATAATTTCCCAGTTTTTTTTTCTCAAGTTTTATGAATTATTCTAAAGTTTAGAAAAATTATTGCACGATTGTAACAGAGAGTCTAGAGTAATTTATTGATAATAACAATAACATAATTGAATAATGTTTTTATTAATTGAATTTGTAACTATGAGTGGAAGAATTTGTTTAAGTTCTCGCGATAAGCTTGTAAAAAATTTCCATTTCCATTTCGTCAGCAATAATTTATAAAAATTGATGAGTATTGAATAATTATAGGACCGGAAGATCCGGTATATTTTTGAACGTCAATCTGATCCAGGATTTTCTGGAATTTTAAAAGAAAAAGGAAAACGGGACGATGCAAGATCCTGCTTAACTGGGGGAGTAAATTGCATCGTGAAACAATTTCCCTGGGATAATTATCACCGCGACCCTAGATTAGGGTGCACCCTTGGAGAAGACGTACGATTCGGCGAATATTCGTTAAATTATGGGTCACGTGGATGTGCATTGCACTCGTTCCATGGAGTGGGCATCGTGCACTATCGAACAATCGAAGCTCACTTTCTCGAAATAGGTCGAGTGCCTCAGGTAACCGGAATACGGGGCATTCTTCAATGGACACTCGGTGCATTCGGTTACTTGTTCATTGTCACCATGGTCAAAGGTAAGAGGGAGTTTTTTTAATTCGCGTCTTGCATTGTTTCAAGTGCAGGTAATTACACAAAGGGGGCAAGTCGATTCCCCCGAGCTAAATTAAATTCTCATCTCCTAATTTCCCCGATAATAGTTAATTCCTCGATTTTCCGAATACTTGAATTTTCAATTCATCGATACAATTGGGAAAAATCAGGGAAAATCTTGATATTGCTGAAAAAATTGTCGGGTCCCAGGTTTTCGTGGTCTTTTCATTAATTTTTCAGGCGCGAGTGGTTCAGGGAAGGTCATGTCAATCGGAGGCAATTTTACAGAACTTGAAAATTTAACGGGCAATTTTCGGTGGAAAAATGAGGATGAGCCGAGAGGTTGAGACGAGGAGGAATGGACTGTGTGCAAAACGAGAGAGTGTTCTCCAAGTGTTCTCCCTTTGTTTGGTCTTCTCCGAGTGTCCTGTATATTCACCTCGTTTTCTTTTCCACCTCCTCCACCCAGTGGACAACTTCCAACGGTACGAGCTAATGATTCGGATTGTAATCCTCTGGAGAATGAAATGATAGGTTGCGCAAAAAAATTCAAATGCGAGTTTTCGGTGACTTTCAATGCAGTTTCGAATTCGGGAATTCCCGAGGACTTACTAGAAACTAGAGACTGTTGTCACATCGTAGAATGGTTCTACTTTAAATTCACCGAATTGTTCTGCCGAGACACGAGATGCCTCCGACTTTTATAAATAAACCTCTTAAGACGGAATTTTTATAATTTGTCTTCTATTTTCAAAAAAGTATCAGGAGAGCATGAACATGGAAGAGATATTCACTGAAATGTGAAAATTCGAAATTTTTGAAAAAGTATCAGGGGAACATGAAAATCAAGGAGGTATTCACGGAAATTTGAAAATTCAAAATTTTTGAAAAAGTATCAGGGGAACATGAAAATCGAGGAGGTATTCACGGAAATTTGAAAATTCAAAATTTTTTAAAAAGTATCAGGGAAACATGAAAATCGAGGAGGTATTCACAGAAATTTTAAAATTCGACATTTTTGAAAAAGTATCAGGGGAGCATGACAATTGAGGAAGTATTCACTGAAATTGAAAAATTTGAAATTTTCAAAAAAGTATCAGGGGAACATGAAAATAAAGGAGGTATTGACTGAAATTTGAAAATTCAAAGTTTTCAAAATAGTATCAGGGGACCATGAAAATAAAGGAGGTATTCACTGAAATGTGAAAATTCAAAATTTTCAAAAAAATATCAGAGGAGCATGAAAATCAAAGAGAGTTACGAAATTCATTATTATAGCGAATTCAATGCACAATATTTTGTTCAGTCATATTTCAAATGGAAATGGAAACTCTCGGCCACTCTGGCCATTTCCGGCAGAAAGTGATTCGAATTGTAAATCCAATTATAAAGAATCTGCGATTGGATATGGAGCGAAAATCCATGTTCTCACGCTATCGGCGATATTCATATCGACAATTTTCATGTTCAGCGTTGATTACACTTCTTCATTAATCCAACTGTTGGATTTTGCTCTGATCAATCTATTTGCAGAATGTTTTTTTACGGGAGTATTTCTGCGAAATGCGTATTTATCCGGAATGCATTTCCGGTTACCAAAATTCTCGGAAAATTGAAAATTCTCCTGCAAATTCATCCGTCAAACTTGGAATTTCCCTTAACCCTTGAAAATTATCAGATTCGAGATTTTAACTAAATATTGATATCGATATCTTCTCATTTTTTTAAGTTTTTTCAAAATTCTAGGAAACTAAAAAAAAATTCTCAACACTAGAAAATTTACAGGTCGTCCAATGGAATAATCATTTTTTAAATATTCGATTTTAATCACAGGGGAACATGAAAATCGAGGTGGTATTCACTGAAATTTGAAAATTCGAACTTTTCAAAAAAGTATCAGGAGAACATGAAAATCAAGGAGGTGTTCACTGAAATTGAAATATTCGAAATTTTCAAAAAAATATCAGGAGAACATGAAAATCAAGGAGGTGTTGACTGAAATTGAAAAATTCAAAATTTTCAAAAAAATATCAGGGAAAATTCAATCCACTCCGCAATGGCTCGGAAATGAAAAAAAAAATATATGAAAAACGAGAAGATATCGGCAAGAACTGGTTAATTCACAATAAAATCCCGATAAGTGCAGACGATTAATATTCCGAGGCGTTCAAAGAACACTGAGAGGGAAGTTCTGTCGATGCAATAAGTCGAAGCCAACGAAAGTTATCTTTTCATGAATTTTTTCCATCGTTTTGGAGAAATCACCAGGAACTATTCACCTGCACGAGCGAATGAAAATCGTACGGCATGACTAGATCAGAATACAGTGTGACAATTTTCGTCCCCGAGGATCTCCCGTTGCGATAGAAAAAATCAGCATGTGCCGGGGGAGGTGATTTTTTTTTACGCGGCGAACCGCGGGTATTGGAATTTGACGAGCGGCCGAGGGACCGATTTTTTTTTGGGCTTTTGCCCGGAATGTGTGATCAATACCTAACTACATTTTCCACGTGTTTTTCATTGGAGCAATTCCAAAATGAGAATTTCATTATTTTTTTTTTGACCTGATCTGCGATGAGAAAACGTACACCAGGAATTAGGTCATTGAAAATAATCCCTTTGCCGAGAGTTTTTGCAAACCAGTTTTCACATCATCATTAATGCATCCTCATTCTATTAGAGCAATTGGACGAAATGCACCCACCTCGTGACGGAATCATTTCATCTCACTTTTCGATTCAATTAAACTCAATCTGATTCAATGAAATTTATCCACTTGGGGCTATCAACACCTCACAATTTTGCGATTCATAATTGTGCGGAAAAAAACGAGTCGTTTGATTACCCAGTATTTTTTTTTATAAAGAGGAATAATTAGGGAGACTTACCATCGACGACGAATGTTGGTGGACACCTTTGGAGACTAGTGGTGGATGTTTTGACTGGTGCCCAGCAGAGGAATCCGTCCCAGATGTACTCGCACCAGATTTCTGCAAGTCACAAAATATCAATAAATTTCATTCAGAGTGCCAGAATAAAAAAATTTTTAACTTACCTCCATCAGGCACAACGAAATCCTGATACTTGAGGTTGCAGCCTGTCTCTGTATTGTTGTGTCGTCCTCTGCTGGCCTCTGAATTGTTGTTGGAACTCACAAGATCGCCCATCATCGATTCTTCACCCCTCCCCCACTCGAATTACTCCACTCTCAGTACTTTAACATTTTTTTTATTCTATTTTTCGAGTTCCCAGGCACTCTCGAGGAGTTCCACCACAATCTCGTCCTCTGACGGGGCGAACTTTTTGCAAGAAACCTTAAGAGCGTTATGTGGTGCTATCAGGGAATAACTTCCTTTATAACAACTCAAGTCCGTTAATTCCCTCAAGATGTCCTAGTGCAACTTGTCTCTCTTCAGCTTTAGCAGCTGATGCACGATGGGAAGCCTCTGATCGTCTCTTCGGGTCTGGCATGCCTCAAGCATTTGTCCTGCATCTGAAGGAAAATTATTCTCGTCAATTTTCTATTCAGAAATATTCAGGGAAATTTGAGAAATTTTTCTATTCATAAACGTCCCGAGTGGAAATTTCACTCGGGTCTGGATCAAGTTCGGATCAAGTCAGACTTGATATTCGATTAATTAATGCTGTAAAAATCGAATTATTTTTGCAGACATCATTTGCCATATCAGAACCTAATCAGTACCTAAATCGAACTCATAAAACCTCAGGTTCAAATCACAATATTAATTTCTTCTGCATTTAACGCGCAACGTCTGGAATGTTCTCCGTGTGACAAATCAAGATAAATATCGCTTGATTCTTATTTCTCAGGAAATTTCGGGATAACGTAAATATTCTATTATAATTCTAGCACCTTCGATTAAGGTATATAAAGCCGCAGGATCTCCACCGAATTGGAGGAATCAGGACTTTTCCTGGAGAATTCTACCCGAATAGTTCTCCAGCCCTTGAAGAAAAGCCTTTTATTTGCAATATGTGAGCCAATGTCTATCCTTATTTGTGGTTTCTCCAGTAATAGGATTCTCAGACAGGGGTTGAATGGTGCATGGAATCCCTGTGTTACAGGATGTTAAATGGGAGTGGCAGGAGGTTGGCTCGAGGGGTTGAAAACAAGAAAGGAATGATGTACATGGCTTGTCAGGGCTCTCCATACTGTCAAGTTGAATATATTATCGTACAGTATTCTCTGGAGACTACTTCACAACTCCGCTGAAGTGATATATCTCAATAGATATAAAAAAATTGAATTATCTGGGGATAAATCTCGAGTCGAAGAGATTTTAATAACACTAAATTCCCGGGGTCTCCACTTTAAACTCTCTGGGTCGGTTAAGTTTGCATTGATTGCTTCCGGTTGAAGAAAATTTCAACCTCTTTGGGAGGAGTAATAAAGTGCAACGAAATATAACAGAACAGTGGAAAATCACGAGTGGGGTGAAATGAATATGTACAGAGTAATTCTGAATCGTTGCGATATGATTCAGTGGGGAAATTAGCACATCAAGTGATCGAAAGTTTCGACAGTCTGAGTAGGTCAGATGAGATAAGTTTCCAGGGGTTCAAGTGTTGTGATAAATGTTATTACTAATAACATCATCATTGCCGTTCATCAGGGGATTGTTCGGAAATACTTCGCTCTAGTGGAACAGCCGCTGGGTGAAACTCATTTCCAGGAGATGATTTTTTTTGTTTTTTTATTTTCTCTATTTTTCTCGGTGAAAAAAATGCTAGGTTTCACTTCACTTGATTCCGGGGGTTTCAGTTGAATGGAACTCTTGTGGAATTCGTCTGAATATAAAATTGTGGAAGAATTGCTGACATGGAGAAGTTTGGAGAGATTCGTTCGGGCTCACACGGAAATTATTCTCAAGCATCGATAATTAGTTGGCAATTTTACTGTTATGGAGATACGCATTAATTATTGAATTAATAATCAAAATATAAAAATTGAGGGTATTATGCAGGACTGTCGACCAAAGTTCAAATTTTTCCAGTTCTCTGGCAATAATCGATGGGATTGACCTAAAAAAATATGAGGTTTTTGCATTTTTAAATTATTTATTAATAGCTAACGATGTTTCGAGGTTGTACACCTTGTCCTCTTCATACTGAACGGTTTTATAAAACTTTTTAACAGTCCAGAAAACAACATTATAATTTTTAACGTTATTCATCGCACCGACAATTTGCCAGAAAAATAAAAAATCGGGAATTTGTTTAAAAAAGTGTGAAAAATCCTTAAAACCTCCGGATTTATCTCCTAAGACCTTTTATTCCCAACGGAAGATAAATAAATTCCATAAATATCGAATATGGCCGTCAATATAAGCTGCACTATCTTTTCAAGTACATAACCGAGTTCTCGATGCTCAATTGCCATTCCTGCACGTGGGCTTGACTATTTATACCCGAAAAAAAAAATATATAAAACTGGAGTTCAGCGGATGTACAGACGAGATGAGAAGGCCAACGTCTGGCCGCATCGTCTCTGCATCCCTAGCTGGCGTGCAAGTGGTAGGTTTTTCTCTTTGAATTCCTCCATCAAAGAATGATGAATCATAAAAGATAGAGTTTTCAACTCCTCGAATGTATGAGTTGTATCAGTTTCTGAGTGACTAGATATTTCCACAATTCGAGTTACTACGAGTGGCCGTGTCATCTCAAAGAGCCACTCGTATCACAAATGGAAAATGTACGAAATGGAATGTTCAATATGAGTGATATTGGAAACTTGCTGGGACAATATTAACGTACTTTGGGCTCTATGAAAATATAATGATGCATTTTCCTGAGTACAAAGGACTAGGGAACGTTTGTGCAATGTCCCTCTAACTCCATTGATCAATCGATCAATTGGTTAACCAGTAGATCTTGACGCTGAGTCTGAATTTTAATGAGCGATTCGAGATCATTTTCCTTCGTGATAATAAAATATCCTGCAAACTGTTTCAATGCTTTTAACAAACAAATAAAATACATTTACAGTGTCTTCTGCCGTTTAGCATGGGAATGAGGTACTAGTAGCTAATCAAGTATTTCAGAATATTCTAGATTATGTAATTAAGCTCATTA